GTCTGCCAGATCTCAGATCGGCCAGGCGCGGATCCAGGGGTGGGCCGCGGGGGCACGTGCCGCCCGTCTAATTGACTCCACACAAAAAAGGGGGGAAAAGAAAGGAAAAAAGAGGGAAGAGAGCGAAAAGAGGGGAAGGAGGAGGCAACCTCCTTACAAAAATACCGGCGCCGATATTAAAATTCAGCCTGCAAACATTGCGTAGTGGCAGTATACATATGACACAGCGAGCACGAGAGTCGATCGAGAAGCTTCGAAATAAACCGCGATCCCACCGTATCCGTACCCCGTATAACGTAACCCTGCATAATAGGTTCAGTCTATTCTGCTACCATTGGTTTCACGCACACGCACACTGCGTGGCGATCATCAGGCGAATGGACTTCTTCGTTTGCACGGCTGGGTTGTTACTTTTTCTTGCTGCGGTCCGGTGGTTTTGTATTAATTGTCGCTACGGTGACGGCATTAAGAGATTAGTTAGGATCTCCGGTTGATTACATTGTTCTTGTTCATAGCTATGGCCAGCTTTTCTTCTATACACAGATTCCATTGCCCGGATCTACGTCTGTTTGTGTTGGATTTTTTTCAGAATGTCCCATCGTACTGTGTAACCTACACTTTTTTCTTCAAGCCCCATACGTATTTCGAAAGCTCTGTTTCTTTTTCATAGTTTTCGTTGCGGAATGACTTGGTGTGGTTCCGGTATCTGTCCTTAAATGATCCGCCAGCGATCCCAGTGTATGCCTTTACTGCGTTGCCATTGGTAACTGTGGCTTTATAGACGACTGATTTCACCAAGCAGTTTCCACGTAGGGGGCAGTCGGCTTTAATTCTGCAATTGCAGGTTTTTCTCAGGGGGTTTGTCTGATCTTTTTGACTTTGCGATGATCCTGTCATTGTGTGACATTATCACCGATTTCATGTTCTTCATACAACTGTAGCTGACTTTGATGGAGTTTCTGTTAAAGATCTTATGCAACTTGTGCCCTACAGGAAAGTGCTTGGTGATCAGTTTTAGGAAGTTCCCACCGACGTTTGTTTTGACATTGACACTATATGGTGGATTAAACCATATTATTTTCCTAGATCTGTTTTTTCTTTTCTTGTTCGGTTCCGAAGGATTGTGCTCGGAGAACCTGATGCTATGGTTGTACCCACTGTTCTTTAGGGCTTCGTTATATACTTATGTATGTATAATTATGTACGTACAATGCATTCTCTACGAAAATGCAGCGCAGCTTTTTGCTGTGTTGCACCACACAGGGGTGTGTTTTCGTAAGAACAATTTGCCATTATTTCCCCGCGTTTGTAAATTACAAATTATACTTTTTACGAAGTCCAAAACATTTCATTGTTTTAAAATGAGTTCCAGTCAACGTCATCATACAATTTTCGTAAAGACTTTATTCGAGAAACGATGTAAAACCCTGAAGAAAAAACAATAAACACCCCTGAAGATATACATGGATCCGTCCATAAAAAGTCTTCTTTTTTACGAAGAATGGCGCGATCCGTCTGGTTTTGACATTACTACGCGTTGCTGAAAATACAAATCTGATAAGTTTGGTACTTAAAAAGGATCTGTTTGTTCTTAGGACAAAAAAATAAGCAGTTAGGCCGAAACAAAAGTATGGGGCTTGCCCAAAAAGAAGTGCGGCGACGCGGCTTTCTTTTTTTTTTACCTGATTTTTTTTGCCTCAAATGTCGGCTGATGACTGCAAATGGTGCCCGATTAAACTTAGTGCAAATATATGGGAGTCCAAAGAGGCCACATAAAGCTTGTTCTCGATCATAACCCCATCCAAAAACACGTTAAAATTGTGCAGCAGCAGGATTCCAGTCAAACCAGTGAGTTTGGCGGTTTTGAGACATCATCTTTCATTGAAAAAAAAAAATTCATTTTGCCGACGCGCATGGCCGGCTACGGCGACGCGCGCGCATACCAGAAACCGGAGACTTCAAGTTTTGTTTGCCTTAGGCCAAAAAAAAAAAGTCTCCGGTTTCTGGTATGGAGCTTGCCCCAAAAGTGGTGCGGCGACGCGGCTTTACCTGGTTTTGTTTTTTTTTTTGGCTTCAAATGTCGGCTGATGACTGCAAATGGTGCCCGACTAAACTTAGTGCAAATATATGGGAGTCCAGAGAGGCCACATATAAAGCTTATTCTCGATCATAACCCCATCTAAAAACACGTTAAAATTGTGCAGCAGTAGGATTCCAGTCAAACCAGTGAGTTTGGCGGTTTTGAGACATCATATTGTATTGAAAAACAAACTTTTTCATTTTGCCGACGCGCATGGCTACGGCGACGCGCGCGCATACCAGAAACCGGAGACTTTTTTTTTTGGCCTTATAGCCAAGAGGCAAGTTTTAGCACCTGAGACATGCTCTGGCAATTTAGACGGAACGCGGTGTGTTGCTTTTTCAAGTGCAAGCCAGGAACTTTGTTATCGGAGTTCGCCGGTGGCGGCCGCGGGCCGGCGCCCGTCCGTGCCGGGTCGGGATATGTATACACCAATTCCCAATGTCTATTTTTCATTCTCAACGTCATCATCTACAATTATTTACTGTATTTTTTTACGTAACCAAATGACAAAAAACCCTTCACAATGTATCATACCATGTGTGAATTGCAATCATGGCGCCGAAAGGCCCAATGACTATTTTCTGTACAGACGAGTCGCATGTATACGAACTACGATGAGTTTATACAATTTGTCTTGCTGCGCCGCCGATCTCCCGATGTCATGTACGTGTATATGTATAAACTAGGCCCTATTCTTGAAATTGAAACTGGACTGAATTAAAACCAAGAACAGTTCTGTAAAATGTTTGGGCAATTACACTATGCAGGCATGCATGAGATAAGTCATGAGATAAAACTGAGCTGTGAAGTTACAATGTGCATGGAGGCCTATTTGCTCCTCTGTTTTAGTTTGATTGAATTACACTAATTTTAAACTTGAATTCAATTTACATGTTCAAGCGGTTTGTTCTCATTGATAAACTAAAAATTTCAACTTGAAACAAAACATTACAAATCATCCTTGCAACAGTTTACAAACTAAGTCTATACAATTCCTTTTTGATAATATAATGCACGAAAATATGCAGACGAAAATACGTGGTTGTCAAGTGAAGAACAGAAGAATCTTAAAGAGGTTTGTAATAGTAAGAGTATATTTTAAATCAATAACAAATCCATATAATCTTAAAACATTTTTCTCAAATAAGTCGGGGTAAAAGGGGCCAGGAATCGCCTCAGATTGCACCACAGAGCATCTAGAATCCCAAATTTCCCGGGGCCCTTAAGCGGGCCCCCGACCCCACGCCGAAAGACATTCGTGCTCCCCGCTCGCATTAGTCCTCCGAGCAAATCAATGCCCCATCGTTGCAACAGTTTATAACAAACTAAGTCAATAAAATTCCTTTTCAAAAATAAAATGCAACAGAACATGCATGAAGACGAAAACACGTGGTTTTCAACTTTGAATTACACAGTAACTCAACGCTTGTAAAAGCAAGAGTTTATTTTTTTTAAATCCTTATATATAATATATTATATATAAAATGGATACGTTACTACAATTGACCTGGCAGTTGATCTGTTTATGCAAATTATCTGCAAGTTTAAGATAGTCTTGGGCATTGCCATCGAAAGCTTCGATCAAACGACCACGGTCTACATTTGAAATTCTCATGTAACGCCCATGAGCTGGCATATTGATATTTCTTGTGCTTCAATCTGACAGTTTGCATGGTGATCAGAGTAATGGCAGAGTCTTGTGGGAGACAGGTTGTTATATCTATATTTCCAAATTGGAACAAAAACACTCCATCTTATTCTAACAAACGACGGAACGACATGGGCCTATTTCGAATTACTTCGCTTACTTTTCACATAATGCTTGCTTAATAGTGAATTCGAATGACCAAACTTACACAGCTGGAAGCTCCGGTGAATTTAGATGCTCGTTCGTGCAATTTTGATTTGAATGCCCTATTGTTGAAATTGCATGATTAAAATGTGAAATCGCATGCCTGTAATGTGAAATTGATTGGTGTTTTAATTCAATGTTGATCTTAACGTGCATTCAAATTCGTGCGAAAATGGCCTGGTCGCCAATTTGACCGCTAAATCTGCTATAACTTGGCCCGGAAAACCTATATTAGGCTATCAGCTTCGGTAAAAAAAAAAAAATTGGGCCACCGGTATCAAAATGATCGAAAAGAGCAATGCTCATCATGATTTTTGGCAAGGTATACACATCTAGAATTGGAAAATGTGTGATAGCTTTGCAGTGTGAGTGGTGGCAGTTTTTGGGGTGTTATCACTTTTATTTTTTTTTTTTTTTTCAAAATGGCCGCCAATATGCTTGAACCGGATTAATTATAATGTGGTACCTAGCATGTTTTGGCTGCCTTTTTTTAAGTGATAGCACCCAAAAAGCTGCCACCGCTGATATGCTATCACATAGTGCATACCTTGCCAAAAATCACGATGACCATTATTCCCCTCATTTGATACCGACCAAACCCCCAGGCTGATGGCCTATAACCACGGGAATGACAGCAGGGAGCTAATTCGTTTCAAATTGGCCACTATCTAGATGAATTTGAATGCTATTATTGCGAAATTGGCCGGGAAAAGCAATAACTACGGATTTTTAAACATTATATACTCTTAGATTTCGTTAAAATTTCTTCTGTAGCCTATCCATGAAACTTGTAGTCTGAAAATGTCACCCCTAGCCTACTTGACAAAAACGTTTAAAAAACTTCGCAAGGCCCAAAGTTTTCCAAATTTAATTGTATTTAAATAAATCGCAAACTTCTAGGCAAGTTACATTTAGGCTATTTCTAAGTAGAGTGACGGTAAAATAATAAACTATATGGATAACTTTTAAGGGTATTAAGTTTATTTGTTGCATTTGAGAGTAAACACAAACGTTTCGCTTTCGGACGGATGATAATGCTTTGAATAATTGATGCGATATACATACCGTGGTCGCATTGTGATGCAGCGCATCCACACTTTGCGTTCCAGAGGCAAAATTGTGAAGCTTCACGCACTTCTGTCGAAGAGGGGACGCGGAGTAGCCACCAACCCGGCCAGTCTCAGGAGGGGTAGACGCCCGGTACTCGCTGCTCGTGTCTCGGTACTCGCCAGCAAGCTCCGTGTCTTTTCCCGTAAAGACATCATCATGGTCTCCAAATCCATTGCATTCAGATTCGGTACTGGCTACAGACATCATGCGTACATGATAGGCCGTGCCAAAAGTTGGGGTTATTTTTATACTCGAGTTGTGCGGTACACCACTGGTTAACTCACAATACCAGCAAGTTTGGGAATACTGAGCCTCTTCTGCGGTATGTGTAGGCTACTCCCCCGATAAATTTGATTGATGGATTGATTAACGCCAACGCTCATTGGCTATAGTCATCCGTCAAACCGCGAAAATATTCCGGTAATACCCAATCAAGCACCGTTATTTATGGTTCAATCGTTCTGACATTATCCCATGAAATATTGTTGACTGGATACATGTATGGATAAAGTCAAACTAGTACAAGGGGACTGACGGACAATATGATCCTGGATCAGATAGTCGATGCGTGAAGTTTCTGGTGGAGGACCGTCGAGCCTGAACTTTCACGTTTATTTACCTGGTGTATTGATCGCTGAAGACAGCGCGCCTATTGTCATTGAGAAGTATTGTGGTGGCGTTACGTAAAAAATATCGACATAATAACTGAAGGCAACCGGTTAGTTGTCAAGGCTAAGTGATAACAATTAAAACAAGATAAGTTTGCGGTAGCACCATGTGAATAAATCTCTCTTGTGAGTAGGTGTGGTTCTGAAAAGAACCGGAAGACTCAACGTTTCTTCCCGTCGTCAGGATAATGAGGGATTCCAAAGATGATGCGATGGGCCACACATACTCACAAAGGAGATTTATTCACATGGCGCTACCGCAAACTTATCCTGTCTTGATAACAATTAGTTCAAATGTCACCAAGAACACAATAAGACGACTTTCGTCATTGGAATCTAAAACCATGGAGGGTGTTCCTTCATGCTAAAACTAATCAAGGTAATCCGCGGATCTGACCCCCACATAACATTATGACCTCAGTAATCCGATGAAGAATTGTGTCTTCCACCAAAGGGTCAATGCGCCCAAGTTTCATCAAAATCTATGAAAGCATGTAGGCCTAATTAAAAGTTATATTTTTTTCTCAAAAACTTAACCTAAACTTGAACACACACGGGGATACGGACATGAACATCTTCATCCCTCAAAAATTCATTAAAAGTCCATTTCTCCGTGAAAAGATCTTCAAGAGATGTTTCACGGACATTTACATGGGGCTTATCTAGGACTAATCCTGTAAGGGTATTTTCACGGTTTTTTAATGACCCTGGCCACTGGGGATTATCATTGGTTATACATAACGGTACACTGGGTCTATCTCCATGGGTAAACAAAGGACTTTCTTAAGGGTGTTTTCACGGACTCCTAATCTGGCTTAATATGTTGAAAAATCCGTGAACATTTAGTTAACTGTAATTTCAAGGAAAAATTGCTCTTTTAACGAATTTTTAAGGAATATTCACTGATCATAGTGATGGGAGTTCTGGGGTACTTGCACTGTTGTCCTTTTATCCCTTTTTTTCTTTAGAATTTCACTTCTGGGTGGCGTTTTTCTAAGGGTGAGTAGTGCATGGGGTAGCATTGTTCCCTAAATTTCCCTTTGTATGAGTACCCCACAATTGGTAAGTACAGATATACAGAAGTAAGGACTGGTAAGTGTCCCCCAAAACTTCGTTTAGGCGACACAAAAAACCCAATCGTGCAAATTACACGCAGACTTTATGAGTGCATGTACAAAAACCTGAGCGTTTGTTCATTAGTAACTTGAAGAAAAAAACCCTGAAATTTTGTTTTTCTGTAAAGTAATTGTCCTCCATCAAGCAGTGTCCTTCAAGCAGTGTAACACCATCAAGCAGTGTCCTTCAATAATTCTAAATATCATCGGAACCACGACAGCCACTTACATCCCGCCGCAATTCTGCGGCTAAAAGCCGAGTATTTGTGGCGGTGATCAGGGGCTTTGTGTAGTGTTAAAGTTGCTGTCCTCGAGGTTTTTGTTTTTCACTCCAAAAGATAAATTTAAAGAAATGCTATAGTTTTATTTTCAAACAATTTAACAATTATGCACTCTTGAACGAGACAGCGAATGAAAAAAATTCCGTAAACGTTAATAGTTGGGAGCAGGCATGAGCATGAATTTAAATGAAGAAAAAAAACAGGAAACTTGTGCAAAAACAGGGAAAAAGATGTAAAATCAGGCAAAAAGCCCCAAAACAACCTCACAAGAAATAAAACGCTGGAATTTTGTAAAATATCCAACTACATGTATTTGCGACCGGACAATAATTCTAGGCATGTTTTTCTACATTAGAAGCGCAAAAGTGAGCCAAAATAAACACGTTAAGAGGATTGCAGACGCCCAAAATAAAATAGTTGTAGTAAAAATAAAACAAGCAAATTAGCAATTCGTTGAGAATAAAAAAAATAATCGAATCTGTTGAGATCACGGGAAGAGTAACTTTGAAACAACCACGCACAAATGAAAACAGCAATAACAGCTCTTAAAAAAATATGTCTTTGTCACAGCAAATAAGTGAAGACAAACTGGGAGTCAAAGATTTGAACACAAAATAACAGTTTTTTTGTGAAATACACGTACATAAATGCACTGTACATGATTTTAACAGGCCATCGCAGAGTTTGTGTAACGTAGTAATTGACAGATGTTTAACTGAACCTTTGCGGAAACCAAGTTGATAGTCATACGGTCACGATTAAAGGATTAACTAAAAGGATGAAAGGATAAAGTAGGACTTCCGTACAAAATCCAAATGAATATCAGAAAACAGATCATGGCTCCATTAATCACTTTGTTTTTGTCGTAGTAAATACCAGTATAAATGTTTTTTTTTCAAATGGATTATATTTACATGTGTATTCCTATTTGTGTTGTACATATTTATATAATTTACAACTTGCACAACATTAAAAACAATATTTACAATTTACAAAGTTTTGTTTACATCTACCATTGACTCAATTCATGAGAAAGAAAAATGGATTTCGGTGATGAACAACAGTATTGCAATAAGCTGATTTAAAACACTAGATTATTCTTTGCTTTCCAGCTGTAGGGGAGAGTTTTATAACTAATAGTAAACAATTTCAATACACATACAGGAAAACGAGTACATGTGCAACAATGATCAAATTCTTATTAAAGATATTTTTTTTTAAATGAGGTACCCGCTGTTACATGTACATCAGATTCGAAACAGCCAACCGATCCCGTTAGCTCGGTGGTCGAGTGGTAAGACATCTGCACTAGAAAGCAGGAGTTTGTGGGTTCGAGTCCCACCCGAGTGATTTTTTCCAACTTTTACTCGGGAGGTACACACTGAGTATACAGTGTTTATACGGCGGTGAAGGGCAAAACCTAATATTGATATTTTTATAGTTGAACAAAGAAATTGACTGGAGCGGGGTTTGAACCTACGCCCTCAAGATTACCCTTACGGTGCTCTACCAACAGATGTATTACACGAGAGATTAGTCATCGTAGACTGAAAAAAACTGGAAGGGTCTTAAAAATGTGCTGCAAGGGCACTGCAGAAAATGTGCCATATGGCCAGCATTGGGTGCAGCTTATTCAAGAAGCTTCCAGGTAGAAATGCCCAAGGAGTTAAGGTTAAAAGGTAAAATCTGCTATTGATCATTTCTGCAAGATGAATTGCTCGATGAATTCATTCTGTTCAGCTTCTTCCTTCTGTAGACCAGCAGCCTGTATCCGATATCTGCAACATTCAGTGATAAACATGAGTAAAATAAGCAACAAAATTTATGCGTTATTACTTTGTCACGACTAGCAGATATACAGGAGCACCTAATGAGGGGTGCTGGGGTCCAATGGTTAGGGTGTTCGACTTGTGTGCCCTGGTACATGGGTTCAAATCCTGACTGGGAACATGGCGCCTGTGCACTTGGGCAAGGCACTTTACTATGATTGCCTCCCTCCACCCAGGAGTATAAATGGGTACCTGTGAAGGTAGAGACCAAAATGCGCTGATCTTGAGCAGCTGCAGGGTCTCATTCCTGGTGAACAGGGATAATAATTGTGATGCGCATTCGATCATTCACTTATGAAATTTGCCCAGCCAATATAAATGTATAAATTATTATTATTTATTATTAAAAACATTGAACTCAAGTGGAAGACTTATATTGGCACCCTTCGGGAATGGTCGGTTGCAGTTTGGAAGACATGCTGAATGGTAACTGAACCAGATATTCCCAGATGGGAACAGATCCAGAGATGAACCATTCTGGAATGGGAATGGCATGTGTGCCCAAATGGGAACACCTGCATCTTCTCAATTCAGCAATCTTATATTGGGTTTTGTGGCGCCAACATATCTATAAACCCTACATAATCAGTGTTATTCAAGGGCTTGCGAGAAAATTTAATAAGCTTACTCGGGTGGGACTCGAACCTACGACAATGGACCGATCCAGTAAGCCCCGCCCACTGCGCACGTGGGCAAATTAACACGTGCTTCTCTCCAATGCCACACTGCATTTTCCTGCCGCGCGCATCATACACGCGTGCACGCATGTCGGAGTTTTGTGCACGCATGTCGGACATGAATCACGGCTGTGATTGGTCAGAATACCATGGGGCGGTTCTTACTGGATCGGTCCATTCAGGAATGGTGTGTTCCAGTTGGGAAAATGGAAGGTTTATGCTACTTCTGCAATTAACGCTCAACGTTTTGAAGCTGGAAATAACAATGACTAACATTTGTTATTACCTCTCCAGCTGTGTCTTTTTCTCCGCTATGAGAGCTTGTAATTGCTGTTGCTGTGCTTCCCTCTGTTTAGATATGGACTTCAACAAGTTACGCGAACCAATTGCCTGGGAAAATACAATTGAACAATACCAAATAATACAATTTGATCAAATAATACAATTTTATTCATTCATTTGAATGTGGTAACTAATCTTCATCAATTTGTAAACTTGTGTACAATATCAATTTACATTTGAGATTTGTGTTTGCCATTATCACTACAACATTATTTTCCAAATTTAAGTTCTTTCATTTTTGAACATGTGAAATCAAAAGTACCGAATTGAATCCAAAAAAGGTAGGTCTTTATTTGAACTGATTTAAGTAAAGATCCGGAACTAGGAAAACGACTGGACTTGGTTGCTCAATAAATGATTGAAACTGAAAGGAGTGGGACAAACTAACCTTCATTTTCTCTTGCTCGACTTCCTTTGCTAGTGAATCCACCATCTCAATGAGCCCTCCAACAATCGACTGAAAGCCATCAATTTCTATCAAATTTCAGAAGGACAAGAATAAAGATTAAACATGATCAAATTCAGCAGACCGTCAAATATTTACGCATATTAATTAGGGGATTTTCCCAATATCTCGTGAATAAATTGATGGTAATCGTGTAGTTTACGACACCTCTAAATGTTACTTTTACCAGTTTCATTCATAAATCAAAACCCTACCCTCTTTCCACACAATTAAGCTAGCTGATATTCAAAATGTATTCTTAGCGAACTATTTACATGATTTCAAACACATAAAGTGACCTTCCTTCTAAGTTCTAGTGCTTGTATCATCACAATATGTATAGGTTATGTCCCAAAACATAAAACCTCTTTGGAACAGGGTCCTAAACTAAACGAGTACCAAATTGGAAAGAATGTTGCATCATGACGCCACTTTTTTATCATATATTATCTCAATGAAGCTTATGAAGGTCATTGAAAAAGTGTTGAAAAGACATGAATCTATCTGAGACTGAGAAACATTTCCAATTTTGTTACAAAATAATGTTAATGCACTTGACTCGCCAGAAATGATAGGCCTATGGCTAAGGCCTAGGCCTAAGTTAGGCCGAAAGGGAGCAGAGCTTGCGATAGTACTGTACGGCCAGATGCAGTCGGGATAGCGTCTGGCATGTCTGGTGTCCATGTATGATGTAGCCCCATAAATGTGGCCTATTTACTGGACTGCCTCCGTAAACATAGGCCACACATCCACATGTACAAAAACGTGTCGACTTTGCCAAATTTTGATTTTCACATTTAGGCTTACTTTGTAGGTTTTTTTTGCTTTAGAAGCATTCTCACCCTCTAAATAGGCTAATCAGAAAGTGCTGCTTTTTTCTGATGTCCATTTTTCGTGAAATTTCCAGATACATTTGCACACGTTTGCGTATCAAAATTTCAACATGAAATTTCACAAAAATTAGACATCTGAAAAAGGCAGCACTTTCTGATTAGCCTATATAGAGGGTGAGAATGCTTCTTAAGCAAAAAAAAACTACAAAGTAAGCCTAAATGTGAAAATCAAAATTTGGCAAAGTCGACACGTTTTTGTACATGTAGATGTGTGGCCTATGTTTACGGAGGCAGTCCAGTAAATAGGCCACATTTATGGGGCTAGTGTCCATGGTGTCTGGATACTACATTCTTTACCCGATGGACCAACACTTGTATTCAGCCCTCTACTCTCGAATACTCACTGTCTACAAACTCTTTACATTCCTCTTTTAACTCTGACGTTTGTTGGTGAATTTCGGGCTCTAAAACCCTGATTTTATTCAGTTCATCGAAGTGCAAGCCAGCCTTGGCAACAGCTTCGTCCGCCATGTCTGATGGAATTTCACTGGTAACCTAGCTGTATCCTTAATCGGGATCATTGCTGTGTGTACAGTGTTAAACTGTGAATTGCGTAGCGAGTACCAACTGTTGTACTGCAGACAAGCGAGGGCGCTGTTTGTCTTGTCGTCTGCAAATTTCGTTATTAAAAACAACATTGATCTCCCATAGTCTACGAAAGCCCATTAGCGCCATTGCAAGTATATTGTGACGGAATAGGAATTAAGTCACCAACTGTATGTTTTAAATACACTAGCACACTGTGAGTCACCCACACTTTGCATATAAGGAATCCTTGTTTCTGATTGGTCAATTGAGTTTATGCACTGTTGTATGGCAAAGAGAAGTTGTGCACTAGCTTATGGGGCTCAAAGTCTATAAAAGGAGCTGCAGGGCTAGGATTTAGTCAGTTGATTGCTTGATTCTCTTATGATTAGAATAATTGTTCAGGCTCTTGATTATGTGGAATGACATGACGAATGATGATGATTAAAGGCATGACCACCATACTTGATTACTGTTTCTGTTCACCAATTACTAGTCTGTCTTAGGGTATAGGGTCTTCTTAGGACTAAGTCTAGGGCAAAGTCCCAAGGGAGATAAGTTGCTCCACCCACATTCCGACTCCACCTATTCCACCCAATTCCTACTCCACCCACATTCCGACTCCGCCGACATTCCGACTCCACTCACATTCCGACTCCGCTGACATTCCGACTCCGCCGACATTCCGACTCCACCCACTTCCGACTCCACATTCCGATTCCCAGTTCCCACTTTCATTCCCCTGCTCCATTGCCCTGACTACCAGTCTACTGGCTGATCCAACCAACCCAGAAGAGGGGATAGCCTGGTGCTGTGGCCCACCACTGCAGGGATAGGACACCATCGGGACGGCACGCTACCAACCAAACCAGCCTGACGCAGGAGAGCTGGCACCACACGTCACATTGGTGGCAGCGGTGGGATCCACCAGGAGAGAAACTTCAGTGGAATTCAGCAGCTGAAGGAAGAAGACAACGGAATGGAACAAAGAGAGCAAGCAGTGCTTACACCGGGGAAACACCGATCGGAAGAAGTCGACTCGGGAGTGGAATTCCGGTATCAAGGCAGTGACTTATTTCCAGCGGCTGTGGGAAGTGCGGCGACGAGCGGAGCAAGCAGCATCTTTCAACCAGTCCAGGAAGCATCGCAGCTCCAGTTCTCTCCAATGACATCCACCGTGAACCCTGGGCTGTTTCTAGGGAGATCGACAGGATGGACACCGGTTGGAGAAGAGTGGGCAAGGCAACCGATGGCGAGCGTCAACCCTGCACATCTTGAGGGGTCTCAACAGAGAACTCCACAACGTGGATGGATGGGCGAGCTGGGGGAACCAGCCGGAGGATCGCCGATGTTGAACCCACTGAGCACATCTACTCCAGTGAGCAACTTACAGATGTCAGGAACCAGAGTAGAGCAAGCACCAAGGCTACCAGTGACGATCGGGAAGATCGAAAACTGGTGCCCGGGGGGAGCAGGAGCAAGGGAATATTCCACCAGAAGTGGGAATATTGGAACTTCCGCACCACCAGGAATCACTACCCTCAGTGGAGCATGGCAAGCACCACCGGGGTACGGCCCGTACGTGCCACAAGTCTTCAGCACTATGACGGCAGGAATGCGGACATCCCCGGGGTATGCAGCAGCAGCAAGGCAGTCTACCAGCGGAGCAAGCATAAGCACGGCTTCTGCTCAAGGGAGACCATTTGAGGTGCCCGGAGCGGGAGCCGGAAGCGAGTACAGGCCGGTTTCAAGTGAACGGTCAAGCACGTGGGGTCCAGTTTTTGCTACCAAGATGGAGTCGAGTCAACCGCAACTACCACCAAAGGTTTCCTCACCAATGAAGGTGGAGGGACTGGAGCAAGGGTTGGCGGGAGCGACAATTGGGAGCAAGAAACCAGAGGGGCCAACGGCGGAACAAGAGAAAAAGACAGGTGCAGGGGAGGAGAAAATCCACCGAGCACAACGGAAGCCGAGTTTTGTTCCAGACAGATTTTCAGGGGACATTCCCTGGAGGGATTACAAGGCTCATTTTGAGTCTTGTGCCACGATCAACGCGTGGACCTCTGCAGAGAAAGCATTTTTCCTGGCAGCAAGCCTGAAGGGGCAGGCCCAGCAAGTGCTTGGAGACGGGGTCCAGGGCGAACCATTGAGCTACAACGACCTTACTACAAGGTTGGAAAGACGATTTGGTCCCGGGGACCAGGCTGAGAGATTCCTGTCGGAACTGAGGAGTAGGACAAGGGGGGTCAACGAAGGTCTACAAGCACTCGGACACAGCATCCGACGGCTGACGGAATTGGCATACCCTGAGCTCCCCAGAGATTCACGGGAAAGACTCGCCCGAGGGCATTTCATGGATGCCATCCCAGATGCAGAAGTGCGTGCGGGAATCTTCAGAGCACACCCTAAGTCCTTAGATGAAGCGATACAGGCGGCCCTGGAGACAGAATCATTCATCAACTCCGAGAGACAGAGGCAGGGGGGTCAAGGTGGTCGCCAACCTCCAAGGACGCATCGGTACGTCGAGACGGTCTCTCGAGAGGAATTCAACCGGCATATACAGGGCATGTTGGAACAACTCAATGCATTGGAGGCGATAATAGCTGGCCTAGCAGAGGCAATGCACAGCAAGACCGCAGCTCCGAGGAGTAACAAAGGAGGAGTAAACGATGCTGGGATTCAGAGAGAGGGAGGAGGAAGACAACCATGGGACATCGAAACCTGTCACAATTGCGGGGGCTTGGGACATTTCAAAAGAAATTGTCCAACTCCTACGAGCCGAGGATGGGCTACTGGAAACCCCAGGGGACTAACACAGCTATTCGTGGGGAGGCCGTCACTACCAGAGCAGAGCCAAGTAACCGACACAGAGACGACAAAGGCTACTCTCAAGGAGTCCAGGGGAGAAAATGAAAGAGGGGCATGGACGTTGACAAGAACTCCACGGTGGACACTGCAGGAATTGAGGGACGCACAGCTGGCGGATTCTTCAATTGGGCCGATGATGCGGGCGATGGAGAATGGTGAGGAGCCAGTATGGGAAGCCATGTCGGAGGAATCGGCAGCTATGAAGACATACTGGGCTCAGATGCAGCTACGGATCCGGAATGGTGTGTTGTCACGTCAATGGAAGTTGGAGAATGGAAAACGCGGCAGATGGCAGATGGTCCTACCGCCCACATTTCAAGAGAAAGTTCTCAAGGAACTACACAACAGTAAAGTGTCACGTCACCCCGGCGTCTACAAATCACTGCAGATAGTGCGCCGACGCTACTACTGGTCGGGCATGACGAAGGATGTACGGACAACAGCAACGAGCTGTGAGAGCTGTGGCCATGCGAAGTTCCATGGAAGAAAGGCTCATGGACTACTCAAGCAACATGTGGCAAAAGCGCCAAGCATGGTGAGAGAGAACATCATGGTGAGGCCACGTGTGTGGAAAGTGAGGTGCTCCAACAGCATTCCAATGGCATTCAAAGGGAAAGTTCAACAACATTCCACTGGGGGAAAGTCAGCAACATTCCAGCCACATTCCGCCAAGACTTCGGCATCCCTCCACCGATATTCCGATGTTCCACCGAGACATTCCACAGGAATTCAAACAGTATTCCACCAGGGCATTCCACCGAGATTCCAGGTACGAGGGGAGATGCCAGAAGACAAGCTCAAGGTGGGAGCCGACAAGGGAAAAGACAGGCAACGAGACCCCCGAGACCCGTCCCGGCAAGAAGTGCACCGCTGCCCAGAGCCAGGGTGTGGAATGACCACGACCAAAAGATCTAACCTGGTCAGACACCTGAGAGAGTGCCACAGGGAACAGGCCCAATTTCGCTGTGGTGGATGCGACGAACGGTTCTCTAGAAGGGACTCCCGGGATCGGCACGAGAAAAAAACCCACCGGGGTGGGAGCACAATGGCCAAGACCAGCTAAAAGTCCAGTAGACCGTCCACATCACGCCTGTAATTGAGCTGCAAGCCGCTCGGCTCCTCCTCAGAGGCAAGCTGCTCCGACGTCAACCTCCGAAAGTGGAAGAAGTACTTCCACGAAAAGGGGGGAAGTTCCACAGAGTGCTACGCCAGGAGGACCAGTCCAGTGTCCAGGTAACCAGGGACAGCTACACACCTCAGAGGGTGAAGAGGACATCAACAGGGAATACGGCAACACAATCTGTTGGAACGATGTAGCCTGCCATCAGGAAAGGATGACAAGAACTTCCACCTAAACTCCTAAATCTCTATAAAAATAACATGGAGGAATGTTTTCTGAAGAAATTAAAGTTTATACGATTTTGTTCAGATCTGAGATATTTGTAAGTCAAGTTTTAAAGCTAAGTTTTGAACCACCAAGTTGTTGTTTTTCAAAGTAAATGTTTCCGAGAAGTATTGGAATGTGCTAAAGATTTACCAAACTTAATTTTCATGTAAAATATTTTTGTCTTAGTTATTTCATCTGAGTTGTTTTATTAAAAGCTCTTGTAGTTTTCAGGGACTGAAAACTTTGGGAGGGGGGCTATGTGACGGAATAGGAATTAAGTCACCAACTGTATGTTTTAAATACACTAGCACACTGTGAGTCACCCACACTTTGCATATAAGGAATCCTTGTTTCTGATTGGTCAATTGAGTTTATGCACTGTTGTATGGCAAAGAGAAGTTGTGCACTAGCTTATGGGGCTCAAAGTCTATAAAAGGAGCTGCAGGGCTAGGATTTAGTCAGTTGATTGCTTGATTCTCTTATGATTAGAATAATTGTTCAGGCTCTTGATTATGTGGAATGACATGACGAATGATGATGATTAAAGGCATGACCACCGTACTTGATTACTGTTTCTGTTCACCAATTACTAGTCTGTCTTAGGGTATAGGGTCTTCTTAGGACTAAGTCTAGGGCAAAGTCCCAAGGGAGATAAGTTGCTCCACCCACATTCCGACTCCACCTATTCCACCCAATTCCTACTCCACCCACATTCCGACTCCGCCGACATTCCGACTCCACTCACATTCCGACTCCGCTGACATTCCGACTCCGCCGACATTCCGACTCCACCCACTTCCGACTCCACATTCCGATTCCCAGTTCCCACTTTCATTCCCCTGCTCCATTGCCCTGACTACCAGTCTACTGGCTGATCCAACCAACCCAGAAGAGGGGATAGCCTGGTGCTGTGGCCCACCACTGCAGGGATAGGACACCATCGGGACGGCACGCTACCAACCAAACCAGCCTGACGCAGGAGAGCTGGCACCACACGTCACAATATGTTGGTAATTCGTTATTACGGACTGTTAATCCGTTATTACGGATTATTAATTCGTTTATTACGGATTATTAATTCGTTATTACGGATTATTAATTCGTTATTACGGATTATTTATTCGTTATTACGGATTATTTAATTCGTTATTACGAATTATTAATTCGTTATTACGAAATAAATCTGGTACTCACATGCGGAGAGCACGTGATCAGAATGCACTGAGAGCTGGATAGGGTTTAATCAAAATGCAAAATTTTGGGAACAAATCCCCAGATTGTCTTACAGCATAATATAGTATCACCGACCCTGATCACAGAATGGCCAGTCTTAAGTTTCGCTAGATCAGACTAAGGCCCATAGGCGGCATGCGGCAAATTTTACATTTAATCAAATTTGAGAACAAGATCAAATCAACTATCATTAGCTTGGAACTTTTGGATTATGGAAAAAACTTAAGAGTGATTTTAGATCAGACTAATTAACTTAAAAGCGGCGCAAAAAGCACAGGGGGCGTTACCTTTACCCCCACCTTTTCTTTTTCGCTCATACCCTTTCGACACAACGGTAGAGGAAAACATTTTTTAAAAAAAACAGCTTTTATTGGTGCCTTGGCACTTGTGAAATATGAAAATATGACTAAAGAGTGATTTTAGGTCAGAATAATTATCTTAAAAAGCGGCGCGGAATACGGAGGGGGAGGGAGCGCAACCCCCTCCATGATCATTTTTTTTCCTTATATCGTCGCAATGCATTTTTTAAATCCCGCCAAGTTTCTCTGACAGTTGTTTGGATGTCCTGTGGTTATTTTGACACCACGTTATGTAAATAGGGCATACTCTCGTCGCAAAATGTCCATTTACCAAAACAGGTCGACTTAAATGTGAACTTTTCCCATCACATTGACCATGTTTAATTTACATGAGAGTGCGCGCATGAGATCGAGAGTGCCGACTTTTTAATGACCATGACAACAAATCATTTTAACAGGTTGAATTGAAACTTCACACATGTACCACAGATATTCGGGTTTCCATTCAAATAGTTTTAGATGTGGGAGGAGCATATCAGACCTCTGGTACCCTGGGATGGGTCATGAACTTTGTATACAAACTTATCACTGTTTATCATTTATATTCTTCAAAACGCCAGCTTTTCGCGAAGTGCAAAGGAAGGATATTGCAACTATTATTATTCTACACTCAGACCCAAAAGACAATGGAGGGACCTCTTTTCCTTTTTTTTTCTGCTGGCAGCTGCAACGATGATACGACTGCATAGAAGGCTTTGGACATGGACGACGCGAGGAGGGGGAAAGGCAAGGGGCGCTTGGAGTCCCCCCCCCCCCCCCCGAAAGGAAAACAAAGAGGGAAAAAAGGAAGGAAAAAGAGGCGCGATGTAATATTGCTGTAAGTTTAATGGGTTGGGGGTGTCCCTGTCCTCTCTAAAAAAAAAAAAATTAAATAGAGAATAATTGGTTGAGAAATATGCTTTGCCCCCCTCTTAAAAAAAAAATTAATCCGTATTAACGAATTAAATAATCCGTAATAACGAATTAATAATCCGTAATAACGAATTAAATAATCCGTCATAACGAATTAATAATCCGTAATAACGAATTAAATAATCCGTAATAACGAATTAATAATCCGTAATAACGAATTAAATAATCCGTAATAACGAATTAGTAATCCGTAATAACGAATTAATAATTCGTAATAACGAATTAAATAACCCGTAATAACGAATTAATAATCCGTAATAACGTATTAAATAATCCGTAATAACGAATTAATAATCCGTAATAACGAATTAATAATCCGTAATAACGAATTAATAATCCGTAATAACGAATTAAATATCTGTAACATATATACTTGCAGTGGCGCTAATGGGCTTTCGTAGTTTTGGAGAAAACACGCAGAGAATTTTAACAGAACGATTTCAAACAGTGGCGGGTTTTCACTTAAAAAGGGGATCGGGTCGTACCGCTCACCCCCCCCCCCCCAAAAAAAAAATTATCAGAAGGATTTCAAACAGCACTCTTTAGAGGGGAAGATAGGACACTAGATATCTTTTTGTACGATGACCTGTGAACACGATGACGTCATAAAATTGGCCTATGGGGAAGGGCTATACGGTATAGTATGCAAACGCGCGTTCGGCAAAGCTTAATTAACACGGGAATTATAGAGGACATCGGATGTAAAGTTTTCATTGATGAAGGGGAAAACACACACAAAGGACGAATAGGGCCTATTCTAAATATAACCCATTGCTCATAACATGAATTGAATGTAAATCAAATTAGGTTTTGCCCTTCACCGACGTATAAACACTGTATACTCAGTGTGTTACCTCCCGAGTGAAAGTTGGAAAAAAATCACTCGGGTGGGACTCTAACCCACGACTTCCTGCTTTCTTGTGCAGACATCTTATCACGCATGATTTGCTGTCGTAAATAGAAATTTCTGTTTTTGGTGATTCGTTGTTTCAATGAATGACAATAAGTCAACGAGCAAACATTTAATTCTTACAAATGTTTTCAATGAGCAAATTTTTGGGTTCGCAATTTGAACAGAAACCCTCAAACTAAAATGTTCATAAAATGACATCACGGCAAAGGCGCCCTCAATAGTCCAGAACAGCTTGGAACATCATAAATGCTTTAAGAAGTGCACTTTTCAAAAAAGAAAAATAAACCGTAAAGGGATGCCAAATAGTTTTCACGCATATATAAGAGGAATCTACAGTTGCACAAAACACTTTCCCAAATAAAATTCATGTCCTGGTCATTTAACCAGGTGACAGTCTTTATTCTCTATTGAAAACATTTTATCGGTTAAACCATCCAAATTAGTTACAATCTAAGAATTAATAACTACAACGATTGATTTTAAACCAAAGTACATAATCGAAATACTGCATGCATATACAACCGCGGCTAGTAGTTTAAAAAAATCTGTGTAATCTAAAAGGAAAAACTGATTTAAAATTTTCTCTTGTTGTAAAACGCTGAAAGTTCCCTGAAACTTAGAAAACATCCTCAAATTAACCGACTCTCAACAAAAGTGTAAGAAAAGGGATATTGGTACAGTTTCAGTAAAGCAAAGTTTGTCTGCGGACTTTTAAGGAATTTTATGTTTAAAGCAAAGACCTCAATAATTTCTAAAGAGACAGAGCAGTTCAAGGTATGGAACAAGATAAATCAAGGATCGTCGTTCAACCCATGAACTAATTGGGTTTTTTTCTTAAAAATATACATGAAAAAGTCGTGTTGAATTCTTTGAAATTAGTCTAGAAATATTGGAGATTATCATTCAGATAGTCAAGCACAACTTAAAATGTACCAACAAGCTAGAGACATTCTCCATCTCAAAACTATACAAATGAAACTACAGTAAACAAATTTATAAACAAATAAACGGCATTGGATGCTATAAGTAAATAAATTTCACCAAAGTAACATTTTAAAAAGAGACAGTAAATATTATTGGTATGACCTCATTGGTACTATAATAATACGATCGTATACTTGTGGAGATGTATCGAAGGATATACTAACGCATATGGTACACTGGATTATAATGTACCTCAGAATGTCTGAACTGATTGTCATTATAGTCTAACGAGTACCGCTTTGGGTACGAGGCTGAAGAGTAGTTATGAGGATAAAGCGTTGGATTTCTGAGATGATTTGATGATAAAGAAAGCCTACTTCTCCCTGGCGCGTACCCATTTGGTAAACTAGCTTTGCTGCCGTACCCCTCCCGTTTTAAATCCGGACGTAAATAAGCATGGTCAGGATAGTGAATCGGTAGAAACCGACCACTGCTTATGGTGCTTACATTCCTTGCGAAAGCTGGATCATTTACAGGCACGTCTTGAGTTTGTTTGAGAGGTCTACTGTCAGCAACTGGAGTTGTTGGACCGTTATTGTAACCAAAACAGTCACAGCACGACGAACAAGGTATGTTACCAAAGTTATTCTGGGGACCCACAGTAAAACAAAGAGATTGGAAGAAGAAAGTGCTGTAGGCCCAACTCAGAGTCATGACGATCATGAGAAAGATACCAAACTGCGTGTAGCCGTAGACTGTCGCTGGCATGACCAGGGCACCAGCGATGAAGGTGGAAAAGGCTGCAATGGATATAGCACCGGACATGGTGGCCAGCGAATACCGGCTACGACTCTTACGATCGTAATGCGGAGCCAGCCGGTAGGCGACGCCATAGTGGATGGTAAAGTCTACGGACAAACCCACAGACAGCGTGATCACGGTGGATTCTACGATGTTCAACTCCCAGCCGAGCAGGACTAAAGCGCCAACAGTGACGAAAACTGTGCTTGTGATTGTGATCATTGCATTTACAGTTAAAATGATATTCTGGATTGCAAAAAGAAGAATAACGGATCCTATGCCGAGAGTTACTAGCATGGAAAATATTGTACCTGATGCCAAACTCCTCTGCAGATCATAAAAGCCTATGTCCGTGGTGTACGGCACGAACCATCCGTGCCGCAGGTGCGTTGGTGCAGATTTTACTTTGGAATCTACCCAGGTACTGGCTGATGTCCAAAGCTCGTCGTTGAGGGCGTAAGACAAGCTCTGCCTGTAAGACATTGTAAAAGGAATTGTGACAACAGCAAGCGAGGAATTGTCTTTGCTGAATCTTAAACTAGGGATGTAACCCAAGTCGTGGAATCGACTCAAGCAAACATCAAAGACGGAGGAAGGATATGGAAAAGACGACTGGCCACAACAGGGCGATGCATCTTGGCCTGTGACAGGATTGACCACACATGGCTGTTCCATGAGTGCTTCCATACGCTCTATGAAACAGTCGTAGGGCGCATCCGATTTAAAGAAGGTCTGATTTCGCAAATCTTGACAAAAATCCATCAGCCACTGCTGATCTAATGGACTCGAGAAAACAAAGTCTTGACGGGGACTAAAGGTTCCCCAGTCATCGGGGTCCCACAAGTTGCCGTTATCGACCGCCTCGACGCCCCACACGACGTAACCAGGAACGTAAGGTTTGTTCTTGTTGGCAAAAGCAAACTGGTCCTTATAAATGAAGTCATACTGTTCGAACTGGTGTGAGAGGATAAGAAACTGATTTTCTGCAACGCTTGGTAGACGCACGCCGGGCCTGTAAAATATGACGACTGCTCCTCCTACCCCAAGCAAAAAGAAAAAGACGATCCAGATGTATCTCAGTCTCAAGACAAAGGAGGGCAAAGTCTTTTCAAAGAAGCTCTTCACAATTTTGATCAAACGCTGTCGGCAGGAGTCATGGGTCTCAGAGCGGTTGTCATGGTTACTAGTTTCCTTCTTGCCTTTAGATGTCCTCCGGCAAGTCAGACGGGTCAGTTTATGATCAAGGACAACGATTGCAGGGGTCAGTGTGATGGTTAAAACTAGATTCATTAAGATTGCTGTCCCGGCGAAAACACCGAAACACTTGACAGCCGTGATGTCGGATATGACACTGGCGAACAGCGCCGCCGCAGTGGTAAAACTCGTCACAAACATGGTCGTCGTGGCATGACGTAAAGTTTCCCGGGTGAGTGCCACGAGATCTTTGCCGCCAGTTTCCATCTTGCACTTGTTCCAGAGATCGATGAAGACGAAGGCATCGTCTGCTCCAATGCCGATGATGAGAACTGCTGCCAAGACGTTGCTGAAGGGGAAGAATGGTCTGGCGAAAACCACGGTGAAAAAAAAGTACGCCATGAGTAGCGAAAACAAAATGTTGAGGAGCGCTGCCGTGGTAAAAACCAGGGAACCAGTGTAAGTCCAGATGAGAACAAATACCACTGCGATACCGATTCCCAAGAAAATTGAGTCAGCAAGTAGGAGACTTGAAAATATGGTGAACTTAAGAGAGAAGTCGACCGCTTTAAGTTCCGTGATGCCGTCTGAGCATGAGCATCTCTGAAGATTGTCTGTGTAGATGGTCTGGAGGGCAGATTCTTCATATAACAGTAGAGGGAAAAAGATGGCCGCCACTTCTGCCTTGGGCGTCTCAGTTCTCAAGATGCTTTCACTGAAATCCGACGGTAGGAGAAAAAACAGCATCGTGTGAATGGCGTAGTCGTGTTGAGTGCATTCCGTAGGTATGTTTGTGATGTCATCAGAATCCTGTAGCTCTGAACGGGTGCGATTATGGAAGACTGGTGCACATTGTTTCAACAACGTTACGACGTTGTCAACGTCATGGTCGGTAATATTTTGGCATGAGGATTTGTTGGACAGTAATGCAACGTAGTTTCCAAGCGACCAAGTACTTGAGCAGTGCCCTACGTCATGACAGAGGCAGTTAGACTGGTACATAGGATGTGACGTGATGAGGTTAGTTTCTGCATAGCAAACTGACTTCAGACTTGATGCTGAGAGCATGTCTTTTCCATCAACTCCCTCAAATATCACCTTGGCAACTTGCTCATCCCAGTCCCCTGCAAGAAACAAGAAAACATATGCTAGATTACTTCTTGTGTTGGTCTTAAATTGAGATGAGGTTGGTACTGACGGAGGTGGTATCGATAAAGGGGGTGATAGAAGTTAAAGTGGTGAAAATGATGTCGGTGATTTGTTGTGATAGTGGTGATTTGATGTGATAATGGAGATTTGATCTGATAGTGGTGATTTGATATGATACACATGTAGTGGGGATTTGGTAGGTGGTAAGTTGATGTGATAGTGGTGATTTAATGTGATAGTGGTTATTTGATGCAATAGTGATGATTTAATGTGATAGGGTGATTTGGTGTAATTATGATAGTGGCGGTGTGAGGTGAGCGCTAATTTGATGTGACGGGGTGATTTGATGTGATAGTGGTGATTTCATGTGGCATATACAGTCAGTGGTGATGGAAATCGCGATGGTGATGATGATAGTATTAATAGAGATGTATGTGAATGATGACGACAGTGAGGAAAATTACAGTGGTGATCGAGATGATAGTGGTGACGATCTGAAAGTGTTGATAGAGATGGCAGTCGTGGTGATGGTGATACTTACAAAGAGAAGCAGCAAACCAGATACCAGGTTCAGATTCCTTGTCTCCAGCCTGCTGCTCAGGATAGTGACAACTTATCTGAGGTCTAGTCACAACCTCATCGCTGATTGATGCAAGGTTTATGACTTGCTGGCTGAGGTAATCATCGGAATAATACAGCATGTTGGTGAGACTTCTAAGACGTGCTGCAATATCGGTGCCTCGAGCATCAAAACCCTGAGACAAGAACAAAAACCCATTAGTTATATTTCAAGTCGGTTGCTGAAAGCCGTGAACATTTAGTTAATGGCCGAGTTTGTAATCAGATCATATCACATCTTGTACCTCATGAGGTAGTCCAAGTCGCATTCATAATAGTTTGTAGTTTGATGTTTGCAGGTCCTTCGTATAAACCACATTTTTAAAAGTGGGAGCGATAGGGTAAATATTTCAAAGAGTAAGTGTTAAATGATATTAGCCAGTTGCAGCTTGCAAGCCATTTGTAATACGGTTGATTTGGGTACATCAATGAGATGCACAAACGGTTGCTGCCAATCCTCACCTTGACTGGATCAGAGAAGTCTGGTAGTCGGTAGAGAGTAAATGCGATCGTGCCATACGCTGCCATCATTGCGAAGACAATGATGCAAACCACGTACCAGAACTTGGTGAGAATTGTTGCATACCTACAGAAATGAAGGTAAACCATTTAGGAACTTAATATGAAATAAAATTAATAATGGATGGCTACACATAATTATGACATGGTTTGCATAATGGAATCAAAGATGTTGTCGACTATAATAATAGACATAAAATTGCATTCATCACTATTTCCAATATTCCAAGGTTTTGGGGGGATGATGACCGTATACGGGTCAAACTACATACGGTTTAACACCTTGACGCGTGTTGGTCGAGTACAAAGTCTACACGACAATCAAGAAGTTTCAAAGTACATCTAACATAACTTGAAACGTTTAGAGTTCTTGGAGTTTTCAACACTGCTATGACCATCATTGAAATAAACTTGTCTATGTAAAAGCGCCACTTCTCTGGTTGTGTACACAGTGTATGGAGAGTTGCATGCATTTTTGAAGTTCATTGAATTTCTAATGAAATTGGAAATGTTTCTCAGTCCCAGATTGGATGTCTTTTGAACATTTTTGTGATGACTGACTTTCATTGAGATACTATAGGGCCTACATATATATATATATATATAGAAAAAAAAGTGGTGTCAGGATGCAACATTCTTACCAAAGAAATGACGGTATATTGATATTGCATTCTTAGACTTCTTCATGTACAAGGAAAACGATTGTTTTTTCTGCGTTGTCACAATCAATGCAGTTCCAGTCAGGCGGGATCTCATACTGGACTAACGCTAAAATGAACTAAACTACACAGGAGAATAATAACACTCACGTGTTGCTTATTCCCGATTTCACCTCATCAGATTGATGTCCAAGTTCCTGCATCGACTCGGCATCTTTGCCTTTCTCCGCCATAGCCGACATGACTGTCCAATTCCACTTGATCGATAGTGGACAAAGCGTCCTTTTCACTGGACAACTTCCCGTTCCAACTCGCGAGCAACCCAGTGATGTCTCTGAATGCCGGGTCTCATAGGAGCAAACATGAGGTGGGGCCGGTAACACGGAAAGTTTCTTGACCGTATAATCCACCTGCATACCTCGCCACAGCATCTCAAAGACGAATGTTTACTCAAGACTCGTGACTGGGCATTAGGAATATGACATGCACGACCACAAAGGATAAGCAAGGACACATATGGAAAAACATCGTCATCGCCTTTTGTGTTGAAGCCGAAAGTTTGGTGAACCCAAAAGCTCCCCTCCCCTCTTCTCATCTATAAAGCCCTGTCATTGTATTACATCAGGAACTTTCCCTTAGTTTTAATCGCCAAGAGCATAGAGCTAGGACCCATGCCAAGAGCATTGAGAACCTCTTGTTTTCAATACTACTTTAAATGTGTGGTATGATTGCAAATATCTGTAACTAGGCGGATCGGGGGGGGGGCCAAGGGGCCATGCCCCCCCCCCCCCAAAAAAAATAACGAAACCAATTGTTTTTTTGTATTTTTTTAATGTGACGTCGCAATAAAGGCAGACAATGATTACACCACCATCTTTTCCTCAAAAAACATTGGTTAAAGTGGTCAGAAATTGCCTCAGATCGCACCACAGAGCATCTAGAATCCAAAAAAATCGGGGCCTTTAAACTGAATACATGTTGGTCTATAGAAATCAACCTATTTAGGGTGAATTTAATTAACAGAGTTGTTGAATCGAGTCGCTGATTTTTTGACTTGAGACTCGACTTGACTTGGGAAAAAAATAAAAATACTTGAGACTTGACTTGACTTGGAATAGTATGATTTGGTTACAACTCTGGGATTTAATTAGCCCCTTGCAAGACTGAGTAAAAGAGAGATTGAAACTGGCATGCTTAGCCCATTTGAGTTATTCGTAAAAGCATAGCACTGATGACGCGGAGACGCCATTTTCTCGGTACTATGATGTAGTACCAGTAAATCTTGAAAAAGTTTAGTGATACTTAAATCTAAAAAAATATAGATTGTAAAAATGTAACTTTTGAACTGAAGCTATATGTAAACCCATGTCAATGTTTAACGTCCGTTTGTTTCCTAAAACAGCGTCGCGACAGCCCTCTGAATCGTAAAAAAAAAAATTAGCCAGGTGGAACCCCAAAGGGGCGGGGCGTGATTGTGTGGACAATGGGCGTGTTTCAAATCCTTATGAATAGAACATTTGCTTCTCCCACTTCTCCCGTTTACTCACCCCTCATTTGTCTTCAAAATTTCATTATATATTATCTTTCCTAATCCCGTGGACGCATTATGTGCATTATTGCTTTTTATATTAAAACCAAAAAAAGACAGATACCGCGATCCCTTGTGATTCTTATACGCAGCATTACGTCATTAAGTAGATGACGTCATGAGAAAAGTTGTTCTCCAAACACTGTGTGTGAGCATGGAGGTAGGGAGATAGTTCGTCTCTGTTTACCGTAACTATGTCTATTCTTAAAGACAGGCGTGGGTCACGGGGCATGCAAAAGTTTCTTCATCACCCCGTTCAAATTCTCGGAATAAAACTTTGCGACCTGGGAGAAAGTAAATATCCGGGCGAAGTTAAGCAGCTTAATATAGCATCTACTCCGTCTCATCTTACTCCCCACAGTACACAATACATTTCTGAAAAACTGCTCGATCATTGTACATATAAAGTGACACTTGTAACAACTTTCAGTTCTATCAAAAAGAGACAATTTTTTAATGAAAAATTATTTCACTCTTAATACGGCTGTTTTCAACGTCCCATTTTTTCTCTAACATGTATTCTAAAGGTTGACATAAATTTGTGCAGAAAATAAACACCAGTAGACCTAAGTGAATCTTAATTAGCAGATTTTGTGTAACACTTTTTTTCATCACCCCCATGTTTTTGGAGATGAATCCAAGATTAAGAAAGCAATATTTATAGTGAAATTTGGCTTCACGGTTTTGCAAAGCTGAACAAAAGTATAATAAACTGAAGAAAAGACGATTCACGATTACAATAGACCCTTATCATGCTGCCACCATTTCAGTCATGCTTCCTGTATCCAATGACAGTACTGAATGATGTTTTTCATGCAAAAAGGAATCAGACTATTTTCCCTATCGGCCTCACTTTGGTAACGTTGATCTGAATGGGGGGGGGGGGGAAACCAAGAAGATGGCAACATGATACTGGTCAATTGCTTCTAAGATTAAAAGGGGTTCGCAAAATCGATTTCTTAACCAAGTACTGGATTTTTTAAAAATCTTTTTGAACAGTTTAAAGTAACACAGTGGCAAAGGCCAGAGGATCGGCGAACCGACTTTTGTTCAACTTCAGACATAATGGGTTAATTAATCAAAAGAATTAATTACAATTGCTTGGCTTTAGAATTGACTGGTTGTCGATTAAATGTCATTGTGTTTACAAATCTACGTAATCGAATTGCACAACTATTGAAAACTTACAGAATTAATAAAAAAAAACAACTAAATTTATCTCCTGAGCCAAAAACTGGTAAACCAGTCACGGTCCCATAAGGATTAGGGTTAAATAAGATATACTTCATTACATGTATTTAGATTAGGTTACATGAAAAGGGGAAAACAAAACACGGTAATTTTAAGACAATTTGGGAAGAAAAGTAGAAAATAAGAAGTTAACTTTCCAAAAGGTTATCTGGACCTCCAAGTGTTTGGCATATGATGAACAAAACGACTGTATTACTTTTGCAATTTGATCATGTTCATTCTCAGTCAGTTGTTACAATCCTAACTTAAACATTATTACTGTCAAATAATTACTTCATTTTTGGCCAGATTCTCAAATTTAAACTTGCTTCTTGGTCATTCTACAAATTTGGGGTCCACTTTTTCCTGTCCTGTTACATCTAACATCTACGATTTATAATTCTGATGTAGATGCACTACTTAATGCAGTCGTCCTCCAAGAGTGATTATGAATGGCAAACTACCTACCAACAAATAAATTATGCTCATTTGAAGTCATTGTTAGTTATACTTGAATGACAAATTATATAGTACCAAGGTAACAGGGACAGGGAAAATGTCACACTTTGGACCATTCATTTATAGAATAACTCCACTCCAAGCTTACTTAACGAGTTTTGTGCTTCCTTGAGCGAGAGGTCCCAGTGCTTACAGCAGGCTTTTCTGGGGACTTTGCCGGTTTGTAATCATCACTAAACAGCATCAGTAAAAGAATCAGCACAGGTAAAAAGAAGTAAGGACAATATATGGCCGCAAGCTTCAGTCGTTCCTCTAAAGTTACTGGCCCTGGGTGGGGAGAGTTGGTGAAGTCTTGAAAGAACATATGAGCGAAGATTGCTTGCAGTGTGGTGGCGGTGTGGACGGAATAAATGATAGCTGGAATACGAATCCACTTACAGCTCCCTATGGGAAAACCACAAAATAAAGAAATTAAAATCAATTAAAATTGGACATCCATAGATAAATTCAATAAAACATTATTTTTAATTAATATGACCAAAAAACACACACACACACACCCAAAGTTTGAAATTCAAGCAAAGCAATAATACATAATATGAGCAATCCAATGCATTGAGTATTTATTATTTTACCGTATTACATTCCAAATATTTATAAATATTTTGCAATTTTCCAACATTCCAATAATAAAAAGAATTCTCAATTAAATAATTACCTTTGTAAAAGGCATAGGTTGCAACAAAGAAGAATGGGAATTGCAGCAGACATTCACCGTAGACGAAGGACATGAACCATGGGTAGGCTGAGGGATCCGCCATCATTTCATCCTTCATGAATATGCAGTAGTCTCTAACAAGATCTAAAAACTGAATGAGATTTCAATATGGCAATGTGTGAATACCATGGAGCTGTATGATAAAGAACTGATTTATACCAACACATTTCATCAAAATGAGAGATGGATTTTGTACAAACGAGATAAGGGAAGCCTTGAGAAGCCATTCCCTGAGTACAACTGATTCAGAATGGCTATTCATGGGAGCCTTTTCAAGCATCTTTGGGCTAAATTTAGCTCTCTCACAGTATTACAGGGTTCTCCTACTCAACAGCACTGCCCTGCATTCTTAAATTCATTAGCCACCAACCACAATAAGTCACAAGTGAATCGGTCAGTCAGTCAGGTGAGTCGGTCAGTCAGTCAATTCACTGAGATAGGTGTAAAAGAGGACAATAGGCATGCCCTCTTGGACCAAAAATAGGGAATACATTCATTCATCAGTTTATTGTCATCATATCATGCTTGAAAATTACATGACAGTTGATTTCCAGTGTAGGTCTATAATTAATGTACATGTAAAAATATTTGTTGAATAGTTATTCAATCATGACAAAACAACAAATACTTAGGCATTATAAATAATCATAATTATACAAAAATACAAAGTACATAAATACATGTATACAGTAGTCAGTACAGTATTGAAAAATGAAACTTCAGGGAGGGGTAGGGTAGGATCACAGAGCAAGGAACAGAAGGGTAATGGGTCGATGGGATTAATAGTGAATAATTGTGAGTATTCCTTCTCCATTGTTCTCATGCTAACTGTTTAGTCGAAGGGCCTACAAAAAAAAAAATACAATGTAAATGTTCTGTGTAAAATTATGTGATTTTAGTACTTCATATACTTACCACTTTCGGGTAGAGCCATGATGGCATAATCGCCTGTGAATCGAAGAAGATCGTGATGATGATGTGGCTGGCAAAATAAACCACAATCACCCATTCCAGAACTCGGGTTAATCCTTTCGCCATGATGATTGAATGTCTGTATTCTAATTTCTACGCGCGAGTACCCGGCCCAGCCGGTTTTGCAATATCATACACCCGCTCCCACTCGCTATCTTGCCGTACTTTGTTATTGACCGAGATTTAACAATCATCACCTTATCTTTGACCACCTGGGATTTGTTCTTTTTATTGACCTTCCGGAACAGAAGAGCTGGTACCTGCAAAATCAACAGATTTTTGTCTCACAAAAATAGCGCGCGCTTCGCTAGATGAACCCTGACCTGTTTATCCAGGCACTGCCACAATGCCCGGGTTGAAATCTGAACCGATTCAGAATCAGGTTGAATTCTCATTTTGGTTTGTGTGCAGGTGTGGTGTTGAAGAGGTTTAGCAAACCTAGACTTTATATGTGCTTTGGTTCCATCGCCGTCTTCAACTGAATCTAAAAGCCTTTTAATACTCAGAATTAATTTACTTCCAATCTTCTAACTTATAGCATGTAACAATATAGCATGTAACATTACTTTTTCACAAAACAAACTCATAAATCGAGCCAATGAAATGAGGTTTCAATAAGAATCCTTTGAATGCAACGTTCAAAATGATACCGAGATTTTCAAATACCACAGATCCGTCTGGAGATTTCTGAAGTGGAGCGTGCCGTCCGAAGTCCGGTCATAATCTAATTGGGCGTTTAGGAATCAGCTGTTGATGTTGATGTCAACAGACTAGACATGACAGAGCGAAATGAATTGAATTTGAAAGGGTTTTGCTTTTCTTTTATAAGTTGCTCCATCAGCACCAATTTGTCATGGCAACCGGTTCAAAGTTTGTGTTAGGAATAGATATAGGTACGACTTCTGTGAAAGTGTCTCTGTACGATCCCCAATCCAAGCAAACACTTCAAAGTGCCGCTTGTGAAACACACGCAAAGATCTCCCACGATCGGCAACCTTCCGGTGCGGCCGAACAGGATGTGGGAAAGATCTTGGAAGCTTGTGAGACGTGCTTGAGAAAACTGGATGCAGAATGCCTGAAATTGGTCAAGCGCATTGGGGTTGCTGGCCAAATGCATGGTTGTGTCTGTTGGAACTACGGGAATGAAGAAACAGACACAATTTCAGGCCTGAGCAAAATAAAATGGTTTGAGAAATCAGTAATCTGCAGTCGACTTTTTACCTGGCAAGATTCCAGATGCACTCCAGATTTCATTGCTTCTCTACCGACGCCAGTTTCGCATCTTCGGCTGGCAACTGGGCATGGATGCGCCACTCTGTTCTGGTTACAGAGGCACTTGCCAGAGTTTGTGCAGAAATTTCAGTATGCAGGGACAGTAATGGATCTTTTGGTGAATGTGTTGTGCGGTCTTGATGAGAAACCTGTCATGTCTGTTCAAAATGCAGCTAGTTGGGGGTATTTCAATGTTGAAGAGAAACGGTGGAATAAGGAAATGTAAGTGTTTCTCCTTGGTCGAAACTTCATGAGTAAATCATGAATGAACTTCATGTACATATTGCCATGATTGAAGCAACTTTATTAATTTAGTTATTCCCAGCTTCTTAGTATGTGTGAATAGGTAAAATTGTTCAAATTTTCATTTGAATTTTTCTCATTCATATCCCTCAGACTGTCATCAGCAGGTTTTCCAGTTCATCTGTTGCCAAAGGTCGTTGACCCTGGATCCATTGTCGGCAAGCTGCAGTCATCTTGGCATGGTATCCCAGCAGGCTGTGAGGTTGGGGTTGCCATGGGAGACCTGCCATGCTCAGTTCTACCATCCATGCAGTCACAATCTGATGCTGGTACGACAGCCCCCCCCCCCCCCCCCTTGGCTCCTCCCCTCCCTGGCCCCTTCCCCAACCCTCCCTCAAAATATGAATCTAATGCTGTGACTGAAATGTGTCTGGGTGGTCAAGTCTTCAGATTACTTTGTGGTGGTCAACCCCCCCCCCCCTTTTTTATTTGTGTAGTGCCACTCCTGTCCACTTTGAACAGTGCTCCATTAGTCACATGGCGACCTCCCCCCCCCCCCAAGAACAAAGTAAAGGATGTTCATCTTGATTTCTGAACTTAATTATTCTTGTGTAACTCGTAGGTTTCAAACTGAGGACTTGTTACCAGATTTCAAGGCCACTCCTTACTTTCTATCCCCTCCCCCACTTCCACCTCCATTCTTTGGGTGATCCTCCTTTTAAAACAATAAGAAAACAATCAAGATGAAGCTTCCATTATTTACTCATAGACTGCTGCATCAGTGATGAACATCATAATATTTATAGGATGACATTCTTTTAATTTTTTTTCTCCAGTTGTGAACATCAGTACGTCAGCACAGCTTGTCACCAGTACACCGCCTGGCTTCCACCCACCAAAATCTACTCCTACATGTAGCTCAACGGTCGAGTATTTCCCTTATTTCAGAGGGCAGTACCTTGCAGTAGCTGCAGCACTCACTGGCGGCAATGTGCTGGATTACTTCGTCTCGACGCTGCAGGAACTGGCAAGCGAGTTTGGTTTTCGGATCACAAAAGACGAAGCTTACAGGAAAATGATTGAGAAAGGGCAAGAAGTGGAAGACACCGATCTTGTAATTTGCCCGACTTTGTATGGAGAGAGGCATGTTCCATCTCAGCACGCCAGCATTCAGAACCTGACCACAGCGAATACGAGTATTGGAGATACAACACGGGCGTTGTGTCGAGGCATCGTTAGGAATCTCCACGATATGATGTCAAGGAAGGATCTAACGGACAGAGGTGTGACAAGGATTATTGGATGCGGAAGTGGTCTGCTGAGGAATAAAGTCTTGATGCAAGAATTGGAGAGGATGTTCCAGTTGCCTGTGGAGTATAGGCAAGGGGGTGACGCGGCTGAAGGTGCAGCTATTGCTATGCTACAGTGACAGATGAGTGAATGCTCACGGACTTCATTGCATGAACAGATGATGTTGCTTTAACCCTTACGTACCTGAATCCATCAAAATCCACACCCCTATTTTGGAGGATTTCGGCGAATTTATGATACCTCCATATTGAAAAAGTTGGGTGATTTTGATGGATTCAGGACAGTAAGCCTAGCAGTACTGCAGGATTTTGATTGATTCAGAATACCTCTATATTGAGCAGTTGGGGGACTTTGATGGATTCAGGATCTCATCAGTTCAACTCCTTGGCTACATGTTTGGTGTGTACGAGGTACATGTATACGTACATGTACCATTCTGGTGGATTCTGATGGATGGACTCGGGACCCCAGCATTTTTTTTGCTTGACATATTGGTGGATTTTGGCGAATTCAGGATACTTTCTTGTAAAAGTGCTCAAGGGGTTAGGGTTAAAGGCATATAGGATCATTTGCTTTAAGCTTTTCAGGGTTTTTTATTCCAAACAAATCGGTCACTTGACTGATTGTTGGAAATCACCTACATTTCTTGATTTCTCCTAAATGACGGCAAACCAGACGGACTGATTTCCTGGGGTGTTTAGTACCAGTACAATCTTTCATCCGAGTAAGCTTTTTGATAATAATTTGTTGGGGTGCTTTTTGGATAAATTCAAATGATCCTATAATTATGCCTTTAAACTGTAGTGGTGTTCAACAATAACGGACAGGTTTCTAAAAAAATGCTTGGGGATCATCATCATGTGAAAAATTTGCAATAAGTTGGCATTTTCTATAAGCATCTGGTGAGCTATTACCAAACTTGATGATTATTATGAGAACAGTTCTTGTTAAAAAACTCTTCTATAAATGAGAATGCGTAAGAAACATCAATATCAAACATCAATTTGATGTTCAAATTTCAAAATAAAAACATGTATTTTATTTTGCTTCAGTACAAACGTAAATGTATTTCCCTCTCTTAATAAATATGTTTAAATTACAAGAAACTGGTATTTGACCATTATTAAAGTTTTCATTGAGTTGAGAGAAAATAAAGGAAACTGTGGCCTTAAGAAAAAAACGAACTTTGTGAATCAACTTGAGGCCTGTCCCCCCCCCCCCCCCCAGCTTCAGTACAAGATATTTTTGCAATTCTAATATATTTATATACAAATTTTAAGATCTTGGAAATAATGCACATACATGTACATGTATTAAAATTTCAGCAAGAAAGTGATTCCTGTACAATAACTGCCTTTTTCTGTACTGATAAATTGGACCTATACCTCTCTTTCCTACCCAAAGGCATAACTTCTTGTCTCAGAATTTTGAGAAAAATGAGATTTGTATCGTATGAAACTATGACCACACCATTCAGTGTCTCACTCCTGAAAGTTAAGTGCCCCATCCCCGCCCCACCCCAAACCCTTCGCAAATTGGAACCTAGATGCACCTCTCTCTGCCAGCCCAATCTCTTAATAAAACTGCTTTCCTGGAGCAAATGTCGACAATACTGTCCAGATGTCAACCCGAAATTTACTGCAAGTTGTCAGCTTGTTTTGTCGGTATTTTCTTGGTGTTTGGAATACCCCGTCTTGCTGAGCTGTAGAGTTCAAGAAAAACAAAAAACAATGGAGAACTTGAGACTGGATGGGATGCCCTTAACTGAAAGGTGGTGAGCACACCCAACATGTATAACCCATTAGCACCTGTGCTACATGGTATTACATTGTATTACATTGTATTACATGGTATTACATTGTATTACATTGTATTACATTGTATTACATTGTACTACATTGTATTTACTCCCTAATGAATAAAAGAAAAGTCATGGTGCTTGGGCGGGGTGGGGGGATACAGGATGTTATGTGTTTAACCGTCCATCAGAAAAGAAAAAAAACTTGGAAAAATAAAGGTTAACATAAAAAGCGCCCAACTACACAATATAAAAATAACAGCGTTGCTGTTGAAACCCCTCAGCCAGAGTCAAGTTATCATCCGGAAACCATTAACCTTTAACTCAACGTGGTGACCTTGACCTTTGGCCTTTGACCCCAGAACCAGTCCCAACATGCCTGTACCAATGGGAAACCCCCTACCGAAGTTAGACACCAACATTTCATTTCTAACTCAAGTTATCATTCGGAACCATTTACATTGAACTCACCACGGTGACCTTGACCTTTGACCTTTTGACCCCAAAACCAATCCCAACTTGCCTGTACCCAAGGGCAAACCCCTACCTCAGTCAGACACCAAAATCTCATTTCTAACTCAAGTTATCATCCGGAAACCATTTACCTTTAACTCACCATGCTGACCTTGACCTTTGACCTTTTGACCCCAAAACCAATCCCAACTTGCCTTCTCCCAAGGGGAACCCTCTTCCAAAGTTAGACACCAAAATCGCATTTCTAACTCAAGTTATCATCCGGAAACCATTTACCTTTAACTCACAATGGTGACCTTGACCTTTGACCTTTTGACCTCAAAACCAATCCCAACTTGCCTACTCCCAAGGGCAACCCCCTACCGAAGTTACAACCCCAAACAACATTTCTAACTCAAGTTATCATCCGGAAACTAAGCTGCCCGGACGGACGGACAGACACACACACATCCGGACGGACGGACGCCCTAGGCGATGACAATACCCCTCGAGCCTCTCGGCTGAGGGGTAAAAAGTAAACATTAAGAAAAATTCAGAATTTTATAAGAACAATGGAAGCAATACTTACATGCTGTGTACATGTGAGGATGACATTGATGTTAGTTGCCAAGGAAATGAAACAAAAGCAAAAAAATAAGATATTAATAAAAATGTTACACAAGAGGGATTTTAGTTTCAGCTTGCAGAAATAGGAGTTTGAACTCATGTAACACTGATTCTGCCTAGAGGGCTCACTGTCACTTGTGAATTAGACTTGCTTAAGCCTCCCCTTGGCCCAGAAATGTATAATACACTGCATTAATAAACTGTGCTTAGAAAGCGCATTTCACACAAGGTCCCAATGCGCTGTACAAGAGTCATTAGTACCCCTGCTCATTGGGCCAATGAAACATTCCAAAGACTATCTTAGCTCCCTGGGGGGTATACAGCTGGATGCTGCCATTTTGGTGCAAAGCAACTAATATCAACCACAATAACCATCTCTGCCCTCACAGGTACCCATTTACTCCTGGGTGGGGAGAAGCAATGCGTGGCAAAGTGCCGTGACCAACGGCACACGCACCACAACCCCAGGCTGGACTCGAATCACAACCTGCAGAATTACTCGCAGACCACAGATGCAATGCTCCAGACCACGAGGCCATGTCACTCCATATTTAATTCTAGTGACTACAAAGGCCCCTTAGGCCAAACTGGCCAGGGATCAGTTTTACTATGTTCGCCTAGCCTTGTTGACTATGTACACAGAATGTGCATTTTTACAAACAATGCCTATCCTATGTTATCTTCAACCAAACTTGAATCTTGGATCCTGATTGGTCAATCCATGGCAACAACAGTAAGATATTATCCCATATACCACATTGTTATCCCGTCCATATCACTTTTGTGCTTTTCTAAAATGTGTGCACTAATCCTGCAGCATGCATGTGTATTGGATAAATGCTGAAAAGTTCCAACAGCGTGTGTGTTCCATCTTTGATGTGTGTTAAGTTTTATTCAAGGTAAATTTGTTATCCCGCTCGCACTCGTGGAACACGGAAAATGTAGTGCTGCGTCTGCGTCCCACATACCCATGGCGGACACAGACATACTACATTATTCCGTGTTCCACTTCTTTACTTCTTCTTTCTTACAAGTGCAGACTTCATGGCTAAAGATAAACGCGCTGCCACAAAACCAGGGCGAACCCCTTCTGTAAGCGATAAGTGTTACTGGGTTCTTTTACGCGCATTATACAACACATGGGACCTATGGCTTTACATCATCCGAAGGATGAAGCAATAATGGCTAAGTGCCTTGCTTAAGGACACAAGTGTCAAGACCAGAACTCAAACCAACACTCTACTGATTAGAAACACCAGAGCTTGAGTCCGGTGTTCTTAACCGCTTGGTCATGACACTCCACTTTTAGTGGGATGACTAATAGTATTTCTCATACACCTATGGAAATAACTACAAGTTTCAGTGTTTTGTTCCAGTGCAAAAAGGTAATTCAAGTGAAAGGTCATACGGGACAAAGACTTCCAACATACCAAAGGTAGCTGCTTACCTTAAAATCCGTAACATGTGGCACAAACAAATATCAGTTGAAGAAAGTACCAAAAAGAACCCATACATCTTCGTTGCTTTGGAGATCACCATTTATGTTTATCCAGAATGACCTACATGTATGAGCAGCTACTGTGAGCGGTGTAATGCATGTTCAACACACGCACAGTTTGACTACCGACTTGGATTATTGGTCTTACCTTCACAATATCCACCCAATCCCAGCCTCGAGGCATCTCTCCTTTGTAATCTAAAAACCAAGAAAATGAACACAGTTATACTCAATGAGTCCCATCCAAATATATCTTCCATAGAACAAGACAAGGCAAGTGGTCAAGCTGGTCTGAGAGTGTATAAAATTCTATTCAATTCGAGCGATTCACAATGCAGTGCGCCACCAAGAGTTTTCCATGGAGAGTCAATTTTTCAAATTTACGGTCGACAATACATGGCCCATTTGAATGAGTGTCAGTAGACAACTTGAGCTAATTTGTTATAGATTGGGGCATAGCGTTCTGCCACCTTATATTAAACACCATATTGATAAAAAGCAAAGAAAAGGGCAAACAGATACTCGAATCCTATGCTAACGAAACTAATGACTGGTAAAACTAACAATTTAAAATGTCCCGCGCTGCGAATTGTCGACCATCTCCCACAATGCACTGGAAAAAATTAACTCTCCGTGGCAAACTCTTGGTGGCGCACTGTGAATCGCACGAAATTGATTCAGAGTGGCTATTCACTACAAATCTTTCTATGCATCTGGTCTACACAATGGGCCTGATTTAGCCCATTATGGGTTATCCTCCGTGTGCCAGCAAAAGAGGGCACATTTTTTACCTCTTTGAGAGCCCTGTGGCAGGACACACGGTGTGTGCGTACTGTACTGTACTGGTTCGCGCATGGAGTACACACGACTACCTGAATGTGCCAAAGCTATTAACCACAGCGTCTTCGCGTGAGCGTCAGGCGAAGTCGGCGCGCGAATGCGTCCGAATTAATCTTTCGATGGTCTCCCAAACTAATCCCCATCCCCAATAACATTGGAAGCCCACAGTGGATGGACCAGGAACCAGTCTAGATCTCCCCCAACTCTCCTTTTCTGGCCTTTGAAGGGGCACTTGTGCACGGAGCCCATAGGCCTACAACAGCACTGCTGGCATGCACAGGTTCACTAGCTACCAACCAGGCTAAGCCACAAGCAACAGTTAGTCAGAGAGTCGATGAGTCAGTTGAGTCAGTCATTGAGATCGGAAAGAGAACACTAGGCCGGCCCTCTGGGACCAGCAAAAATGTCAGCCTACAAATCTTAAGTCTGTTATTCATAACACCATTGCCACAGAACACATACAGTTCATGCCACTCAACAGACATTTCTGTGTGCTTTAAACTAAAGCGGAAGAGGCACTTAGGCGAAGTAATTTCAGTGACAAGTCTTTAAATTAGACGTGGAAATTGTGTATTTCCTGTTCAAATTGGACGTGTTTTGACTGAGTGTGGTCTTAATGTTGTAAGGTGGAATCGATTCCTTCTAACACCTTGATTCTGAAAAGTGAAATTTTACAGAAGTTTGTAATTTTGTTTAATACCATCTTGGGAATTTGAGTCAGAGACTGCATATTTCCACGGATATTAGACAAAAACCTGTACGAACATAATGACCTCACAAGACCAAGTTCAAGCTGTCACATGTGCAGTGTCAAATTCCTTCACTAACTACATTCGGTAAAAAAAAGTTGACTGAACATATTTTTTTTTTTTTTGCTTGGATAAATCTGGTAAATGGTAAGAGAATGTCAAATTTTCAATTGCAATTTCGTCCCCTACTTTCACAAAATTCACAGATTCAGACCAGCTACAACTTTGTTTTATGACAAAGATTATAAAAACAATGAAGAGTCCCTAATGTATTGTATAATAGCAGTCAATATTTGTATGTTAAACAGCTATGCGCGAACAACAGAGGGCGCTTTTCACCTTTTTCAAGAGCCCCATGGACAAGACACATTGCGTGCGCTTACTGGTTTGCACGCACATGGCGTGAAGTATTCACGACTGATTTTATTCTGAATGTGCCCAAAGCAACGGTGTCTCCATGTGAACGTTTGAGTGTCTGTCCTAGTGGTCTCCTCCAACTCTCCCCTTCTAACCAATGAGGGGGTACTTGTGCCCAGAGCCCATTACTACATTCCATACTGACTTCCTATGATTTTCTGTCATCAATGCAGATCCCAATTTCATAACGCTGCTTAACAGTTGGCCAAAAAGTTGCGCTAACGTTAGCAGAAAGTTGTGCTAACCTGAAGCACGGATCCTAGACACCAGATAAACGACTGTTCTGAGCTCTAGTACAAAATGCACTCAGTGGACTTGCCTTAATTGGTTAGACGCGTCATAACGATCATTAATACCCATTGGCGCGTAATCGCGAATTTTCCAGATGTGCCATTGTGTTGGGTTTTTGCACGACATCTAAAACGGAAATATTCATAAAACTGTAAGTAAAACTACTTCTTATTTAAGATATAATTGTTCCAAATTATTTTTAAAATAAATACTTCGGGATATAACAGATGGTATTGTGCAGTTTTTGTCGTCATAGATGAAGTATTTACCCGGGAAATATACGTCAAATTTCGAGGAGAACACTGTTTACCAAAATTTCGTTTTTAATTAGGCTTTTATTAAAAAGTTTTAGAGAGATAGGATGCCGAACCGATGAAACAAAAGCGACATTTGATTGTTCATCTTTAAGCTAAAAATATTGTGCTCGGCATTACCATGGTTATGTAGTTATCACTTATCAGAATTCAATAATAAAGACCAAAAACGTAGACTCCTGAATATTCAAAAATATAATTCGCTGGCTTGACAGACTTCGAGGCCAGATCGGGCGCAGAGCCTTGCACATCTGAAAGCCACCGCGCGCAGTGGTCTTTGTTGAAAAGTATTCATGGTATTTGCCACCAGTACACGCCGTTATCACGCGTCTAACCAGGAGTTGGGCCGAGTCGTTAATCCTTGTATGTAGGATCCGTGCCTTCAATAATTGCAAGGAGTTTTCCTCTCATGTTAGCCTTTTGCTGAGCTTACTGCTTCGGTCTCCAAGAAATAGATGCAGCTCTGTAAGCACAAAACCCTGTGCTTAGTAGCGCCATGAACTGGGGCCATGAAAGACACCTACCTGTTCTGTTGGCCAATTTCCTCTTCTGTGCTTTGGTCAGTGCTTCCTTTCTCTCTTTCGTCTTAGACGCTGGGACTGACTCTGAAGTATTCTTCCTGTCTTCCTGCGATTGATTAAAGGAAACGACATTGTCAATATCACAATCATTATTTTATTTAAATATCTTTTGAGAAATATCATGCTTGTGAACTGACAATGTATGATGTCTACAGACCAAGTCACAGAATGTCAAAGCAAAATACTTACAGTGGTGATCATGTTTTTGTTTTGAGGTGAACCTCAAACTGTAAGTCCTGTTCTTCCTTTGTACAATTCTTTTTTTGATTCTATGAAAATCTTTGAAACCTATTTTCATCCTGTTTTATTAGTTGACTGTTCATCCACTGTAATGCAACAGCAGGATTTGTTGTACAACTTTAGTTAGTTGGCGGTCTATATTTGTGTTAAAACTGAACTCGGTACCCCCACATGTTATATACCAATTAGAAAGCTCTTGTTCTGCAGAATCCAGAAAGAAAAATATCAGAACGCCTACACATTCTGACTTTAAGCTCATTTCTGTAGTGACAGGTCACATATGTGACCTGTCACCATGAAATGAGCTGCAAGTCGGAGATTGCCATTTTGCAGTACAGTGGGGCAAAGCCCAAATTTGAAGGGGTGGTCGATTTTTTGTTTTCAGGTGAACTTTAATCTGTAAGTCCTGTGCTACCTTTCTCCAATTTTTTGTTCTGTCGAACATCTTTAAAACCTATTTCATCCCGTCTGTTATGAGTTGACTGTTCGTTCACTGTAACACAACTGCAGGATTTTTAAATGCCATTTTCTCAAGAATCAGTTTTACAACTTCAAGTTAGTTGGTGGTCTATATTTCCGTTACTGAACTCAGTACCCCTTAATGTTGTACATTGTACCCACCTTGACTTGCGCAGTTTTCTCCGTTTGTTCAGACATGAGGTCTTCTACATTTTCTTTAGCCCATTCAAACAGCGTATACGTCATTGCACTACCCAACCACTGCTCTGCCTGTACAACAAAAAGTTGGAAATAAATACTCGGACTTTAAAAAGTGCTTAACACATTACTTATCATTATGCAAAGCGAGTTTGTGGGCTGCAGCATTACCAATTGACACTGTCATCTGCCAAAAGGAAGCATTTTTGCAATGCTCAAACAAAAATCAATCAGATTTTTATGAATCGCTTTGTACCAATTAAGTATGCACTGTAACTGGTGTTTGCAGAAGGATAGGTTCACTATTAATCATCTTTTGAAAGGGAGAAAGGGGACAGGGATAGAGGAGTTCCCCCCCCCCCCCCAAAAAAAAAAAAAAGAAGATGCTTGCTACAGGCTTTCAAGCAGACCCAGGTGAAAAAGTAGAACAGTAGGATAAAAAGAGCAAGACAAAAGTAGGAATTGGAGGACAAAATCAGGATAAAAGTAGACTTTTGTGGGCTTTCAGGAGTAGTTTTCGTTGATATTCACCATGTCCACAGCATCATAAGCCTCAATTGGCATGTTCTGTACTCACAACACTTGTGCTCCATCCTCAACTAAGCTCTTGGAAGTACAGTTGCAGTACTCCTGCGCCCAAGCCCTTCATTGTGTGATTTACATGTGACAGTGTGTTACACTGTTATGAAAAATATTCAATGAGATTTCATTTTCAGAGTTGTGGGACAAAAAAGTAGGAATTTCAAGAAACAAACAAAGTAGGAAAAGAAGAAGCAAGGTAAAAAAAAAAAAACTAAGAAAAAGTAGGAAAAGTAAGAATATTTGACAGCCAGTTGCTGTGGTTAAATAACCCGTACCTTCACAGCATTTTTGCTAGGGACTTTCTTGAATGCTCCAAAATCCACCACTGTGCAGTAGCACAATGGTACATTCTGTGTACTCCATCTTTCAAGGAGAATCAAGCCCCTTGAAAAGTAAGTTGCTAGGCTCTGCCTTCCTCAATCCTACAAAATCCTCCACTGTGCAGGAACCCAATGGCACACTCTTTGTACCTACCAAGTTTCAGGGGGCATCAAGCCCCATGAAAAGTAATAGTTGCTAGGCTCTGCCTTCCTCAATCCTACAAAATCCTACATAATCTCCCATTGGATTTTGAGGGATCTGGGGGCAAATCCTTGACAAACATCATCAAAGATATTTTGGAATGATTTTGTTCTCACCTCGGCCTTGATCCTTTCAACCACACTGCTGCGCACAGCGGACTGTCTGCAAGAACAAATGAATCAGTCGGATATATCTCTGTTAGTTTGTTTACATTTTCTAACTATAAAATATCAAACAAAATACAGGAAAAAAAATATACAACTTTAAGTTGTTTCATTGTTAACTCTGGTTTCTAAGTAAAGTATCAACTGAACAAACCTCAACATGCTTCTTTTTCTTTTAAATAGTCTGCATTAGATTCAGGGCCCAATTTCATAGAGCTGCTTCAGCACAAAATTTGCTTAAGCACAAAAACGTCTTGCTTAATAAAATCCTGTTACTGGCCAAAACTCCATGCGATTGTTATGCTAAGTTAACAACAGCTAAATACCAGTCACAAGCAATGTACATCCCATGGAGTTTTGGCCGGTAACCTAATTTTACTAAGCAATTTGTTTGTGCTTAAGCAAATTTTCTGCTTAAGCAGCTCTATGAAATTGGGCCCATCGGGTGCTGCTCCTGATAGCCTATTACATGTATTGAGAAAATAAAATTCAAGTGATCTATATACTCCATGCACGGGTACCCACTCAATGGTTAACTTTAACAGAACTCAGCCCATCAGACCTGGAACTTGTCAGGATGGGTACACAACCCATAAACTGACAGTCTTTTATATTGGGTTGGCACACCTCCAGAATCAAAGTCAGAAATATATGTGTGTAATTTGCCAGGATGGGTATGGTTCCTGGTATGCTAGGGAGTTTAGGATTAAAGAAATTAGAGTCGCTGCAGGCCACTGGGAGAGAAACTCCAACGCATTATTGATGGCGCCTGACGCTCATGCAAAGACATTACAGGTTTGCTCATATTCACATTAATTCTTACATTACGCCATACTCGCGTAAACCAGTACACACACGCGATATGTCCCTCTCACTGGGGCTTTCAAAAGTGGTCATCACAAAGCGCCATATACTGTTAGTGCAATGAGTCTATTGGACAAATGAGCTAAATACAACACCAAGCAACTTACAAGTGATTGTTGAAGAAAGCATCCAAGTTGATATCTGGTAGTTCTTCAGGATAATTGTCTCCCCATCTTATCTCCAGTAAGAAGGATTTATAATGACCCTCAGGACCCATCTGATGAAAAACACACGCATTTAAAATTATGTAAATTCTCAAAACAAATTCCAATTGACCAATGAGCTTTGACTCTCAATACTTAATGTCCAATCAGATATGACTAGACAAGAATGCTGTCCAATCAGATGTGACAACAGCATTTAACTGCCAAACCAGAAAGACTGCATAAACACGCTGTCCAATCAGCTGTGACTCCAGATAAATTGTCCAATCAGCTGCAACAAGAGATAAATTGCCCAATCTCCTATGCACATCTACAGACATAGTGTCCAATCAGCTGTGACTACACAAACTTATTGTCCAATCAGGTTTGACAACATAAACTTATTGACCAATCAGCCGGGACTACACCAATTATTGACCAATAAGCTTTGACCACATAGAAACATTATCAAATCAGCTTTGATTACACAAATGTCTATTCTAATTAGTTTTCACAATCACACAGTGTATGGCAGTAACTGAATCAGCAGGCATTTCTACCTGATCACGATCGAATGTCAATGGTAGAAACTGAAGCCACTGCCCAAAAAAAAAAACACCTCACTTGAACCTTGCCTGCCTGTCTTTTTCGTAATGTTCAATTTTAATGAATTCCTTACTTCCCTGACTGAGTGATATCAAGGTGTCATGTAATGGAACTCTCATGCTGTATACCATACCCTGTACTGATAGGCATTCTCTGTCTGTTTGAAGCATTCATCGCCATCATAGATAGACAGTAAAACTTCCTTCTCTTCCTGAAATAAAACATGAAACATGAAAACATTACAAACTGTAACAGACATGACAGATCCACACTGAACTTTTTGCATTTATCATTTCAACATTAAAGGGAATATACAACATTTGCAAACATCAAAAAATAAAACTACCAAGTTTTTACGAAATACCTTACTAGGATGTTGGTAAATGACAGTCTAAAGCATCCTGTAAAATAATGGCACCTGGTGTGAAGTCATTTTCAAGGAAATTGTATTTTTGTATACAACGGTGGTCAGCCGACCACCGTTGGAAAAACCTAACTATTTTTCAACTACTGCTCCAACTTTACACTTTTTTCGGTCCAAATTTTGTTTGCTATTGGTTACATGTTCATGAACGGGTGCAGGCCAGCTAGACTGGTTCCCTTACCTTACAATTTTCCGGCATCTATAAATTGATCCATTTTATCCTTAGTGGAGTCAAGGAACCAGACTACTTGAACATTTTTGTTTTTCTTGGTTTTTCCAGCATTTTCGAACACAAAACTTGAAACATGTCAGTGTAACAATATTTGATCTATTAAACTAACCCCTCAAATAGTTCATTTCTGAAATTTACAGCAAAAGCCAATGATGTACATTCCCTTTAACAGTTACAAAATGAGGGTGAAACTGCTAGTTGATAAATGGGTGATGGTGTATCTACGGGCCCGGTTCCTTCCTATAAGGGAACAAAATCCACTTTCAAATTATTTGACCAACCAAACTAGTTGGCGACATTAAGAACATACAGGTATGTCATAGATAAAGGGCAGGGTTTTGAATTTTTGAGGGAAATTTGGGGGTAAAATGACGATGACAAGGTCAAAACGCAACACGAAAATAAAGATTGGGACCACCGCACGATGTACCGTGAGTGTGCAAGGCGCGTTGAATCGCACGGCACCAACTGTAAACCGCGCAGGAAAATCGTAATTTCTACCCCAAGAAACTGTTTACAAATTACAAAAAAAGGCGTCATTATAATTTATATTGAGAGAAGCCTGCTCTAGGTTGAAAAGGTCATTTTTGAGTAATAAAAAACACCCTTGACTCTAATTTTATCGAAACTAAACAGGGGCCCTACACTCTACACGATTGCCGATAAGTGTGAATCTACTATTCTGAATCTGATTTACGTTCATATCTAAACTGTCCGTGTGCAGGGCCTTCTACTTTGGCAGTAGAATTTCAATTAGAACTAGGCCTAACCCTAGTAAGACCAAGTACAACTACATAATGTAGCCTGAGAAGTGCAATTCAAGAATGTTAAACTTATCCCTTTAATTTAAGTTATAGAATAAAGTGTCCTCTGTTTGTTTGACTCACCTCCTGGGACTCTTTGCACGCCATTGTGATGTGGCAGTTCCTAAACGTCACTCAAGTAAAAGTAAAACTTTAAAGCACAATCAAGGATTCAATGTTGATTCGAGGAACCTAAGAGGTCACCAGACTAGATTCAGGTACTAAGTCTATACAATCTGGCGTCTGAAGCCCTGACGTCGCGTAGAAAGTGTGGATTCCGGATCAGATATGCAAACTCGGCCAATCACACTCAAGCAGTGCACTCAAGACAAAAACTTAAACTAAACCGTGAGGTGTTCACGTGTAGTGGGGTTTATTATATTAAATCAAAGGTAAACCTGTCCCGAATTTCACATGCAAAAATCTCATTCTGAATGGTAAACTAAAACATGCAGTACTGTAGCCCTAGTTCTCACTCTAGTCCATACGTGTAGTGTACATACATGTACGTGTACGTGTGTATGCTGCGCGCATGCAAAGCGCAAGCACGCGTCAAAGATTGTCCGTCTGTTATGAATTAGTTATTGAGGGCGCTAGATTAATCTCCGTGCCGCGGTGTCTGGCACTTTTTGCCAACCACGGGTTGGCAAACTATTATGAAAGGTCAACGTTGCAAAAAAAAAAGAATAGTTGTAAATGTTTCCAAACATGTCATTGAATTGTTGGGGGAAACATTTACCAACAAACGCTACCAAAGTTTTAATTTAAAAAAAACCCTCATTCTTTCATAATTGAGGGTGTCAATATGCAATTTTTGGCAAAATCTGTTGCCAACCACGGCTTAAATTTATGTCCTTGTGGTAGCCCATACAAAATGGCGCTCAACATTTACAAACAAAAGAAAGGTCTATAAATTGTGCCAAAGTTCGACTCATGTGCCGTGCTACGTGGGTTCGACCCTGACGGGGAAACATATAGTGCTTGTGTTCTTGGGCAACTTTACTACAATTGCCTATCTTCATGTGCGCGCTGATCTCGAGCTGCTGCAGAAAACTAGTCTCATTGCCTGATGAACAGGGGGAATAATTGTGAAGCGCTTTGAGACCTTTGGTATAAAGCACTACATAAGCACCACATTATTATTATAAAGTTACATCACAAGAAAAGGATCCCATACACATGACCCTTTTTCTTGTGACCTGGTTTTGTAAATCCACAACTTTTTTCTCTCTAAATCACTCTCTTGATAGCGCAGTGAACAAGCGCTTCCTGATTTGACGCATGGAATTCATCACAATGTGCCAGCTCGTCCACAAAATTTCACTCATTATGGAAGTCATCAGAGTCCGGTTTTTAATCCGAATTTTAAGACAATTATCGCGTGATCGACTTGGCCGGTTGTAGAAATAACCGATCAGCAGCTGCTTATTCAGCCTGGCACCATTTGGCTGATCGAATGGCTAAGGTTATCGGTAATTCAATTTACGCCAAGGGAACTAGATGTCTGAGCGGATTATTTCCTGCGTTGTCTGAGCCGCAATGCTCTTCTTGTACTAACGGCTTGTTACTACCGAATTTTCACATGATTAATTGGGTTCATCCATAGGACACGGTTATTTTGAACAATACACCTGTCACAATACTGCTGTCATGGACTGAGGTGTCCTCCGGTTCTGTGATGAATTAATTGTAGGCATTATTGAGTTCCTGTACCAAAAATGTCAACGAACACAATTACTGAGTTTCACATCTAATGACGATAATACGGTCATGGTATAGATCCATGATGCTGCGATGTCTTCTAATGCACCATACAACCTATAATGACTCGAGTCAATTCTTTAAAATGACACAACTCGACTTAACTGAGTCACAAAAGTCACTGCCAAAAGGCCTTCGAAAATATGGATATTGAAAATGAAGTTAGATTTCACACACAAATGGGGCATTTTCAAGGATTGCCAAAAAGGTCTTTATTAAAGCTGTTCTGCAAAGCCCGACAGCGAGTTCTTGTCACGTTTACTGTAGAGGACTAGACCGGTAGCGTGGGAAATTCAAACTGTGACTGAGGGTCGGACACCAGACGACTCTAGGTGATGACGAACATATCCGCATTTTAGGCCCATTCCTCCTAGCAATCTCATTAAAGATCATGACGCAAGCAACATTATTTTTAAGTTCACGGTGGGAAACTAAGTTAAAGATAAACTTGGCATCGTCCGTTTAAAATCTAAACACCTTCCCTTTAATTATTGGGGACTTATTGGCTTTCCGGCAAAACATATTGGGAAGCCCCCCCCCCCCCTTTCAAAAAACACTTGAAAGGTCTTTTGTGGCTGTGCGTAAAGTCGATCATTTTTTGGCAATATCAGATGACTCTGGATTTTTAAACAACCACAATTTGAAACATAATTATGTTCATTGGCTTTTGACGCAACGAATCACCAACGTGAGACAATATACGACTGTACAGCAAATTTATCACAAATAGTGGTGCTGTAATACTAGCTAAGAACGTTTAGGTCAAGTTGCCTGAATCACACTTTTGCTCATAAATATGGAAACAAAATTCATTACAATAAAAACAGACGGCACCAAAATACCCTTGAAAATGGCAAAACGAAATTTGAAAACATGGTTAAATCGGACACAGGTGCATTTCCAAGGATTGCATTTCCAAAAATACATTGCATGGACATGCACTTTTAAAGTGTAGACCTTATAGGCCTACAAACGGTCGTTTGTTTTTGTACTTCTTTTTCATTTGAAGCAACGGCATAATTAGTCAAAATCTGCAGTAAAGGGTGAATAAATCACCTGATGCCGAGCAGAGCATACTCTGTTCGAGACTTCGAGTTAAACCAACTGGTTCTTCTCAGAACCACACAACTCACTAAGAGATATCTTCCATTCACAATCATGGTGTCACCGCAAACCAACCATTCATTGATCTACCATGCAAACCTAGGCCTAAGAGGGCCGAGGGTGGGAATCCACCCCCCCCCCCCTCAACTTTTTCCGCGATAGCCTTGAAAAAAAAAACGTTTTCGCGACACGAGCTGTTCTGACTTTTTAGCCTAGAGTCTTGTGCATCTTTTGATACCAAACAACATAGAAATCGGACCAAAAAATGTTCCGGCGCTAGCGCTATATATACGCGCTGTGAAAACTGAATTTCCCCACGGCGTAGTGTACACAGAGCAGAATTACCATTGGTGCATATGAATAATTAATTAGCCATAATTCCAAAACCCTTTGACCTATAGGCACGAAATTTCTTGGGTATGTTCATGATAAGTAGTTCTATGCATAATGTACAGAGTTTCATAATTTTTCGTCACTCGGTGGCCGAGATCTTACTCAGGGGGTGGGGGTGAACCCGCGGCCCCCTCCCGGCTGTGAGATGGTCAAAATGACCAGGCCCTGGCCTTTTAGGGTCTTATTTAGGGTGAACAACAAATGACATGTGAAAATTTTGCTCAGTGGCAACTGGATGAGAAAAGAGCGAAAATATATTCAATGCAAAATGTTTTGGTCTAAAAAGGATCCCATTGTTAATACAAGTTTTTTTTTAAAAGGTGTACCCTCGAGCACACTTTTTATAATTAATTTCAATTATTGTTTTCTTCCGAATGATGCCATTTCTGGTAGAAAAAAAATAATAACTGGTTATTTGGTACCATTCCTAACTTCAATTTGAGCGAGGTTCCTTGTTTTAAATCGATACAGACTTTCCGTTTCGCAATGCAGTGATAGCCAACCTACTGTCTTTAAATATATATATATCAGCGGTCAAACTCGACCGTTAAAATACGCAGACCATTGGCATGACAGGGCCAATTCGTAGCTGGGAAGAAAATTGCAACTCAGACCGGAGAATGAGTCAGAGTGCAAAAGGATGGTTGTATCCTTAACTCATGATCGTCCGCCACGTCCTGGCCAAATCGCGTATCTCGAACTAGCACGTGCGCCCAGCTGCGAGCAATCATTTCTGTTTAATTACTCGTTTGTTTTTTTCACAAGAGTAGTGTAAATTGGAAGTTCCTTACTTAGAGCGAAAATAATTTAACTTGTCTGCACTCGGCCCGTGACTGGCACCAATTGGGGTTCCTCTTAATTAGGGAGTTTTGCATAGTGATTGGCAAGTTTCAGCAGGTGCTTTTGGGGTGAGATGGCACAATTGTTGTCAAGAGAGGGCGGGCTATTCAGTTATCGGTCTTCCGATCTGCCTGTCATTGCATTATTATTATAGCGCATAGAATTAGCATAATGTCCATGTGTACGTACGTGTGCGGTGTGTCTGCGGTTTCTTTACATTTGAGTGGTTTTCAATGCACATTTTTTTCGTGATGAATAGAAAGTCGATATGCCCGAAGGACGGCTATGGATAACTGCAAACGTGTCACAATTTCGGACGAGCGTGTGGTGACTGTAGTGTTTCATGGTGGATTTTCCCGGTGAGAATTATTAAACATCCTTGAGCGATATCTCGTCAAGTTAAGTCCGTCACATCACTAACTGACTGTGTCACTAGACAAGCGATTGTCAACATGCGTAGCCGACAGTGCAACAAGTTGGCGTCCGTTTGTTTAGTTCTGGTTGTTTTTGCCACGGGAATGTTGTGCGGAATTTACTACGAATCGGTATCCGCTAACACGCACGCTGGGGTCCGTGCTGCCGAAACGAGGAATGTAAACGGAGCTGCACCTGACGGCCAAGTGGACTCGAATCAACAGATCAAAACACAACCAGGAAAGGACAACATCAACGCCAACAGACATGTGGACGACGCAAACACCAAGCTGAAGTTGAATAAACCAATTAGAACTGAGAACCAAAATATCCATGGAAAGACAGGGGAGGAAAACATACTGAGACGGGGTGATGTTGTGCAGCATGATGCAGGCAACGTGAATGGAGGAAGACGTGTCGATGATGTTGATAAACACCATGCATTTATCAACAGGAAAGAGTTTGGGCATCCCATACGTCTTATGCCGAATGCACCAGTGCCTCCACAAGCCAATAAGCAGGCTGGCCAAGCCAGTATGGACTTGCGGCAACAGCAACAACTAAACCAGCCACAGCTGCAGCAACCACAACAGCAGCAGCAATTAAACCAGTTAAACCAACAGGCACAGCAGCAACAACACCAGCAGCAACAGTTTGCACAGCAAGGACGTGTACCACAGCAGCAACAGCAATCATTTCAGCAGCAGCAACAAAATGCACAACAGCAGCAAGTGCCACACCAGCAACCGCAGCATTGGCAACAACAACAGCAGCAGCCAAATATCCAAGCAGCCAATCAGAAGCCACAACCCAACATCCCAGCGGCCAATCAGCACGTAGCCCAACCAGCGCCCATGCCTGCAGCAGCCATGCCCGGTGTCAAGCCTGCAGTTGCTGTTCAAGATTCAAGTGAACCATTACCGAAAGTCGACGGCAAAATTGTGATATCTGTTGTGGTATGCGGAGACCGAACTGACGAAGCATTAATGATGGTGAAATCTGCAGCCATACTTACTCCATCGCCAGTACACTTTCACATATTTGCTGAGGAGGATTTACAGGCTAACATCAGTGCAAAACTGAAATCATGGCCCCAGCCTTACAGTACCAAAATAACCTTTGACCTCCACAACATCGCTTTCCCGCCTGGTGAAAATGCCGCAGAATGGAAGAAAATGTTTAAGAAGTGTGCAACCCAGCGACTCTTTTTGCCTGACCTGCTGCTGGATACAGACGCACTGTTATACGTAGACACGGACATTTTGTTCACCAAGCCACTGGAATACATCTGGAGTTTCTTCAAAAAGTTCAACAGTACCCAACTAGCAGCCCTGACCCCTGAACACGAAGTCACCAACATTGGATGGTACAATCGATTCGCTAGACACCCGTTTTACGGTCCGACCGGGCTAAACTCGGGCGTCATGCTTATGAATTTAACCAGGATGAGAAAGTTTGGGTGGTCGGCCAAGATACTCCCGATCTTCCGAGAGTACAAGTTGAAAACGACGTGGGGGGACCAGGATTTGCTGAATATTTTATTTCATTTTCATCCCGAGTTAGTTTACGTTTACCAGTGCGAGTGGAACATTCGACCCGATCATTGCATGTATTCACTGAATTGCCATCGCATTGAGAAAGAAGGAATAGCCGTGATACACGGAAACAGAGGTGTTTATCATAACGAGAAACAACTCCCTTTCCGCGTCATCTATGAGGCTTTCCAAAATTACCAATTTGGGACGGATTTATATTCTGGACTTGTGCAACCGTTAAAACAACGTTTCACCCAACCCGATGTGGCCAGTATGTATTGCACTAAAGGCTTGCAACATCCACTGATTGCAACGCTGCAGAAATATTGCAGACATTAACAGTAAATATATCTCTGAAGTTAAAAAAAAAAAGTACTTAAAACTTCACTTTTGGACATTTTGTGTACAAATTTGTTTTTTTGTTAACTCCAATTTGTGGAAGTATATTTGATCATATTTATGCCTTAGATCAGGCAAAGATGGTTGTGATAATTTTGCTTTTTAATGTTTATTTTATGATCTTGTAATCAAAACGTCCATTGTAACCTAAAATGCTGTTACCAATTTAAATGTGAAAAACTGGAATGGTTACATTTTATTTGAGAAAAAAAAATATTTTTTTAAATGTTAGTAGCTGCAAGTAAATTGTGAATTAGCCATCAAAGTGAAAAACATCTTGTTACAAAGAAAAAGCAGTTTTAGTAACCGGGAAAAATATGAAGTGCCGTTTTTTCCTAATTATTTCCGAATCAAAGTCTGTGACCTTCTTCAGTACATAAATACTTGTTATATAGGCCTACTCAGTTTGTGCATAATGTGGAAGGTTGTAAAAATTTATCATCCCACTTTTTGGAAATTATATCGGAGGAAAAAAAATAGAATATACTTGTAATTGTAGATTATACACATTGCCAAGTTGACAGAGCTGTAGTGACTGTAGTTTGTATTTTGTATTTTTCAATTTTAAAAACTGATATTAAAAGAAGTATCAAAAGTGTGATCCACACATGTCCAAGCAAAAATGACATGTAGAGAGGGGCAATAATTTCCTTGTTTAAAAAAAGTAGATAAGTGAATTAAGTGACGTGTACCTTACTTTCTTTTAGTTCTTGGTATTTAAAAGGAAAAATTGACAGTAATTACGATTGTCTAAGCGCAACATTTCAGTATACCTGTACTGTAACATAATACATTTGTATTTATCACATAAGACTTGTAAACAGATAACGAGAGATTTGTCTTTCAAAAAAAAATATTCGTAAGAAATGTGATTTGAATTAAGAGAAACAATTGAGCTCACTGATTTCATAGAATTAATTTGCTTTTATTAGTCATTTTAGAGCAGGCCTTAGTGTAGAAGTCATTAGACTCACTTAAAAACACCTTGCAAACAGCTTTTAATTTAAATGTTATTGTTTACGCAGTGGAATATATTCTACATGTATCTATAAAACAGTCTGAGTTTTTTATTCACTGAAAAAGAAAGTATTTTTTTATGTTAAAAATTACAAAAAAAGTAAAGGTTTTTGTGCATTTCTATTCATTGAATCATTTTTGTCTTTCTGGACTGTGTGATCAGAATGAACCCAGCATCATGCCTGGATTATTATTTGGGAGGATTTTGTAGGACTGAGGAAGGCATAGCAAAACCACTATTTCTTTGAATGGTGCCTGATTCCCTTTAAAGCTGAAGGGTTCACTAAGTTTCCTAGTACAAAATTCCAAAGGAGTTAGGATTAATGTTAATTGCTTGTGTGTGCATGCAGCATTCAAGCATAACATGTATGTTTTGAACACATGTGAAAAAGATGATTGATCATGTGTATGCATATGCCTAGTTGGTTTGTTTAAGCAATGCCATTCCCAAATGACATAAATACTAATTTCTATATTTTATAGCAAATAATGCAAACATTGTATAACTGTTGTCTTTCACATATATCTTTATTTGATATGCTTTAACTTAGAGACACACACGTGTTGTTTATATTTTCTGTGCATGTATGTTACACTAAAAACAATTGTTACTTTTTTCAGAAGTGACCTTAGAGAAATATATGCTATAGACTAAGGAAGGCAGAAAAATATAGGGGGGGGGGAATTAAAAATGTCCAGAATTTGATTTTTAGCTGATTTCAAGAGAAATTCAATCAAGTTCCATCCTTTTTTAGAGGATGTCTTTCAATACTATGTAAAACATAATTTCATAAAACCTTATGGTAGATCTGTTTTAATAATATGTTTTGTTCTCTTTGACCAAATTAAAAAACCAAAAATTTATATCCTATCTATGTTTCAAAATCTGCTTTCAATATCAAGTCTTTAATGTCCAGGAATTCCATTCCGATTCATTGAATTTTCTGAGCAGATGGTTTTTGTTAAATGACATTCTCGTGGCTGTTATGAACACGCCCCCAAAAGAACCAATTTTATTTTATTGAACATTTGGAGATTTGCCAACAAAAGCATTGTTCACGATTTTATTTTAAGATATCAGAATAAAGGAGAACCTACATGTAGCAGTATGTTTGTAAACTGTTGTTGATTTACTGCAATGATTAGCATATGTTTTCAATTATCTTTTTCCCACACTTTTTTTTAAAGGGAATGTACATCATTGGCTTTTGCTGTAATTTTCAGATATGAACTATTTGAGGGGTTAGTATAATAGATCAAATATTGTTACACTGACAAGTATGAAGTTTTGTGTTCGAAAATGCTGGAAAAACCAAGAAAAACAAAAATGTTCAAGTAGTCTGGCTCCCTGACTCCACTAAAGATGAAATGAATCAATTTATAGGTGCCAGAAAATTTTAATGTAAGGAAACCAGTCTAGCTGGCCTGCACCCGTTCATGAACATGTAACCAATAGCAAACAAAATTTGGACTGAAAAAAATGGTAAATTTGGAGCAGTAGTTGAAAAATAGTTATGTTTTTCCAACGGTGGTCGGCCGACCACCGTTGGAAATTTGTACACAATACCACTTTTCTTGAAAATGTAATTTTACACGATGCTTAAGACTTTCATTTACCAACATCCTAGTAAGCTCTTTCGTAAAAATTTGGTAGTTTTTTTCCCAATGTTTGCAAATGTATAATTGCGATAAATTTGCGAGATAATACATGAACATCGATTGAGTGACAGACTTATACATTGTACATTTACTCCTATAAGGCCCCCCCCCCCAAAAAAAAAACAGCTTCCAATTACATCACATTTGAAAATATTTTTGGCAATTGGTCTTTTTTTTGGCAATTTTGTGTGTGTGTAAGATCATAATGGATGTGTCTGCGTGTAGTCAAGGGTAAAATTGATGATTTTCTGTTTTTTCCCCTCATTTTTCGCAAAAACAAATTAGGGTAGGGGCTGTTAAAATAGCGTAGGTAGGGTGACCGGAAGCAGAACTACATGTATTTTTTTTATTTTTTTTGGCCTTGTGTACATATGTATGTACTTTAGATTGCATTTCTCGGGTCATCTTTTCTGCACTTGATCAATGAATTTTAGAGGATTTATCCGTTCTATTGTGTGAAAGGTCGTAAAAATGGGACGTAGAAAACTTTGAATTGTTTTGAACAAAAGGCTCTTCAGTTTTGCCCTTTGGCTGCATAGCAGGTCATGTTGGTTTTCAGAGGGTTTTATCGAGGTCGTTCACTCGTGACGGTTGCACTTTGACCCGACTATCAACAAAAAAACCCACAAATGTACATGTGGGCCTACTCCCAAAACGATGATATACATGTACAGTTAGCAATTCATTGAAATGTGCGAATAAAACATGGGTCTTGTGAGTTGTTTACGCAGTCGGTGTCTGGGTTTGGGACCCAGGATGTCTAATAATGTGAGGTCTTGGTGCAGACGCTATGGTCAGGATCTGATCAAGAGACACCAAACCACCGATGCAGAGAGGGCATTGACCGCATTCCCTGCAGGATCCAATGGCGAATTCAACCTACCAAAAGGTACACTTATTTGAATTTAACGAACTTCGGTTTCTTTCCGGTTTCGGAATCCAGCTCAATGAATTTTAGTTCTTAGTAAGTCAGTGTTAACATGCTTCTTATGAACCTGAAGTCGGAGATGGAGACGGAGCTGAAATTAAGCTACGGTTTGGCGAACGAACTCCAAGCTCGGAAGTTAAAGTTGGACGAACTTCATAATTTGAGACTTAAATTTGAGTGCACCGTGATTTTGTAATAATACATTCATATTTGCATATTCCATTTCCGCTGCATGCTGAAAAGATATATTTTAAAGAAATCCGACACCCTTTGAAATTATTTTCTGTTGCAAAGATGATTTATTTATAATTTTCTGTAGATTTGACAACTGTTCTGACTCGAGGGAAAGACTACGAGGTATGGGACACAACAGGGAAACGATATCTGGACTTCTCTATGGGGTAGGTTTACAATATGTCAAGTTTACAAAGTTTTCACTGAATAACGAGCTGCATTAATCTGCCATGTTGACTGAAACCGTTTCGGCCGTTTTGATGGGGAGTCCGGTTGGTTGGGGAGTCAGGTTGGTGTAGCGGTACTTTCCTCGCCTTCCACCGCTGTGACCCGGGTTCGAATCCTGCCTTGGCCAATATGTGGATTGGGTTTTCAATCCCTACCTGATTCCGTGGGTTTTCCTCAGAATACTCTTCTGGGCTTTTCATCCCACCTCTATAACTGTAATTTCTTCACAATGTCTTCTCTTTATACTGGGCAACTTGGGAGATCAATGGATCCACCAAATGGGCTACCCAGTTAAAATAAGAAATAAATAAATAAATGGATTCTTTATCATAGGTAATGACTTAGCAACCTATCTTCATGACAGTGACACGATATCTCTGCCTCGCTTTCGTTCCGACACGAAGAGTCTTTGCCTCGCTTTCATTCCAATATGGCCGTTCCGTGCAACGGGGTCATGACTCTTCTGCTCTTCAACGAACCTACTGTTTTCCCGATTTTGAGCGTCCGCAACCCACTGAGGAAGTTATAGTGCTTTCATTTTTAGCACAAAATAAACCCGCCCTACGAGAATTCTGTCAAGAATAATTTACAAGTGAATAAGTTATATATTGTTAGGATAATAGCAAACAATTGAAGAAACAAACCAAAATCTATTTTCCGGATTGAAACTCAGAATAGCATGGGGGATAATCTTTAAACTATGCGAAACTTTCAAGCGTCTAGCCCTACTATGCCGTTCAAGGACTAAGTTAAGCCGGAAACCATTGCATGGGTTGTTTTTCTTGTTTTAAATCGAATAATATAGGAATGTCGGCAGCTCGCACGCTATCGTGGTCGATGCAGACAACATTAACAAATCTTCGTTCCGTGCGACAGGGTAGATATGGATAATACATCTGTCTTAAAGTGATGGATCGCCTCCAATTGTGCCTTCAATCCACCTTGGGCTCGAAGAACATGTCCCTTCAGGTTCAAACGGATATTACTCCTTTCTTTAGTAATGCTTATTCCACCTGCAGATATCCAGTCATGTATTTTTCTTCTTTTTTGGAAGGTGGGGCAGTGTACTTGTCGGGCATGCGAGGGGAGAAGTTCTTGAAGCGGTCACGCGTCAAGCTGCGAAGGGCTCCAACTTTGCTTACATCAACGATCAAGAATTACAACTGGCTGAAGAAATAGTACGCCTGCGTTTCTAATCAAATTCTTAGATCAAACGATTCAACCTTTGTTCACTCACAGATCCCTGAGTCTTTATTCACAGTATGTGCAATCAGTCAGGCCAAGACCAATAAAGCTGGTCACAGAGTGCACAAAATTATATACAATCGAATCAACGGCTTAAAGACATCCTGCATAATGGCCTTTGAAACTTTAATTTGGACCAAAGTGAGACTAAAGCAAGTCTATTTCACAAGTCCCTCTTGGACCAGCAAAAAAACAGTAATACTCCCCGGTTCAATAGATGGAAAACATGTCCTGGCTAAAAGGAGCAGGACTTCTAGTTCATCTGAAATGATTGTATTAAAAACTCGGAAAGCACTCAGCGAGCGCAAACAATTCCCCGCCCGGCATATTGCCAGTACAAAATGTACACCCAAAAGGAATATTTGTACTCGCATAATATGGTGAAGAATCCTTTTTAAAAATCCTAAATCCAGACCCAGATCCAGATCACTTCCAAAATCTAATTGATTTGTACTGGTACATTTCATGCAAATCCGTCCATAACTTTTTTAGTTATCTTGTTAACAGACAAACCAAACAACCAACAAACTAACCAAATCCGATGAAAACATAACCTCCTGACCTTGGCGGAGATAATAAACTCTGCAGGATAATACAGAAGACCGCATTATACTGCTCGAAACGTCGCGTTAAAAAAACCGTCTCTTTCCAGAATCCATGCAAAAAGGGGAGAGAGGTTGGTGGTGTTGCCAACTTTCTTCAGAATACACAACAATGCCAACTATAGAATGTCATCTCGATTGTTTTTATACATAGATCAAACTAAGTCCGGCCGTAGAGCAGCTAAGATTCTGTGCATCGGGTAAGTTGCTTCAATGCTTGTCCTGTTTTAACTCATTAGAAGAACGATTAATTTGTGCAAACTGCAAAGTCATGAATTGATTCGATATGTAGGCCGGGTCCTCTTTAAGGGAGAATAAACTTTATTAACAGGTGTTGCGGATAACCGAACGGAAAAAAATTGTCAAATAAACGGAGCGTGCGCGTCATACGTCGCAGCAAGCAATCAATTACGCTAGCAGCAGTCTAAGCAGTTCCCAATGACTGCATGTGTATAATCAATTGAATTACTGAAAATTTAACAAAACTACAAGTTCTCCGCCGACGGCAAAACCAAGTCTGGTGTTGCATGCAGCTGTCGCTCTAAGTCAGAGTTTCGATAAGTTTGGCCGAGTCTGTCTTATTAGCGGCCCAAGTTGTCCGTCAAAAGCTTCATGGCTCTTCATCAATCACTTCGAGAGGAATTCGATGTCTAGGTTAATGATAATCCACAATGCCAGATGCATTAAGTATGTTTACATGGACGTTGATAAAATATTTAAAATGCTGAAGGTGAAAGGTGCTGTTGACAGCTATGGCATTGAGCTCAGTCAACCGCGCATGCGCGGAATGCAAACCCCGCTCAACACACGGTCACTGGGGAAATAAAATAGAAAGCCGACCTTGGCTTTTTTTTGTTTTTATTTGAAAGGAATGAAGTCGAGTTAATTAACGGAAGCCATTCATTCCTGGGATGGTTTGCGGTTTGTCCTTAAGTCCATGGTTTTTCTCTGTCAGCAAATCAGCGGTTGAAAGCTACGTAGGCGTGGATTTTAAAGATGTGCCGTCGGTGCTAATTTTGAGTTTCGTTTGCATTTTTGAGGTGTTGTTTTTTTAGCAATACACATTTTATTCAGTTTTGAATGAGACATGGAACGAAACAATCGGCCCGTGTTTAATTATGAAATAATGATTTCCCAAGTATCGACTTTGCGGCCCGTCAAAAAAAATTTAAAAAAAATATAAATTCCCAGAGGGTAACAGACGCCTAAAAAAGAAACGATGTGCTGTTTTTATTAAAATGAAACATTTGAAAATTCACAGGGAGATAGATATTAAATTGGTTAAAGCGACGTTCACACTAGTACATCTCTTATTAAGACAATTTTGGCAATAATGTTGAAGACCTTGACGATGCATTTTTTGACAGGTACTTCGTGTGTTGTATCCTGTTTTCATCGCCACGGACTTTGCCAGCTGTCCCAGGAATGTTGTTTCTTGTTTTGACGACATGTTGACATCTGTCTTCGAAACAAAGAACCCCTTGGGTTATTTTTATTATACCAGATGAAACCCGTTGATTTCAAAACGAAAAAAGATGGAAGTAATACGATAGTAACTTTTTGGCCCTTTTAAGTAAAATGTTGAATAATTTCCCGACTGTACCAATTACAAAGAAAACTGTCGCTTCGTTTAAAAGAGAGTAAAAATTAACACAAATTGAAATTGAAAATTTCGCGAACTTTTGGCCACGAAATTTAAATTTCGCGAGCCTTTTAAGTTTCGAGAATCGCGATCCTTTGAGAATAACCTCTGAAATTTTCGTCTGATTGTAAACTCATTTCTGCCAGAAGTTGAATTATTGTATAGCGTTAACAATATAAGTGAACCGTGTTTTTTTTTTTTGCTTTGTTTCAACATTATAAAATATTCCTCAATGCTTTTTGGAATCACATTCTTCCAGAATGATTACAATGTTTTCAGAAGTCTTTCTTGCCAGAAGATGGCCTCAAGCGAAGGCATGTTATGTTGAATTTCTTGACCCAAGGTGCTCAGCAGCATGTTCCCGTGTAGGTATATCGCTGGAAGCAATTCCCGTATGACATGCAAACGGTGTGTGCAGGTCGGCCCAGGGGAAGTGTAGAGTGAGTAATGTTTTCTCTACAATTTGTTGAGGCAGGTACGGAAGCGACGATGTATTGCGAGCGTCTGGCCAGGGCATTCACCGACAGGACAAAAGTGCTCAAGTTTGAAGGTACGAGTCTTGAAGATGAAGAAAGGGGGCATGAACATAGGAAGAAACATTTCACCAAAAAAAGTCCTCCATCAGCAAACAAAAAAAGTGGATTTTTGATACAATGGTGCATTTTGAAAGATAAAAAGCGTCCCATTTTTAACCGATTATTTGGTTCTTATTAATGAGTGTTGATTAGAAATACTTTTTGGCTTTTTCCTTCTGACACAGCTTAAAACAAAGGAAAGAGAACTGTTGCTTTAAATATATCGTACTAGCCCATTAAAATAAACTGTAAAAATCCCATTGAAGTGTTACTCTTAAATTCAAAGTCTGAAGCTTAATTTCTGAAACCTTTACAACAAGGAGCTCATTTTGTGCATTAATTTCATTGAAGGGAACTACTAAATTGAAAACGGTTTCGCAAATTTCATCTCAATATAGATGGAAAAGTACTAAAACATATGTTTTTAACATTCAAGACATACGCCAGGGCAGAAATACAGGTAGTGGGAAAGGCACAGTCATGGTGGACTTAATCTCTTGAGGATTCAGTAAAGAAGAATACGATCATGATTCTATTAAGTGGGAACAGAAGGGAGATGGGCGAGCTCTTTCCCGGAGAGGGTCGCTTCCTGACCCTTGGGTCTCAATCTCACTGTTATTGTCGGGAGATGGGCAGACTGTCGATGCCCAAACCTTGGCTGTTTTGATTAAAAGAAACGACGGGCAAACCTATTCTTTTGGGTCTGCATGTTCTCCCCCGTCCCACCCAGGCCCGTCACCAGCCCTGAGCATCAGGAGGGGGCCATATAGTATCAACTAGGCGGTCCGCTACCATAACAGAAAAATACGAAATACAAAAAAATGTGTGGCTTGTGCTGGGGGGGGGGGGGGGGCATGTGCTCGCCAAGGGGGGCCCGGCGTCACCAGGGTCCCCCCTTTGGCGACGGGCCTGCTCCCACCCCTTATAAAAACGATCATTTTTGGAAAGATTTTTCAAGTAGGAAATACTTATTCTTGCAAACTTGATAATTTACCCCCTGTATAATCAAGTTGAAGGCGATTTTTATTGTCGACATGTTGACGATTAATTCGGGAAAGTGTTAGTGTTATATCTTTTGTTTCAGTTTTCAGTCACTTCTACGCGTGTTTAATTAAGTCTTGCGTTTGTCTCTCATTGATGCATTCGAAAGTCCTATGTCAATCATTTCATGCCTGTATGTAGCCATGCCTTTTAGAATTTTCTGGGGATCCAATAAATTGGCGGGTGTATACCCCCAACTACAAGCCTAGTTTAAAAAAAAAACGAAGCCCGGTTCCTGTGGGCCCAGCGAGGGACGGGTTTTCCGGATAGGTGCAAGTCCCCCCCCCCCCCCATGCATGAGACAACCCATAGCTTTTCACGCACTAGTGGTACATTAATGACTACGTGGCAGCTGGAACGAGTCTTGGTAGAGCGCATTTTTCAATTGATACTGCATTTACAGCTTAAAAATACGATGCCATAAATGAACGTTATAAAAGATGCCACCACAATGTTCAGGGTTTAGTGCAAAGGTCTTGGTTTCTTTCGACCTTGAAAGACCGTTGAAAAAGAAGATAAGTTAGCCACTAATTGTACTGATAATCTTTCAATTGGGTGCCGATAAATTTATCTTGATGGTCAGTCAAAAATAATGCAGTATATTTTTAAGCTGGAGACTTTTAAAATAAATGTGTTAGTATTTCATAAATTAGTTTCAATTGAAGAGATATTCCGTCAACTCTAAATCAATAATATCCACTTCGTTCACACGAGTTTTGAAGAAAGACACAATTAGCGTTAATTATAGTTTTGTCCAATCACCTTCTTCCAAAACAGGTGCTTACCACGGAGGCAACGACATCGGAGTCACCAGTCTATTCCCGCATCGGTTACGAGAATATCCAGAACCAGATCCCACAAGTGCAGGTATAATGGATATCTACGTAACATGATGCCTGCAAGGACAAACAAATGAAAAATGACGATGTACCGGTAGTTGACAAGAAATTATTTCCATAAGTTGTAATTTATGGGCATTAAAATTCAGTAACGATAAGGAGGCCTGATTAAAACGCATAACGGAGAGCCGTTGATCTTAATTAAAAAGAAGAAGATACATCAAGCGAGAAAATGTAAATATGGAAAAAAAACTTCACCAATAACAGCGTGAGCCTTGAAAGAAGTGTAAATAATATATCAAGTGGACACACAAAAGGACAAAAGTAGGTTGCGATTGCATTTTGACTCTGCTCTAGGACAGTGGATAATACTTGTATTTTACAACCTAATGAGTCTTTCGTTTTCTCTCATTTCGAAGGTATAAGTCAGTCAGTTGACAACCACGTCTTGGTTTCTCCATACAACGATCTGCATCAAGCGGAGATGTTTATAGATCGTTATGCTGATGACCTTGCTGCCGTGATCATGGAACCATTCCATCGGTGCACGAGCCCGAAGGTAAGGGTCAGACCAGTAAATACATTCCCATAACACCAAGTAAACCACCACTTCAACAAAAGATCGGGGAAAATACTTACAACTCTCACAGGTGTTCAAGACATACATCAAATTAAAGCTGCATTACCCTCTTTCACCTTCTGATCATTTTAGCGGAAATCGACGACTTTGCCTTTTTTTTGCTTAGGGGTGAGTTTTTCCCGCCAAGGGCGATAACTCCTAACAGTAGCTAGTCCTGAGGCACATTGTCATGATCCATCCACTGCATTGGAAAACAGAGCGACTTTTTATTCCAATTGCAACTCAAAAATTGCTGAAATTCAAGGTCATAGACCGATGCAGGCCTGAGACCCTTCGTTGCTATACAAAGCCCAAAGTGCGGGGCCACAAAGCTATGTCTATTAAAAAAAAAATGACAGTATATAGTCGTGATTTGGCCGGCGTAGGCAATTTGGGCCCTTTTGCTTATCTCTAACCGTAAGCAGATCGTAATGCGCTTTATACTAAACAAGACTTTAAGGTTTTCCAAACCTCGACTTCACCAAAAAATCTGCTTCATCGCTGGACTGAGAAGCCTTAAACTTCCAAACCAAAAGAGAAAAACCTCGGACTGATTATTATAGGAAGTGATGATTTTCCTAAGTGAGGACATATAACTATAATAATCGGCCGGAGTTTACCAAGTCAAGGACCTGAAATCTCTCAGACGCCAAAGCCGAAGATGAGGACGAGTTTTAGAAGACCCTTTTGGATTTACTCATTATCCCTGAATTGTGAACGGTGTCATATGAAAATCGGACTCCTATAAAAATCGGACTCCTTTACCCTATTTTGTTAAATCCCTCTCACGTGACCGGTCACTCTTCTAATCAACATCACCTAGACATGCGCAGTACTACCAATGAACACGTATTTTATGGTGTCCTAAATTCACGCTACACCGGGCCAATTTCAATCAAACTGCTTATCAGGGAAACATTGCTCAGCAAAAGGTTTTGCTGAACAAATGCATGCAGGTTACCAGTTACAAACGTCATGAGATGTACAATGGTTGTGGCTGGTTGCCAGTTGAATTCTCTACTACAGCGAACTAATGTAGGCCGGTCTCTACTGAGTCTAAACATGAACATGTTTTCTCACTTTCCACTTGTGCATTTTCCATACAAATATAGTCCATTCAGAAAGACCATATGAAGCTGTCCGTCTTTATATACATAATACAGTTTGACAATGAATGATTAATAACCTCAAGGGAACGGAAAACTATGACAGTTCCACATTGCGCAGTATGATCTGGGGCTGTTACTCATCAGTACCGGTAGCTATAGCTCTGGCGACTTCCCACTCAGTTTAACAGTTTGAGGCAGATTTGATAATCGATCAGTTTTTCTTGACTACGAATTGGAGTGATTTGCAACATTTTTTTTCTCTTCCAGCCAGGCTTTCTGGAAGGCATCCGGGCAGTCACGCAGCGTAACGGGGTGCTTCTCATATTTGATGAGGTAGTGACTGGTTTCCGTCTGGCTTATGGCGGTGCCCAGGAGTATTACGGCGTGGTACCAGACCTGGTGGCGTATGGGAAGGCTCTAGGTGGTGGATATCCCATTGGTGTGTTCGGGGGAAGGGAGGATATTATGGGGTAGGTAAAGCCACACCCATTTCGAGCTCCACTCCCGCCCCACCCAAACTCCGAATCCTACCCAAGCCATCCCACACCGCATAGCCCCCAACTCTCATAATACTAGTCAAAAATGGGAGGGAACTTTTGGGTTAAGAGGAACTACTTTCCTTTTGAAAATGTCAAAAAATGTCAAAATGGTGTCATAACATGACTAAAGTGGCAATGGTAAAAAGGGGATGGAATTTAGGCCTATCTTGAGGACGTGCAGTCATGAGACTATCGATTGAGCAGGTTCGAATCCCGTTTATTCAATCTAGTTTCTCTGTTCAGCCACAAACTACATCTTATATGTATAGCATTTTAAACCCATTGTTTCTAGGCTTGTCAGTGAAGATCGCATGGGGTCTGATAGTCGCTACGTATGGACAGCGTCCTCTCTCGGCGGCAACCCGATAAGTTGCAGCGCAGCACTCGCTGCACTCTCGATTTACCGCCAAAAAGGTGATTTTAATAATCAATGCAAAACACCATAGAAATAACGACAACATTAGTTACTATGACTTATCACAGTCGATGATATTCAACAATCATGTTAATTTAGACTGCGCAGACAGTGCAGACAGTGCGCGGAACATCGGCAAAGTTGAACCGGGCCCAACTTTGCCGATCGCCTGCCAGATATAGTTTGCGTCTGTCTTGGTTGTCGGTGACATTTGCGGATAAAATTCTTCCATTATGTCTGCGTTTAAGTTTGGATCTTGTTTGCGTTGGTCTCTGCGTAGGCTTACCTCGATATGGAAACTATACAGGCATTCCCGATGGGAACGCACAACGTTCCATTTGCGGAATGGGAAAGTTCTGACATTTGAGACGTTCCCTAAGATTACAATAAAGGTTTCCTAAACATCGGATTCATATCCAGTTCGACGTGATGATGATCATCTAAAAGTTTTTCAATGTCAAAACCAAATGAACTTACCGGTACTCTATATTTTGGCCTCGTTAACTAAAGAGTTTAAAGCAAAACATTGATAGGCCTACATTTGTATACACATTGAGTCGGAAGGCCCAAATTTCAGGCAACTAAAATCCCCAAAGGCAAAGCTGCTTTGAACTCGTGGTTTGGAAAACCCCTGTATTAGCTTTTAGAAACAACCTTGAGCCAAATGTTATTTGAAATAACATCTTTGTGTACCTGGATGATTTGATTACAGGATCGTATGAACATCTGCACAGCATTGGCAAGTATCTACGTGCCGGTATGGCGAAGTGTTTAGCTGATGTCAATCTTCCAGGTATGGTCGATAAGGCAAAAAAAAAAGTCTACGGTTTCTGGTATGCGCGCGCGTCGCCGTAGCCATGCGCGTCGGCAAAATGAAAAAAGAAATTTCAATGAAAGACGATGTCTCAAAACCGCCAAACTCACTGGTTTGACTGGAATCCTGCTGTTGCGCAATTTTAACGGTTTTTTTAGATGGGGTTTTGATCGAGAATAAGCTTTATGTGGCCTCTCTGGACTCCCATATATTTGCACTAAGTTTAGTCGGGCACCATTTGCAGTCATCAGCCGATATTTGAAGCAAAAAAGTCAGGCAAGTAAAAAAAAAAAAAAAGCCGCGTCGCCGCACCACTTTTGGACAAGCTCCATACCAGAAACCGGAGACTTTTTTTGTTTGGCCTAACACAGATCGTGTTTCCTTGTCCAGACTGGAATGTTTTTTAAAAATGTCAACTGTAGTAGGGTCGGAAGGGCAATGCATGTGTTCCCCCAAATCAACAAGAATTCACATATTATCACGCACGGATGAATCAAATCTACGACCCTAGAGAATATAAACCAAACTTGTTCAGAGGTAAATCCAAAACTGTTTGGCATTTACGTTTCTATATAAAACAGGAATTTCTAAATTTGAGATTTTTTATATATATAATTCCTTGTAGGTCATGTGATAGGTGACGGTCCTTTGGCGCAGATATTGCACTGCGAGACTCTCGTTCATGACTACAGGCAGCAGAAGTTGCAAGAAAACGCGGAGCAGAGACGCGCTGTTATGATTGGTCTATTCAGGTAAGGATTGTGGCCAACAAACTAACGCGCGTTATGATTGGTCTGTTTTGGTAAGGATGATTAGCTACTAACCATAACGCGCGTCATGATCAGATGATTGGTCAATAGCCAGAAAATGTTGCGCATAATGATTGGTCAGTTGGCAAGGGTGGCAGGAAACAAACTACTGTGCGTTGTGATTTGTCTGGTTATAGGTGAGGATGGTTGGCTTAGCTTAATTAACTTGGCTACAAACTATAACGTGCGTTATGATTGGTCAAAAGCTAGAAACAGTCGCGCATAATGATTGGTCTATTGAGGTAAGAATGGTTGGTGGCAAACTAACACGCATCATGATTTGTCAATAGCTAAAACTGCCGACCAAAATTGGTCTACATTTGGGCAAGGAGGGAATGTAGGCCATAAACTATCGCGCGTGCTGATTGGTCTGCCGGACCGTTATTAAGGTATGCTACCAGCTAATTATAACCTGCGTATTATGGTCAAATTGGGTAAAAATGTAAGGGTAGTTGGCTACAGATATTCGCGCGATGTTGAACATAATCTAGAGGAAGAATTATACTTAATATTTTGATTGCATTCCAAAAAGCACGTTTGAAACACCTACGATTAATAAACAAACTTAATTTGTCCAATGAACATATTGAAAAGACTTGCTGTTGTGTTTTTCTTTCTGTCTCTCAGACGAGGAGTTTTTCTCAATCCGATGGGCACCAAGTTTTATTTATCACTGAAGCACACCGAGGAAGCGTGCGACCAGTTTCTGCAGCGCCTGGAAGATGCACTGTTAGAGTATAAAGGACAACGAACATAAGTGGAGTGCATGCACCCTATAGTGGCGCTATGCATGCAGCCAAGAGCAATGGCATGACCTGCAAAGCGCAATTAAATTTCTAAATCTATTGTCAGTATTCAAGTACCGTTACGTATGGGCATGTCGCCACATATCAATAGCGGATCTAGAGGGGGTTGGGGGGGGGGGGGGTCGCAACCCCTCCGATCAGCCGCTATACCTGTTATGAAACTAGTAAAATTGGGCCAACATAGTAAGTGGAATGCTAAAGTTCCTAAATTTATTCTCAAATTGCCTTATACATGAGAAAGCATCGCAGATTTCCAGGAGGCAAGCCCCCGCCCCCCCCCCCCCCCCCAGCAATTTACTCACCCCCATCTTTCATACCCCCACCTCCCGTTTCATGAATGCTATATCCGCCCCTGCATATTGTTTTCTGAAAGAATATATACCTCGAGCAGATATGATTTCGCTGATCATATGTCCTATATTATTACTCACCACAATGCAGCTAAAATTACTCAAGCGGCCCGGTATTAATAAGAGGTTTCTATATTTATGAATAAAAAAAATTAAATTGAGATAATACAAATAATTCTATTATTTCTATTGCAATATTCAGCTAATTAATAATGAGAATGAGCAAGCAATGTGATCGAAGTATGCTGTTGGAGGTGGTCTAAGAAATATTAAAAGTAAATTTAATTTATATTGTTGTGATTGTTTCTAAACACGAATTCGTTTTTTTGTGTAAAATATTGCAACATAGATGTGAAAATTATTTCTTAAAACTTCCTAATATTTTTTTAGTAAATTTTATATATATATATTAAGCCAAAATTAATATACAAAACATAAGCTAAAATTATTATATATAACACATTATGGACCTTGACCAAACTGAAATTTAGCAGGCCCTGGATATGACATAAGCCCAGGCATTTTTTTTTTTTTAGTCCTAAAAGTCTTGGATTTTTCCTTGGAATATTTTAATTTTATGCATTTGAAATTAAGTTCAGCATAGGCCGATTTGTTGAGGTACAACTTTAGGCTTGAGAACATTCTAAATAAGGATTGTGCACATACGTTTTTTGTCTTGTGTACCGGCAAAGCACAACGCTAATTTTACGAAGAAAATGAACCGACACTGCATTTAAAATGAATAAATACGGATTTTCTTGAGATTCTGTATGTTTATTTATTTATTTATTTATTTATTACATTTCTTTACCCAGGGTATGCCCAAACAGTTCAAAACTGGTTTCCATTGGGGCCCTGCATTCAATAAAAAATGACTACAAACGTGTATACAAATACAACACATTACAAACACAAAACAAAACAATACAATGGGATTTTAGTGGGTGCCCGCAGATTAGTTAAATGAATTACAAATGTTGTGATACTGATTTCAGTTTTCTTAAAATAAAATAAATTTTGTAATTTATTATTAAAGAAAATGTTACGGTACAATTAATACAATACATAATCTATCTATAAACGGCGTTTTTTTTTCAAATTTCAAGGTTTGTCTTCGGTTCGTCTCCGGTATATTGCTGAAACCAGAAACGCAGATGCGAAGCCTTGATTTTATTTCTGTGACTTGAGCCCCTCAGACATCAGAATAGCACACTTTTCGGATCTTCCTTGGTGTGTACACGCCGAGAAAGATCCGAAAAAAGCGGTGTAAATGGTATAGTTCCCAGTACCCTTCACGCCTTACATACATCGTATTGGAGAACGGGAGCAGTCTAAGTGATTATTGGAAAGAAGAAATGGCTACATCCGCTTACCAGGTAATTCAACTCCGATTATTTGGCTTATTTTTTCGTATTATGCAAACGTCCTTCCAGTTTTAAGGGTGTGGTGGGTATTCTTCCTGTATCAAGGTTAAGAAATGATTGTTTTTCCTGTGGATGCAGGCCAAATGCGTCAGTATCAGCTCATTTTACTTTCAGTTTCACTTTTCACTTTCACTTCAGCGCTAGCTGGAGTTACCCAGCCCTTAGCCCAGGTTGGACGAAGTCTTCATTGCAATACGACTAACGTCCAGGACAAGACTTTTCTACATGAAACCATCCCAACATTTTTACCAGAGTTTTGTATGTTTTACCTCGTTATAGAAGCTTATTTCACGCCTACATACTCTATGTATCCTTATCTATTGGCCACTTGGTTCAGGAATTCCATATGCGATGCTGACTGACGTTAATCAGGAAAATAAACTCCAAAGCAACGTTAAACTTGTTCGTGTTTGTAGTCTCTTTTCATCAGTTTATTCACAGAGTCGTAAGTCATGTACAATGTACATGATTATGTACAAATGTACGTGCGTACGATCCGAAAGCGCGCACGCACGCTAGCGCCCTCATTTGTTTAGTTTTGGTTGAACCGTGACGTCACTCCAGCCAACCGATGTCACGAAAACGCTCAACCAATGACCAAAGCCGAAGTGTGTTTCTGGTAACTGGCGCGAAAACACACTCGGTCATTGGATTAGCGACCGCGCCTTCAAGTAAGTGCGCGTGCGTATGAGGGTGGTTACTAAGCAAATCACGCGTGCGCACTGCATATTCATACGGCATAGTCTGTCCCTCGGACCAGATGTGATATGAGCGTCGAGAATAATTGTCCGGTCTAGGGAACCAGACTACATGCTGCACAGACGTTCATGGTATGATGTACGACTAGAATAGACTCGGCGGTGAGAAACTGATGAAAAGAGACTAAACACGTACAAGTTTAACGATGCTTTCGAGTTTATTTTCCTGATTGACGTCAGTCAGCATCGCATATGGAATTCCTGAACCTAGCGTACTAACAGATAAGGACACATAGAATATACGACGTAAAAATTAGCTTTTCCAACAAGGTAAAAATATTGAAATTATTGGTAAGAAATGTTTTCGTTCGGTTGTGAGCACATGTATACTCAGGACTCCCTCCGTAACGTAGGGAGGAAAGGGAGTCCACCAGGGCTACCCAGCCCTGAGTTTTATCATTGGGTTGTCATTTAGCCTTTTAGGGCTGGAGCTAGTTTTTCTCGTAACCGATAGTATAGGCAAAAAATTTTGAAAAATGTTCAATTTTGTCCCCGTTACACACTAATTGCAACTGCAACTCACCCCAAACTTGCCTGGAATAACCATTACACAGGTCCTTGAAGTAAAAAACGATCCACGATGAAGATTCAACCTACAATTGCAGTGAAAACAGGAGGAATAACCGCTAACCTGACAACCTTGCTGGCATGGCCAGGACCGCAATTGGTTTGTGCACACACAAAAATTGTGTACAATGAATGGCGGTCGATTACCATGCACGTACAGCTCGCTGGTACTAGGCGTTTTTGCGGTCGGTGCATGACGTGACGCGGAAGCGTAATACCCGATGACTGTTTCATGCATTAATAAGAGGTTCACTCGCATCACAGTGCGGTACTGGAACGGCAACCGTCGAGTTGGCCGGCTATCGTGCATTCATAGTGCAGTGTTACATAGTGCGTTTTTTACTTCAAGGACCTGTGTAATGGTTATTCCAGGCAAGTTTGGGGTGAGTTGCAGTTGCAATTAGTGTGTAACGGGGACAAAATTGAACATTTTCCAAAAAATTTTGCCAATACTATCGGTTACGAGAAAAACTAGCTCCAGCCCTAAATGACAACCCAATGATAAAACTCAGGGCTGGGTAACTCCAGCTACTTCAGCGCCGTAATAAAATCAAGATTGGGCAATCGTGTATGTAGGGCCGGTTATAACTATAAGGGAACAAAATCCACTTTAAAATTATTGGACCTACCAAACTAGTTGGCGACATTCTCAATAAACAGGTATGTCATAGATAGAGGGCAGGGTTTTGATTTTTTGAGGGAAATGTGGGGGTAAAATGACGATGACAAGGCGGCTACAACAAGCGACCCGAAAAGAAAGATGGCGATCACCGCGCGATGTACCGTGAGCACGCACGGCGCGCTGAATCGCAAGGCACAAGGGCACTTCAATTCTCTTGACCAACTACAGCACGGCTTTCATTTCATCGCACGAGGCACGAAGACACTCTCGGAATGAAAGCCGCACTGTAGTTGGTCAAAAGAATTAAAGTGCCCCCAGTCGACAGCGAACGATGAGAGACGGCCGAGTGCGAGACTCTGAAGATCCTGGTGAACGAAATTCTGGTAAATTTCACTTTTTTGTTTGACATTTGAGGGATTTCAACCCACGCTAAAGGTACAAATCCACATCAAGATAATACTTGTGAAATATTGAGGCCAAACAATTCGCGACAAAATGAAATTGGCGGTTGGGAAAAATTGAGAATTTTCGGCTACAGCAACTTCAATTGGTCTTTCTGTGAGGTTTGTAAAAAAACTTACAGTTCTGGAAGTATCCTTAAAAGATAAAAACTTCATAATTTGTAAAACTGAGTAGAATCTGAATCATCAGTCATCAATTGCAAATAAACTCCAATTGAAAGACATGATGATAAAGGTTATTAATCAAAAAAACCATAACACAAAAAAGGTTGTTCAAAAGAAATTCCAACAAAAAAAAGTGTACTGTCATGGCACTCTAGAAATTGTGTGAACTGGAAAACGTTGTTTTTTTTCTTCAAATCGCGGCACTATTTTTTAAATTTTCAATTACTACATTGGATGTATTTGTGGTAAAATCATTTAAAATGAAAACCATAATCATTCATCTTCAATTCACACACAACAAATAAAACAAAACATTTGCATATCTTACACTTCACTGTTGAAATAATAATCATGCAATCCATCTAACTTTGATACATTTTTTTTTCATTTTCAACAGAGAGGGACCAATGGGCACCAGTCCATGCTGGAGAAGTCGTTAGAGCGACGGCGTGTGAACAAAGAGCATAACAGTAACTTCCGAGCTGGCCATGTGCCAGTGCATGAGGAACACCTGCACAAGACAGGGCTGCGTGGCAGAAAACGTTACTTTGCTTACTGCTTCCTTGCAATGGTTTACATCACTGCAGTGGGCAACCTAGTGGTGAGTAGAGATGACTTATTATGAGTCTTGACTTTATGAGTCGGAGAATCCTTGGACTAAATTTTAGTGTTGAAAAACTTCTAATAATAATAACAATAATAATAGCAGGCATTTACATGTATATAGCGCTTTCACGCCGCAACGGGTTATAGAAGCCCTTTACAATTATTATTTTCCCTGAATCAACGGGCAAACATTCCTGAAAGCTTCTCAGCCCCCTGGGGAGTATACATGTACAGCTCGATGCTGCCTGTTAGGCGCAAAGCAGCTAAATTTACAACAATAACCATCTCTGCCCTCACAGGTACCCATTTACTCCTGGGTGGGGAGAAGCAATGAGTGACAAAGTGCCTTGCCCAAGGGCACACGCACCATGACCCCAGGCTGGACTCAAACCCACAACCTGCAGATTTACCCGCAGACCACAAATCTGACACACTTAACCACGAGGCCACAGCACTCCACAGCAAACAAAAATCTGGCCAACTTTTCCTCAATCTTTACCAACGAAATGCTACAAAATTTCAATAACACTTCACGAAGATCCTGATTTTGTTTTGTCCTATACTTTCCTTAAACCACTGATTGCTTTTCCACTGTACAGTGAAACTGATTACTTAACTAGTGAAAATTGTTATTGAAATAATGTTTTCTCCAGATTACAGCACTTATGATGTGGACCCTCCGCATTGACATGAATGGACTGCAGTCATTACAGTTCCTCAGAGGTGGACTTGTGCGGTTCCTGGATGAAGTCGATATCGACACCGTCGTTACATCACACGGGGAAATAGGTGGCTTTATGGGACAGGATCTGGAGATTTCAGGTCAAAGGTCAACTGTAAGTGTCACTTTGGGTTGTAAATTGTACAGAATGTTTGCAAATGGAGGTAATAAATTTTGAATACATTCTTTTTTGCTGGTCCCAGAGGGCCAGCCTGTAGTCTCTTCGTAACTGACTGAAACTTAGCCTGGTTGTTGACTTTGAAGACAGTCATGCAGTGCTATTGTATAGGATTACCCTGTAATACCAATGAATGTGCTAAATCCGGCCCATTGTGTAAACCAGATGCATGAAAAGACTTCCAGTGAATAGCCATTCTGAATCAATTGAATCAAATTTTGTGTGATATCTGAGACCCGCTTTACTGGAATTGACTTTCAATGTCATGTTTATATTAACATTGTGAATAAATATAATTTTTCATATGATGATCATAATTTTATTCAATTTCCAGGTTCGGGTGGTTGCACATGAGAAGCCTGCTGCATCAGGTGGGCCTTCGTAAAGTTCATTTTGTAATTCCGAATAATTTCAAATCAAATTACACCCCCCCCCCCAAAAAAAATTACAATTAGACATCAACATGAAATACGTATAACAAACATGAAACATTGATATTGAACGATCCGGTGTACATTAAATAAAATTTCCTGTTGTTGACATCCCACAGTTGAAGTGAGTAATGGAGAGACAATTATGCGAGGTCAGAAGGGGTTAAAGGTCATCAGCCCCAGGTCAGGGGCAACCATCTTTCATACTGACGCCAGCAAGGAAGCAATCCTCCCTACAAAGATGGATACAATGCAATCATCGCTGATAACTGCCAACAAGGTACTAACTTTCATGGTTTTTCAAAAAAACAATTGGTAATCTTAATTTTGATGTTAACCCCTGTCTGTGAGTTCAACAATACCCAATGGGAAATTATTGTTGATTGAGTAGTGAACAAAGGATCTTTTGTTCTAACTATTTGATCCTCTGGAGTCAGCAGTCGTCACACTTCCTAAGCTGTTGGTTATTGGTAGGTTCATAAGCAGGGTCCTTATGACATACTTGGAGCTTAGTTAGGGTAAATTCTCTCTGGTAAGGAAACCGAGGTTCCGCAAAAAGTGCAAAGGGAACGGTGTTGTTGCTGAGTCCATCTTAAGTTCTCACAAGTCCATCTCCAGCCCTCTGGTCTCTAGGCAAGTAACAAGCTTTTCAAATCGTACTTCCTTTGTAATTGTTCAGGACAGAACTTTTGAAAGGACTTGTGGTTTATTTTTGACTGGACCTGCGATTGACTTGACCACAACCCCGACAGTTTGTGTAGGTAGAAAACCGGAATAAATAGTTACTTGTAGAGGGGAGGAAAACCCCAGACTGTTTGAATCCACTATTGGTGAGGGGGACCTGAAAACCCAATCTGCATGCCAGTCCTGGGAGGGTTCGAACCTCGGCACAGATCTAATTTGTAGCATCATTCAATCACAGAATGAAGTGCAAGATATCAATGTACTCTCCCCACCAGATATTTGTTTGGTAATTTTCCTCATTACATCAGCTTTAAAAATGACATCATTTGGTTGCACCATGTTTTATAAACGTTACCAAGAAAACAATGGCGAATTGTTACATTTAGATTGTGAGCGACACGGAAGAAGATTTGAGGATAATGTCCAACGCATCAGTGGAGCTTCTTGGCAGCGAGGTCTTGCAGTTATCCTCCAAACAACTGAATGCTGATGCAAGGGACATTCTTATTACATCGGTGAGCCAGGTTTGGAAAATTGATTTGAGTTTATATCATTGCAGACTTTGTAGAGTCTCTTTGAGTTCAACAAACAAGGTACAAGATGTCAAAACCACACCATGGCTTCAACAAATATTGTTTGGCAAATATATTACGAAATAGTCCCGAGTAAAACTTATGAATTTTTTATGTTCATGTACCAGCTCTGCTTTCTTTTCTTTTCTGTCTTTTTTTTTATCAATTTTGCATTTGTTTTATCTCAGTAGATCTTATAAGTTTGAGAAAAAGTGAAACCTCATACCTTATTTATTTGTCTGAGCCAATAAGATATCCACAGAAATTGGATCGAGCACCAAATTTGTGCTGTGGTACTTGGGTTCAAATCCTAATGCGGAACATGGTGCTCGTGTTCTTTGGCAAGACACTTAACTACAATTGCCTCTCACCACCCAGGAGTATAAATGGGTACCTGTGAAGGTAGAGACCAAAATGCGCTGTTCTAGAGCTGCTGCAGTAAAATGGTGTCATGGCCCAACGAACAAGGAAAATAATAGTGTAGCACTTTGAGATTTTCAGTATATAGTTCTATACAGGCGACCCATTATTATTATTGTTTGAAAAATTATACTAATTTTTGTTGTGCCAATCCAGCCTTTAAATCAATTAAGGATTTTCATAATATGTGTATTTAAAGTTAATTACAAGAAACTCAAAGAGCATTCATGGATTTAAACTCTGATCAACCCAAAGTGCTGACTGTTTCCTCTTTTCCATGTCGCCTTCAGATGTCTACTCTCATACTGGACGGCAGTGTCGGTACATTTCTCAACACTACATTATTACCTAAAGCAAGTGGCAGCGTAGGCAACAGACCCAAAGCTACCGTCTTCAAGCTGTGCGTGTGCAAGACCTCGGGCCGGGTATTCCAAGTCAGGGTACAATCTGGTGTGCAACACCCATGTGCTAATTTAGACAGCAGTTTCAACTTGTGCACCTAGCTTGTATGGATTGTCAGCATTGGATTATTGCAATATGTGTGAAGCATTTGTCAACCACCGACTTTTCTGGGCAGATGGTCGAAGAGAGATTTTGAAATATTGTTGAAATATGGATCTTTACCTTTAAAATGACTGTTTAGGTTTTGAAAAAGAGATAGGCCATCAGCCTGGGGGTTTGGTCAGTATCAAACCAGGGCATAAATGATTAAAGTGAGCATGCACAAGGTATACTGCCCCTATCTTGATGGACATTTTGAAAAAAAGGGTGATAACCCAAAAAGCTGCCACCGCTGCAATGCTATCACATATTTTCCAACTCTGGTGTATACCTTGACAAAAATCGCTATGACGAATATTCCCCTCATTTGATACCAATGGCCAAAATTTTGGACCGAGGCTGATGGCCTAAGAGTTTCAGTGCAAAATTGTGCTGTTAAAAAACAGAAGATTTCAGTGACTTTTTTGGACAGATAACCAAGAGAGATGACTTTCTTGATCTGAAACACCTCAAATAATCACTTTTATAGACAAAGTTATTGTCTATAACTGTCACAGTGTAATTTAGATTTATACTAAGGAGCACAAAATTGATTCACTGAAGAAAATCACCCTTACATCATTTTCGGTCGTACTTCCATGTCGAGCTCTCGTCAGAGCATGTCACATGTATGGGTCATTTTATAAATATTAGTGCAAGATTCTCCTTATTGGAATTCAACCTTTCATTCTTCTCTTTTTGTAATGATTTAGTGTGAATAGTTTTTCTAGACTTTAATTCTATCATTCAAACTTAATTGAATGAGTCTGCATGAGTGTGACATATATATTATTATTAAAAATGTCTTATTGATGACTTTATAGTTTAGAAGCTAAAATGGTCAGGTATATGTCTAGATGCAATAGAGAGTGCAAGTTGACCTCAAGAAGCTGAGATTTTACAAGAAATACTGCACATCCAGGCATCGTGTATAGGATCTTTTGGCACATATTTTTTTCTTGACTGGGCCCATGCAATCAAGGGCAATAAAAGGTTTTTTGAAAGAAAAGAAGGAATGACAATTTACAACATATTGAAAATAATTGCAAATTGATGACTATTATGAAATGAATCGATCATGCAGATAATTGGGTGAATTCAAATGTGAGAGTCTGTGACTAGACAGCGTTGGGTACCAAGACATTCACATAAAAAGTGAACGTGGACTGGCGAGACTTGCACGCTCTAAATCCCCCAAAAGAAACCCCCAAAAGGAAATTCCAATCTTTACAAGACTTTGTAGTGTTTTTCAATTTTTAATGGCATAAGTGTGAAGTGAAAAAACAAGGACGTCGGCTGATCCGAGGACAGGTTGCATGCCAGACATGCATTTATAGATTATTCCAAAGCTGTTCAAATTTTGAGGCTTATTCATATGTGAGCCAAGGCACATTGTTGCACTTGTTTTCTTCATGGTTATTTATTGACAAAGTGTGCAATATTAAATGACCCACAGGCATGTGTTATTGTGAACTGAAATGTAAATAATTTATTCATTGTAAGCCAGAACAGTTGCAAGTTACAATAAATATTTCAAACAAAGTCCTGAAGTTTCCTTCAAACAAATTTTTTTTTTAGCAACCGTTTTCTTCTGATCTCAAGAATGAGTGGCATCACACAACCATGACAAATTGTGCTAAAGAGATTTACCAAAAACACATTTATAAAGTATAAGCCAAGTTTTATTTTGAATTGTCAAACAGCAATGATTGACTGTACTTTAATTTTCAAAAGACCTGATGCGAATAAGGAGGAGTTAGAGGGCAATAAGTTAGGGGGCAATGGATTTGTATCACTAGGACAGGCATAAGTAAACCTGTTTTGCATTCATTGTTTGCAAATCAATCATCCTCTGAGATAAGTTGAAGGTAGATTGTATATCTTTTGACTAATGCCGAGACTTCTTGATCCTACAAATCAAAAACCACCAATGCCTGCTTTTGCTTGCTTTTATGGACTAGGGAATGTATAACCAAGACAGTATTAATTTACCACCCCCCCCCCCCCCCTGCCCTGCACCCCGACCAAAAATTAATACAAATTAAATAAATACAGTACACAAGTGGTCTGTAGTACACGCCTAACAAAAATGCCTCATAACATCCTAAGCATTGCTATGATTAAAACACAAACTTTGCATTGTCTTCAATTTGACATAAATATGCAAAATATGCTCTCTTTTTTTTACTAAATTAAAGGGAAGGAACGGCTTTTAAAGAAACCTTTAGGAAATGAAAGCTGTAAGACGCCAAGTGATGAAAGGAAAAGACTTGTCTGCTTTGCAGCAAGTTGCCAATTTGTACTAAGGTGTGCCTGGCGGAAACTGACGACATATGCAGAACTCGATGGAGACCCTGTAATCTTGACAATCTTCGTACTTTCGATATCGGGAAACCTGCTTCAGCTGAAAATGAAATGGATGGAATAAAAACAGCCATCAATATACATGTAGAAGGTTGTATGCATGATTTTTTGGTGAGGAAAGGGCAGAAAAGCGAGACCCCAAAATCTTAGACTTCACACATGTATATTGGGCGTCTCAAAGTAAAGTATACCCATCTTTAAATGTAAATTATCAGAAATGTACAGAGTATTTCAGAAAGAGGCAAGTACAAGGAAGAGGCCAGGATGTCCTCCATCCAATAATATTAAGTTCATTACGTCATTGTCATGGATGACTGTGCAAACATGGCCTCTAACAAAGAGGTCAAAATCAGCACTGTGACAAGTTAGTACACAATGGAAAAAATTGGTGATAAGGTCAATGATTAGGTGCTTCACTGGAGGAACGAATGGAGACAATGTTTCAGACTTAGGCTCAGGTTCCCAAGTTTTTGTTTATCTCCAACAACCCATTATTTCAAGTCCCAATTCAAAACGATACTCATAATGATAATGAAAGCTGTTTTACAGAAGACCATTCTGAGCATACTAACACCGTACATCCACAGAACCCCCTTCAATGGAGAAACCACTGTGCATACTACTGTACCAAGCAACTGTCCCATGATTGATTATCTGAACAATAGCTAGCACAATGCTTTGGCCATTGAAGGGGGCCTCGGTAAGTGTACGATGATAGCATGCTCAGATTTATGAGCGGTGATATATTATTACTATACAATAGTCCATTATATGAAGTTGGAACTAAGATGGTAATAGTCTGCTTGCGGTACCTGAAATTCAAATTCAAATGCAAAGGCAACCTTTATTTCCATTCTTTCCACAAATAAGTCAAACTAAGTTTTCAAATGAAAAGAAGGTAATTGTATAACTTAAATAAATAATAACATACAACAATGTAGTACAACGACTAAATATATTAAATGAGGGTGAAGAGTATGGGGCTGTTCATAAACCGAAGCATGTAGAGAACAGCCCGACACATAAACAGACAATACAGGACAGTATACACAGACATAGGAATCTGCTGCTACAGATTCGAACCAGCCAGCACATAAGACGTATGCGCTAGTAAACTGGAGGTCGTGGGTTCGAGTCCCACCCAAGTAAGTTTGTGAACTTTTTCTCGCAAGCCCTCAAAACTCCGAGTATACAGTGTTTATTAAAAAATAAGTTGGAGAAGAGCAAAAGCAAAGAGCAAGCTACTTACTGAGTCTACGCTGGCCTGGTTATCTATTGTGACCTGCCAGACCGATGGCCCTTCATTGGATGTGAACATGATGTGATAATACGCACTGAAGACACCAGCGTACTCATGCTCATAGGCCGCTATGCTGGTGATGTTAGCCAATTGTATATCCATACAAGATGTTGACAGGTTCTTATTTGTAGCATCTTGCTGTAGTAAAGCATCCTATGGACAGCACGAACAATTTTTTAAAGACGAAAATTAACATTTCCAAAGAACAAATTTTGCTCCACAAAAGCAGGTTTCCAACCAAAATACCTTGTGACTGTATGTTGTGTGTGGGACTTGTTCTCTACTGAAACTCAATAAGTAAGCACATCTGCTCAGCACTAATTTTTGCCAAGTAGCTCTATGAAATATTAATTTTCTACAACTGAAATAGAACTTTGGTTTATAAATTTGTAGATGGCAAAAGTCTCCATACAATTGCACCTTAGAATTGGAGGTTTCACCTCTGTAAGAACAATTATTTATCACTCTTGAAAACATCTAATCAGCATTCCCTGGCCTTCATCATGTAATAATTTGGCTTTTTTGGCAGATCATCAGATCCGATATTTTTACCTTAGAGTGTTTGTGATTGATCTCATCTACTGCTGCCCTGGCTAATGACACATGTTGGTCTGTCCATCTATCCTGCGGCAAAAACTGTAGTAAAAAAAGAACAAAATCACAAACGCACGAATCAAAGACTATGATATTTGTCAATTTTCATCACTTATAGTATTACAGATTCAATTTTGTAAAGGCAGCAACTAAAGTCAACTCGAATAGATTTTGGCTTCAGACCTGTGAACTTTAGGTATTGATTTTTAATTGACAGTGGAGGGAACAAAGTTCCTATTTACTGCTGAAAATGTCGACTTTTCATACGTCTTATTCAATTTCTGGGGGAAAAAATTGGTTGACTGCGACTCTGGAACCACACTCTGAAAAGTGAAACTTGTAGCGACCGTGGACACTAAGTCAAAAAACTGATATTCTTTACGCGTACTTCTATAGTTCTATAATCAATGAATTCTGTTCACTTTATTCCACCAAATATTGGAGTACAAAAGGATCGTTACTCACAGAGTCGTTCACGACATGCACAAAAGTTCACGAAGTTCGGATCGAAAACCTCTTAAAATCACACAGTTATCACAGCGACCTGGATCGCACTGAAATGTTCACAAGCATGAGAAAACTCTGGTGGTATCTTTAGGCTCCTTTTCAGCTTGAAACTCCTTCAAGTTTGGACGGAATTCAGCAATATATAGCAAGTTGTACGTGTACGGTAAAAGATAGGTATCAGCTCCACGGAGAAAATGCTAGAATCACGAGGTCGTAAAAATCGCCCCATAATACTGTGCACGGCCATGCTTTCTATGCAAATGAAGTGCGGGCAAGGTTAAACTATTCATGGTGGGGCTAAAGGTTAAAGGGTAACAGTTGTAAACATTAATTAACATATAAGGGCGAGATTCTGGAAACTACATAACTCATAAAGAAACTTGGAGAAACTGGAATTCTACCTTTGGACCGCCGCATACACAGCTCCAATAGGGCATGTTGGCAACATCACAAGTTCTGGATCTGATAAAAGAATAGTTTAATTGTTAAATTAACTTCTATAGTATTAAGGCATTATGTTGCAGCAAGATCTTGTGTTATTTGAAGTGCGGCTATAATGTTTCTGTAGTCTCAATGATTGGATTGATAGTCGTAGAGGATTAGAAAAAGATTTTTGTGAAAATCACTAGACTTGTACTTTACCTTGGTACAACCTGTGTGAACAAGTTGTAGGAGTTCTTGGAGAGATGACCGGAGACATTGTGCAGTGCTGGATAGTGCATGAGAGACTTCATGGTGTGGTGAAGATCATAGTGAACCTGTGTATTAAAACAGACAAGAAACGAACATGGTAAAACAGACTCGTTGTACATATTCGAGAACGTGGCTGTGAATGACGAGAACGAACATGTGAATATTTCACTCCACTTCCTTGAGGAGTCTGGCCTAGTGGTTAGGGTTCCTGACTCATGATCAGAGGGTCAGGGGTTCAAATCCAGCTGCTGGTCATATGTTGTGTCCTTGCAAGCCACTTCACCTCCACTTGCCTCTCTCCACCCAGGAGTGTAAATGGGTACCGGCATTAGCTGGGGAGTAACCTGCGATGGACTAGCATCCCATCCAGGGGGAGTATTCTCAGTCGTTTCATGCCAGTGAAACCGGGGATGAACGCCAGCGTGATGGGTCATAGTGGCTTGTGGCACGGATTTGACCTTTACTTTGCATGAGCGCTCACAAGTGTTGTAGAAATATGAACAGTTACTGTCATTCTGATTATACACAAACTCAAATAGAACCCGAATGAAAACAGGCCTATGCAGCAATGCGTCAACGCTGTCTTTGTATTCGAATGAAGGCAAGCCCGTCGCCAGCCCTGAGCATCAAGGGGGGGGGGGGGCCATAGTACCAACTAGGGGGCCCACTACCATAAAAAAACACAATAATACATATGTATGGCTTTTGCCGGGGGGGGGGGGGGGGGGCAATTGCTCACCAAGGGGGCCCCGGCCCCACCAGCCCCCCCCCCCCCCCCTTGACGACAGCCTGAATGAAGGGGTGCCTGTGAACAGAGCCATAACAGTATTAGCGGCTTTCATAATTTGAAGAATGACAATGATTCCTGCCATTAAACGATTACGGTACATGTAGGACTTTTGTTTCGTACCACGTATCTCTGGCTGTTGATCAACAGATTCCGCTCCCAGTCCGGGTTTTCCTCCATCACGAATCTGGGGACGATTATACTCAGAAACGGAAGGAAAATCTCCAGGTAACTTCCTGGATGATCGGTGTAATTACCATGGTAACGGTCGCCATGGTCACCAAACAAGAACTGCAAATAAAATATGAATTAAAGAGGAATATTACTTTAGGGAACAGCAGTTGATAAAATGGCTTGATCAATTCAACGATCAACATAAACTGTCAATATCTTGGTGATGGATACAAAAAATTACAAACTTTATAGTGAAATCACAGACACTGTATAATGAAACCATCCACAGCTGGACAATCACTGTTGAAAATTGTGATAACTAGGATTACTAGTGACATAACCTAAACCAACTGTACAAACAGAAATCATAACCTTGGTAATGGTTAAAGAATATATCATAGCAAGGTTAAATTTGGTATATATTAACTGCATACACAAAACTCATTAAACAGTTAATGACTGAAGAAGTTACAAGAACTAGGTTTGGATGCAAGTTTAATTTACTGACTGTGTTAAAATAATTCATTATGTGAAAAAAGTAATGATATTAAACAAGCTTTATCTGTGAATTTGATTTTTCAATCGGGTAGAAACAATCGTTAATCTGGTTCTCGCAAACAAACTTACAATAACTAGATTTGGTGGAGACCAACTTAAGATAAAACTAGGTTTGGTTGCAAGTTCAGTCTATTACTTTTGTAGAAACTATTAACCTGGTTACATGTATCACAGACAAACTTACTATAACTAGATTTGGTTGTGATTCCATCAACTCTTTTAAGTGATGAACCAAACTGTCGTCAATCTGAGTTGCTGAATCTGGCTCTGGCCTGAATTAATGAGTACAAGTTAAGAAAATATTTCATAAGTAAGATTTGAGGCTTTGCATGGTGGAGATACTAAATAATGAAAGGTTTGCGGAAACACCATGTGCGAATAATTTCTCAACTAAGAGAATGGTTCTGAAAAGAACCAGAGGTATAAACTCGACGTTCCGGTCAGTATGCTCTGACCGTCTTCAGGAGAGTGCCTAAACTCTAAGAAAGTGAATACTTAAGTATTTTGCTACTTAAGTATTCACTTTCTTAGAGTTTAGGCACTCTCCTGAAGACGGTCAGAGCATACTGACCGGAACGTCGAGTTTATACCTCTGGTTCTTTTCAGAACCATTCTCTTAGTTGAGAAATTATTCGCACATGGTGTTTCCGCAAAATATTTCATAGTTTGAATGTTCATGACATTGACTTGTTTCTTTGACAAATAATAATTTCCAACAAACTTTCAATCATCTAATAACCTTTGAATCAACATTGATATTTGATGGAAATATTTTTTGTGCCAGGGAGATGTCAGTGAGTGGTCGTAGGTTCGAGTCCCACCTGAGCAGGCGTGTGAATTTTTTTCCCACAAAATCTCGGACAGCACTGACCATAATATGGCGTTTGTGTCATTAACCCATTAGCATCTGTGTGACATTGTATTGCATTGTAATACATTGTATTACGTTGTATTACATTGTGTTTATTCACAGATGAATCCATAAAACCGTACAGTGCTTGGGCAGTTTTGGGGCATTACAGGGAGTAATAGGCAGGGTGGTTTGGGGCGGTACAGTGACTAAAGGCTCAAGTCAGTGAAATACAAAACGCTGTTCTTAAAGTATATGACATCTGTTTGTCAAGTATAAATACAACAAATGAAAACTGGTGTACTTTTGATTACCGAAGCATTCATCATAACAGTATTGGAGAGCATATGCTTGTAATACCTTACCTGTGTTTGGCATTAACGTCAAATGCTGCCCACTTGACTGGATAGTCTGAATTCAAGAAGTCCTGCGTGTAGTTCATGATGTGTTCATGAATGAATGTGTCACCATCGCACAGCCCAGCCAGCACACCTGGACGCACCTGTCAATGAAAATCACAGTTCAATAATTGAGAAATAGCGATGTATCACTATCACACAGCCCAACCTGTTACTCACAGATGAACCTGAAAATCCACATCACAATTCCAAAATTGCTCAAGTCTATTATATCCTTACCTCTTCGTTTTCTCTCTTGACCCATCCATCCTCCCAATGAGGCAAGGATCCTGGCCTGTTGGTACACGTCTGGAAATGAAACAAGACGAGGCAAGCCCTGTAAGCTGGTACCAGAGTGCACACAACTCGATTCAACTGATTCAAAATGGCTATTCACAGGAAGTTTTTGCAAGCATCTGTAGAGGCCAATTTCATGGAGCCTCTAAGCGCAAACATTTGCTTAGCATGAAAATTCTTCCTTGGCAAAAACAGCATTACCAACCAAATGTCCATGTGATGTATATTGCTTGTGATTGGTACTCAGCTGTTGTTTGCTAATTAGCATGAAAATCACATGGAGTTTTGGCTGGTAACCTGCTTTTATAAGCCAGACTTTTTTTGTGCTAAGCAAATTTTTATGCTTAGCAGCTCCTTGAAATTGGCTTGAGGTCTACAAAATGGGCTGGATTTAGCCCATTTGGCGTTACAGGTAATCCTATATGACAGCACTGCCCGGTTCTCTTAACCTGTCAGCACCCACTCTATGTCAAATGTAACAGTCAGTCTGTCAGTTCATCAGTGAGTCAGTAAGTCAGTGAGATAGGGGCAAAGATGACACTAGGCTTGCCATTTTGGAACCCAAATCAAGAAACCAACTGTATGACCCAGGTGTTTACCTTCATGCATTTGTCCAATGTGTGATTGCGTGATGGTTGAATGGAATGAAGCTGGCGATCTACAGAGAACAATGAATGAATGATTCAACAAATGATTCATGAAAAAGATGAAATACAAAACGGAAAATGTCAGCAAGAGCGATCCAATGCTCAGTGCTTGCTTGGAGCATGTGGAAGAAAATTCAAAACCTTGCTTGAGTGGGACTCGAACCCACGACCTCCTGCTTACTACTGCAGACGTCTTTAATACACTCAAGCTTACTGGGGTCGGCTGGCCAGTTTTGAGTTTGCTGTAGCAGTGGGTAACGCAACCTTACTTTTTATGAGATGGAAATTGCTACTGGCACGCAAGTGCAATGCATGTACTACTGCCCATATGGTTGGTAGGGCCCCAAGATTAGCTCCGTGACTCCCAACTATGAAATCGCTGCATTTGCAAGTATGGAGTTGGAACCATTCTTAAACGAACGATTACATGGATTTACTACGGATTTTTCCCCACTTCTGAGAATGAAAACTAAGTATTTATGGGGTGTCATAAAGCAAATACAGAATTTTTGAAGAAGTAGAACAAACTTACCGATCCTTTTGATTAATTTTGACTTCCTCCTTCACGTTGGGAGACAGTCAAATCAACCAACAGCTCAAGACCAGTGATTATGCACTACTTTTCCTCAAACGACACTGCATATGTATATTTTTTGACCACCTAGTTTATTTGTAACAGCGGGTGCCAAAATTGATGATTTTCGATGGCATTTTGCTGACATACCTTACACACCGTCCTTGTGCCGAACAGCCCGTTGCCTGTATCCACACCATAGCTGGTCAAGTATCCAAGACTGTTGGCATAATCCCAAATCCACTCCTTGATTTTACGAGGGTATCTTTAAAAACATTTAAAATGAAAACTAATTATTGAGCAACTGCGTCTGAATCTCCTTTCTAGAGCTAGTGAGCTACTGTCTATATCTTTGTCAATTACACCTCATGGGAATGTACAAGCTGAAAATAGACTTATGCATAGCTCTGGATGGCCTGATTCTGTTAAACCAGACTGCAGACTCTATATATGACTAGTTTCATTCAAAAATTAACCATACTTTTATAAAAACAAAAAGAATGATAAGGCAATTTTTTTTTCATTGCAACAACAAATATTACCTACCTGTGTAGCAAAACTCTTTTTTCCTCGTCACTCCTCCGTAAATAAATACCTAATTAACAAAGAAACAAACCTATACAAATTAAAACTCTCTTTGACAGGCTGGAATTCAATGCACACAGCACACTGAATTGCAAAGCTGGGGCAAAATCTGCATTAAACCAGACATTTTCAGTAAAAATCAGCTGAGAACTAGTTAGGAATCAATATGCATCACATGGTATATGCTGGCTGGTATTTGTAATAAGCTCAATATTTCTGTGCCATGCAAATGTATGTGTATGAAACTGGCCATGATTTCAGTGGATTTACCTGCATATAACGGGGTGAGATTCATAGCAGTCACACCTCCCACAGAGTTGAGACGATTGAACAGAAAGGCCTGATGGGACGGGACTTTGTGATTTGATGGGCTGTCTGTACTACCTGTTAACAAAGAGAAGAAACAACAGATAATGCTAAGTTGCATCCATAGGGCTGATGACAATTTGGAGGGGACACAGATGATGAGTGGAGGGGATGTGGTTTGGAGGGGGTGTGCAGTGGGGGTGGGGGATGTGGGTAAGGGGGGGGGTGGGTTGAGGGGTTGCGGGTTGGGAGAGGGGGGCACAGGTGGGTGGAAGGGGTGCGGGCTTGAGGTGCAGGTTGGGGGTTGCTGCTAACTGAACAGGGTTGATGGCAATTTGAAGGAGACACATGTGGAGGGGTGTGGTTTGGAGGGAGGGGTGTGGTTTGGATGGAGGGGGAGTGGTTTGGATGGAGGGGGTGTGGTTTGGAGGGAGGGGTGTGGTTTGGAGGGAGGGGGTGTGGTTTGGATGGAGGGGGTGTGGTTTGGAGGGAGGGTGTGGTTTGGAGGGAGGGGGTGTGGTTTGGAGGGAGGGGGTGTGGTTTGGAGGGAGGGGTGTGGTTTGGAGGGAGGGTGTGCAGTGGGGGTGTGGGTTGGAGGTTAGGGATGTGGGTGAGAGGGGGAAGGGGTGCAGGTTCAGAGGGGGGAAGGGGCGCAGGTTGGGGGAGGGGGAGGGGGTGCAGGTTGGGTGCACATTGTGGGCTGTTGCTTACTGCTGTATCAACTTACCAGATGTGTGTGAATAATACAGATCCTTAATAAGTTGAGCTGTCTTTGGTAATCCGCAGGGTCGATGGAAATGTGGTCTAGACATGGAGTCTATGTTGATGGATAATATGGTGAGAGGCTGCCAATCACTAGAAGAAGCACTCTGGGGGAAAGAAATTAAACAATTGAAGACCTATTTAAGATGGCAACACAAAACCCTGAACAGCTGGAATCTTTGTTTAAATTGTTTGTCAAGGCCGGTTCATACTCCATGCCAATTTCAGTGCGAAGCAAATTCGTTAGGGTAACGGTGAACATCGCAATGAAAATTCAGTTGTTGATGTCATGAAAATCGCTTCACTTTCACTTTCGCAAGAAGTATGAACCGCCTTTTGTTGAGATAATCCTACAGAGAGTAAATTACAAAATTATATGTTTGTTTCTAAGTTACCTTCTAATTCATATTAAATTTGAAAATTAAAGGTTGCTGCAAAATGCTTATTGGTGAGATTGACTTGAAATTGACGAAAAATTAAAGTAACAAGGCCTGACATTTAAATCCTATTCAGTTCTTCTTTGAGCAAGGCTCAGGCATGACTGCAACGCAAGGCCCTCTATCTATGAACGCTTCTACAGTTTTGAACCATTTTCTGAAACAAAAATGGTTCAAAGGTAAGTTCATACCAGCTTTTCAAATTTCTTGATCTGTTCTTTCTCAGAGGTGACATTCCGGACAAATTGTGTCCTGTAGTTATGCTGGTCAACAATGCTGTACAAAAGAAAACAAAACATCATCTGCTGTTAAACAACAAACCATGGGATTCAATAAGGGACAATAGGGTTGCAGATCATTGAATAGGCCCAAAATTACCTGAGTCGGCCAATTTATGGTTTATACATAATGTCGCGTCAGTGCAACAAGGTCGTAACTCCATTCTGCAACAAAGTCGTATCTCGCACGAATACACTCTATGCAACAAGGTCGTATCTTGACGTCCATTGACTTTATGCGTACATCCGGGTTATTTTAAGGGAGATACGACCTTTTGACATTCTGAAATGCGCGTTTCACGTACAGCTCATTTTACCACCTTGTTGCACACGACGATATATATGTCTATAGGACCATACACCAGTTTGACCATAGGTTTTGTGCGGGCCAAAAATGTTGTGGGGTCAATCAAAAGTCCAAACATTTTATCTAAATTTTGCTAATAGTGAACTTCCCAACAATTGGGTCCTGGCCACAGCATGGTACAGAGTAAACACAACATAGTTTTATCCAAAATTTGACAACCAGCATCTTAGCTCATTGATCAACTTCTTTAAAAAATTATAGCTACACTTACTCTTCTCCAACTGTCTTCGGACAAACTACATCAGCATACTGGGATGGGAAGGGTACTGTAGTGGGCCCACGGTAGCTATGCCACTCACGGTCCGGCATAAACTCATGGTTAGGGAGTCTCGTCTCGCTCTCCTCTCTTGAAATAAAGTTGATTTGGAATTCGCCCTCACAAGACACATGTAGAGTTCTGAATAGGTGTAAATTGGGACAAAACAGTTACATGTTATTACAGCAGCAAATATGACACACTTTGGACCCTAAATTTATAGAATGACCCATGTCTGAATATGTTTGTGTTTTTGTGGGACAAATTGTTTGAAATTCAATCACTAATTATCAGATTTCGGATGAAAGCATAAATGGGCAATGATCTGCCAATTCAGAAAAGGAGGTCGCAGGTTCAAACCCTGCACCAGTCAATTTCTTCGTTCAACGTTTAGATAAAGTCTCAATTTAGTCAATAACCTGTTGATTCTGTCGTGGTAAACGTATGTTGGATCAAGGCTACATTCCCACTCGGTGTGTCCACACATATCAGGTGGTTTGATAGCTGGCAGGTAGCAGACGCTATCGCTGACCGGATCTATCCGATCAGAGAACAAACTTGGCTCCAGTATCTGGAGTAAGGCTGTTCTGGATTCTGGCGTCCATGGTTGCTGTAATAATGACAACTTGGCTTGGACTGATGGATCATCTGGAACAACGAAAATTAAAGTATATGTCAAAAATCAACAATATTTTGCTGTGGCCTCGTGGTCTGAAGCATCAAATTCAAGATCCTAAGGTAGTTCTGCAGGTCGTGGGTTCAAGTCCAGTCTGTGGGATTGCGGTGTGTGTGTGTCCTTGGGCAAGACACTTTGTCATTCTTGAGTGATTTACCTTCATCACTCTTGCAAAACCCAACACCATAATGGTAAAGTCAACACCCAAACTGTTGGACTCTCTGATTATATGGGCGTATACCTAACCCTTTGTAAAGGATAATCCATTTACTAGTGCAGTACTCACTCCAACAGATTCCAACAAAACATGCAGTTGGAATTTGAAGGGTAAGGGTGGATAGGGTTAAGGAATGTTTCATCGGCCCAATGATGGGGTGAATAGTGAAAAGTGTTTTGATCCGAGTTAAAAGCGCTGTATAAATATAAACTTTTTTTTTTTTTTTACATCTGATGATCTGTAATGATCGACTTCTCAACTCCAAGCCATTTATAGGAGGAACAAGTTGGCACGGCACATACTTTCTGATTCTGTGCCCAGGTATAAATCCTGCCCAGAGTGAATCCATATGGATTGGAATGTTAGTTTATAACTAATTTTATGAGCAGTGGGCTGGAATGATCTGTTGTAGACAGTACTGGTCTACAACTGATGAACGGACGATGAATGGACAATATACCATGAATTGCAGGAGTAATCATTTCAGTGTCGTTTCCCATCGGTCGTTGTTGTCCAGACAGCACAGGCTTTTGACTAATCCTCCCACGAATAGGTCTCCTGCGATGGTCTTTCCTCTGAGTGTCCCACCGAACGTGCAACGCCTGCTCCACATCCACCTCCCCGTGCCGAAGTCTGGCCACAAACACCCAGTTGGCTACACTCACACTGGGCACGAACCAGACTAGAAAAACTTGCAGTAGGAATAGCAGGAGTATGATGCAAATTCCCGAGAGCAGATGCTTTTTCCACTGTCTGCGTTTCATACTTTGAACAGTTTTCAAATTCCCGATCAGTCAATCAACCCACACTTTTCCACAATTTGTCCACAGGACAGGCATTGTCACTCTTGTCGTCATGGAAAATTGTCACCCGCAAGTGGTGATGTCTTCAGTCGCATCCTGAGACTTTATCTACAACTGAAGTTAAAGAAAACCATAAAACAGTATGTCTAGTGAGTTGTTTTGAGTCGACTTCTGTACATAGGTAGGCAAGAAATTGCAAGTTAGTGCTGTTTATTTGTCGATTCACTGGATTGCAAAACCTCACAGAATCCAATGTCTTTGAAGACTTGCCTGTCTTAGCCCCAGTATACAGGTACATATGGCTAGTCACTAGTGTAAATTCTGTGCCTTGGCCAATGGCCATTCACACGCATGACACGATTATACACATGACAAAGATAATGAAAATTAACTCGGTCCCAGGTCAACTCGGTCCCAGGTCAACTCGGTCCAAGGTCAACTCGGTCCCAAGTCAAACTGTCCAAACATGTCAAAGTGCGAGTCAGAAATCTGGCCCAAAAAAATTCCTCTTCTAAAGATTTTATCAAAAAGATCTTTGTGTCTCAAGAAGCTAATACATTTTCCTTTTCAAAATGCACTTTGTCAGAAAAAAAATTGTTGGAGACTTTAGAGGTAGGTTTTTAATTGAGGCGATCCGGAACTAGTAAAAATCCGGAACTAGGAAAACGACTATTTTAAGGCAGTGTATATTTTGCCGGAGACGGCAAACCTTTAGTAAACGTTAGTTTGCCGGATATGCACTGAACATGCGCAGTTACTGGTTTTTTTACTTAAACATTTTCCGGTGACAAGTTTTAGTCTGGCTCCATGCCCAAATTATCGTTGTTACCTCGTATTCACAAGATGGGATTCAGACCATTTTATAATTTCGGACTTTATTTCCCTTTTAAAAAAAATCCTCCAGAGCCACAAATCTGAAAAAGAAAATGTAATACTCTGCAAAAAATGTTTGAGACATGTTAAAATAATAAAAGAAGAGTATTCTTATTTATTTGGGGATGAGAAAAAAAAACTTTAAAATGTGGTGCGGTCGGAATCGAACGCGAGTCATCCCGCTTTCTAGAGCCTTTGCTTAACCATTACACCAAACATGCTACACAACTTTTGGTGGGAATTTAATACATCTTATAATTCAGCCCTATTTTAAAGAGTACAGCGCCCTCTGTTGATATGGATTGCCGCCGGCAAACCTTTAGTAATCGTTAGTTTGCCGTCATTACCTCCGGCAAAATATCCACTATCCTATTTTAATCGATTCTGAAATCTGTGATGGGGAAAAAAACGAGACTTTTCAGTAACTTTTTGTACACATGTTTGTAAGAACAAGGCACACATTTTAGTCCAGTGAATAGCCATAGACTTTGGCTAGCCCATCTTAATGACATCCAACACGAATGTGCAACATTTATTGGAAAAAAACGAAGAAATTACTCAGCAGACCTGAACTTTGAAGCTCGTGTCGAAATCTCTTCTGCAGCAACATGTTTACAAATGCTTAGATGAACAATTGGGGGCGCCCTTGTTTTCAGACGGAACCTGCTGCCATTTCTTAAACCTCGGCTTCGTCTGCGAGGTGGCTTCAGACCCAGCTCCATTGCTCTTTATCGGTTTTATTGATATTAGGTCAATGTGTGTAAATGTTCTATTAAAGGTCCTTTAAATAAATGCATAACTGAAGTTGTGAGTATTTCCAGTTGCTTTTTGGAATATCCGCCGTAGTCTAAATGAACCTATCCAACAACTTGACAACTTAAATTTTTGGCTCGTGGTTTATAATATCGTTTGATGAACATGATGGAGGGATATGAAGAATATCTAGATCTACAACCTCTCCAGAAGACTCAAGAAGAGCATCAGCGATAGAGACTATCCTCCTTTACAGGTGTAAAACGAGGACCCTCCCCTCACTAAATCCACTGCACTGGCCAAGTCCCAAGATGGCTGCTTATTGGTTGGACACATTTTAACCAATATTGGTTATTTTAACCAATCTGTTTAGAGCTTTGATGCTTCGCAAGTTCGTGGCTAGCTTGATACAGAAAGTGACCAATGAATTGAGCAACTCGAAGCGTCTTCCCCAAGTTGACCAACAAGATAGCAGGAAGACGAATGCGACTTGCCAGGGCACTGTTTGCGACACCCAGAATTGCCCGCCAGCCAAGTCATCATCTGGACCCGACCCCTGAGAGCAGGGGCGTCAAGCGCTTCTCAAAAGTGGAGGGGGGACATACCTTGATCAGAACTGATGCAAGCGAGAAGCGCGAAGCCCTTACGGCGTGGGGTTCGGGGTCCGGCTTAAGGGCCCCCCAAAAAAATGGATTCTAGATGCTCTGTGGTGTGATCTGAGGCAATTTCTTATTACCACTTTCTTCCATGCTTTAACTAATATTTTCTAAGCAAAAGATAATAATTTGAACATCGTTTGCGAGGTTGGAGTCATTGAATCAGCTACCGGTATTTTGAGCTAGCTATAGGCGTGTGGTTCGGAGCCCGCTTAAGGGCCCCGAAAAAAAAAATAATTCTAGATGCTCTGATTTCTGACCTCTTTAACCAATATTTTCTTAGCAAAAGATAATAATTTAAAATTAATTGTCGAGGTTTTCTCAGCAAAAGGCATACGGGGCCCCGAAAAATGTTGGATTCTCTGTGGTTCGATCTGAGGCAATTTCTGACTACTTTAACCAATAATATTCTTTGCAAAAGATAATAATTCAAGCATAATTTTCGAGGTTTTCTCAGCTAAAGGCATAGGGTTCGGGCCCGCTTAAGGGCCCCGACAAATTTTGGATTCTAAATGCTCTGTTGTTCGATCTGAGGCAATTTCTGACCACTTTGACCAATACATTGTATTTTCTAAGCAAAAGATACATTTTTGATACTGGAGGAAGCAGTGGCGTAGCCAGGAATTTTTCAGTGGGGGGGCGCTGGGGGGGGGGGGGGCTGGAACATTTCATGGGGGGGGGGCGTCAAGCAGGGGCGTCAATCGCTTCTCAGAAGTGGGGGGGGGGGACATACCTTGATCATAACTGATGCAAGCGCGAAGCGCGAAGCCCTTACGGCGTGGGGTTCGGGGCCCGCTTAAGGGCCCCGAAAAAAATTGGATTCTAGATGTTCTGTGGTGTGATTTGAAGCAATTTCTTACGACTTTCCTCTATGCTTTAACTAATATTTTCTTCGCAAAAGATAATTATTTGAACATCGTTTTCGAGGTTGGAGACATTGAATCAGCTATCGGTATTCTGAGCTATTGGCGTGGGGTTTGGGGCCCGCTTAAGGGCCCCGAAAAAAAAAATGGATTTTCGATGCTCTGTGGTGTGATCTGAGGCAATTTCTTACCACTTTAACCAATAATTATCTTAGCACAAAAGATAATAATTTAAACATAATTTTCGAGGTGTTCTCAGCTAAAGGCATAAGAAAATTGTGTGAACATTGTTTTCGAGGTTGGAGTCATTGAATCAGCTACCAGAATTCTGAGCTATAGGCGTGGGGTTCGGGGCCCGCTTAAGGGCCCCGAAAAATTTTGGATTCTAAATGCTCTGTGGTGCTATCTGAGGCAATTTCTGACCACTTTAACCAATATTTTCTAAGCAAAAGATACATTGTAGTACATAATAGGGTAAATGAGACACGAGTTCAAAAACCGGGGGGGGGGGACATTTGATATTGTGCCCCCCACCCTTCAAAAGGTCCCCCTGTCCCCCCCCCCCCCCCCAGGATTGACGCCCATGGCGTCATGTAGATCAATGATATTTTTTTTAGAAACTCAAAATCTCAGTGGGGGGGGGGGGGGCGACTGGGGGGGCGACAAGGTTTCATGGGAGGAATCATTGTGATTCTCCTTCCAACCCTGCATGTTTGTGTGTCCCCTACATGTTTGTTTCTTGTTCCTCTGTCATTTACCTCTGAAGAAGGCCTGGCTAAGGCTGAAATGTAATGCCACTTTATTTTTGTTTAATGTCAATAACGTTACATATACTATTGATGAACCATATTTGCCTGATCTATCTTCTGCCCGCCGTCATCATCGTCATTAGCCTATTTGAGAATATGGCCGACACAATAGAAGGGCGCTGTCACAAACTGAATGTGGTGGGTGAGATGTACTTTTAGGATGGATGAGATGTACTTTTAGGATTCATGGCTCAGTGCCCACGCCTCTCTGTGTTTTGTACCGTGCCATCGTATCGCCCACATCAGCTACTTTGCTGGGCAATTTACTTGAATATTTTAGTGATTAACAAGTACGACATGTTGCCAATTTATTAATAGTTTATTGTGATGGCCGTAAACAGCATATAGCGATTAATGGAGCACAATTCTTCTCGACTCATGCAAATGCAATTGACATTTAGGAAGGAGACATGGCAGGCAATTAGACTCTATTTTTGTGTGTACATGGCAGTAGCTCAATTTGTGTTTATCACAGATGAAAAGATGAATACATGGCGAGTCAAAAAGAAAGTGACCGTATGATAAAAAAAAATGGCACGCTCCATTTTGTAAAAAATATAATTGGGATAAAGAACATGTTATTGAGTAGTAACTGTGAACATTTCACGTAATTTGCATACTCTTTTCCCAAGTCGTGTCTATTTTAATAAAGATATCACAAAATTCAGCTGTCCACCACTAATACCAATTTAACGGTCTACGAATTGATGAATATCCATTAATAAATATAATGAAAAAAAAAACGTTTTCCCGCCTCCACGAATAAAGGAAAAATTGAAAAAGAAAAATAGAAAAAAATCACCAATATTTCTAGGGAAAAAGAGTTGAATTGTTCCCCATATTCAAAATACAAAATCTGACGGTAAAAATAATGTTTCAGTCTTGATTCATAAGATTAAAATCTCAGTTGTATTTGGAATCAATGAGGATGGCTATAAAGTGCTTGTTTCGACAGATCATCCCACAATAAAAACGAGAAATATAAGAAGAGGAGCAATGGTTATTGGACTATGCCTCACTCACTAGAAAGTGAAGAGAGACATGCCCATTAGCATCACACTGCAGTCACATTTGGCCTAAACTGATTCTTTACTTAGGCCTAACCCTAAAAGGGCCGGGGCGGAATCCAACCCCTCACTTTTTGGCTGCCGGTCTCGACTCGAGACCAGCCAAAATATCGAGACCAAAGGGGACCGAGACCGAGACCAAGACCGAGACCACAGCTCCCAAGACCGAGACCGAGACCGAGACCGGCAAAAAGTGGTCTCGAGACCGAGACCGAGACCGAGACCGGTCTCGAGACCTACAACACTGCCGTATATATAGTGTACTGCTTCCGTGTTTACGCCATGCGTGATAATTTCACCTGTGTGCGTAGTATGGTGGAATTCAACACTGCCAGTCAATACAAACAAGTTCAGATTGGAGAATAAAATGGCCAAACATTTCCTCTGGAAGTTGCGCAAAAACCGGTTCAGATGGATCATGAATAGACCCAAATTTTCATCACGGAAGAGTGGATGGGGAAAAAATATGCGAAAATCAAGACGATTTTGATAGCAAAATCGGCGAGCAGAAAAAGATTGCACCCGGCGGCTGTGACGTCATTTTGTGCCATTGTAGTACATATTAATAGGGCCCTGTAAATGAGACACGAGTTCAAAAATCTGGGGGGGGGGGGGGGGGATTTGATATTGTGTCCCCCACCCTTCAAAAAGTGGGGGGGGGGGACATGTCCCCCTGTCCCCCCAGGATTGACGCCCATGCATGAGAGGATGAACCGTGGGCGTCATCCAAAAGACCCTGATGAAGGAAAGGGGAATGAGGAAAGTGGTGCCGCGACCGCTAATAATGAACTTAAGACACTAATGGATGAGGACATGCTGCACGTACGTCCGTCATCGTGCCGGACACAGGTGCAAGTTGTAGTCAATCATCCTAATGATGTTTGATGTTCAAGCCCCGCCCCCAAAATAGGCTGGAATGAAGTGTAGGACTCTGACACAGCAATTTCCCCTCCGCCGGCGACACTGACCTCCAAAATTATCGCCCAAATACCTGTTTCTTTGAAACTGCTCATTGGACCGTGAAACACCGGTACGGTTTTGCGCAATTGAAAATCAAGCTTATGTCATATAGGCCCTAACCAGTTTCTCGGCGCTTGTACACTGCAGGCCACACCTTAAGCGACACCACACCGAAAAGCTCCCTATATCGATTCAATTTTAATTGATTTTGGCTGGATATTACTGCGTTCGAAACAATCGTAAGCGTAGCTATGAATTGTTGTGAGCGACCGAAACTTTCGGATCTGAAGCTGACTTGCAGGGACCCCAGTGTGTTCCACCGCACACAGGTGAGTCGATTGAATGCCAGTGCACAAGCTTCAACTTCCATGACAGTCATTAGAGCATAAAATAAAGGCTTACCGAACTGAAAGTAAAGAATACAGCCAACACGCACAGTGCAGATTGGTTCAATACAGCATTTCCAAGGCTTTTTGGCACCATTGTGCAGATGAAAGGCAGAAATCTTGCTGTGTTTTTATATAAAATAACAGTGGCGCTCAATGGGCACTGGATTTTCTTTTCATGACTGAAATATGAAGAGAATTAAAGGCCCGTTCTGGGTTTATGACCATCTTTGTCATCAAAGTATGATTTTCGTGATCTCCTTCTCCACACATTGGTACCTTACGGCCCTCACGGTAGTATATTAACCAATATGTTATTCTCAGTAAAACACTAACACAACACAAACGAGAATGCACTACACAATGTCACATAGGCCTACAGGGTGAGTAAAAAAAGAAACCCAAATGGTGCCACCTATTTTTTAACAGAAATTCTGCATGTAGCGCTTTCCAGATCTCGGATATAAAAGCCCAATTCAAAGCATACCGGTGCTGTTAGTGAAAGAATCATTCAAATCGCTCACGTCCTTTTCCAGTTATAGAATTTTGAACATAAACACCGTTTATAAACCTTGTCCACGGATCACTATAAGGTACGTGATATCAGTAAAAATAAAACCATGTCGTTTCCTGAAATTTATATCAGGAAGTAGAAGGCAGAGCAAGACTATAAACTCTTGACATTATAAAGCATGCTAGTTTAACATTGCAAGCAACAGGTTTTAAATAAATGTTATGATAAGTGCCAGCTACAATGGTTATGAGAGTGTTCTGATGTGTTATTTATATGTGAATGGTTTTCGTTTTTCTGAAATATCAATTGCCTTTATTGTGATCCGTGGACAAGGTTAAAAAAACTGTGCTTCTGTTCAAAATTCCATAACTGGAAAAGTACAAGGGCGATTTGAATGATTCTTTCACTAAAATAAAGCTGGGCCTTCATATCCTAGACCTTGAAAGCGCCACATGCAGAACTTCTGTTAAAAAAATAGAGGGCATCATTTGGGTTTCCTTTTTTTTTTTACTCACCCTGTATTTTTCATGCTATGTTTCGACCCTTTCTTCATCAATTGGTACAGTGGTCCAAGTTACCGGCAGTCGTCTTCATAGCGTACCGTGTGGTCCTGGCCCTCTACATCCTTGGTTTCTACATAGCTCTAGTGGTAGAGGGGCAGTCAAATGGAGGCTACAATTTGATTTTTCTCACCAACGTTGCTTTCATCGTCTTCGTTGTTTACTTGCTGGTTTCCGGCCTCGTTGCTGTTACCGATGGGTGCATCTTGCGAAAGCGAAACAATGAGGGTAAATCCACTTGACTTTTACAGGATGAGTAAAAAAAACACGAGACCCAAATGTCGGGGCTATTGTTTCAGTGAAGTTCTCAATGTAGCACTTTCAAAATCTAGAATTATGAAAGCCCAATTCATGAGCTTTCTTTTAGTACAGGAATCATTTAAATCACTTATGTACTTTTCAAGTTACGGACTTTTAAACACAACCACCGTTTTAAAGTTCTGTCCACGGATCACACAAAAGGTATATGCGTTCTTTCAGCAAAACGAAAACAATTCTTACACATCCCTATTCGTTTTCGTTTTGTTGAAAGAACACTTACCTTCTTGTGATCCGTGGACAGAACTTTAAAACGGTGTTTGTGTTTAAAAGTCCGTAATTTGAAAAGTACGTAAGTGTTTTGAATGATTCTTGTACTAAAAGAAAGCTTATGAATTGAGCTTTCATATCCAAGATTTTGAAAGTGCTACATTTAAAACTTCACTAAAACAACGGTCCCGACATTTCGGTTTCGGTTTTTTTTTCTCACACTGTAGTGTTTTGCGCCTTAACGAGATAATTAATCATGTATACATAATGCTATGGCGTACAACTAATTTGCATGAATGAGTAATACAAAGGGCGAATAAATATGCATACAGAAAGTGTGAATATTATAATAAACATGGCGTGAGGGACATGACGTCACGTTTAGTTACTGAGGGTGACACCGAGGGTACCATTACTATAAGTCTTCGGGATGTGCAGAAACACAATGTCTCAAATTATATTCAATACTTAGGCTTCTTTCCATTCGTCAAGAAAATTTAAACTCGCCCTGAAAGAAACGAATTATCCTTTGCTTCAAATTTCATGTCGAACATTGATTTCATGACGCAATCATGTGCCCGCCCGCCAATTCCATTTACACGGGTGACGAATAGAAGATGTCACGATTTGTTTTAACAAGTTCGATATAGGAAATATCTCGGAAGCTGCGGGCCAACGAATTCGTGTTCATGCACGAGTCACGTGATTTTGTCATGTTATTTCTGGAAGGAGTAGTGTTAGTAAAGTTAGTGAGTAAAACACATGGCCCCAGTTTGGTCATGTGACATGTTAGGGCTGGGCTACAGATACTTTTGACAAAGATTGGTTGAAATCGGTCAAAATATGTAGGCGAAATAGACAATGTCAACGTTTGTTACTAATTAATAGACTAACGGACCATGGATGTAGAACGGACTTAGAGACATGGTGATTTGTCGAGCTGCTATCCCGCAGCTAAAAACTTGACAACTAAAGGGATATTTATCGGCCAATAAAATTACAATATCCTAGACGCGAAATGGCAACGGGGGTCCGGGTTGGGCGGTATACAAAAGTGTTTTAACTGACGGTTGTCACGGCTTCAATTTTACCCTTTTTTCTCGCCAGAAATGGGCATCCGTCACGTGATCCACTGGCTCCTCTTCAACGTGACCATCAACGCCAATTTCATTATCAGCATCATCTACTGGGCGGTCCTCTACAACTCTGCGCGCTCTGGTTTCTTCTACAATTTCCACGTGCACGCGGTGACCAGTATCGTATCCATGATAGACCTCATCGTCACTGCGATTCCAGTACGGCTCTTTCACGGCATCTACCCAGTCGTGTTTCTGTGCACCTATACGGTGGTGACGCTCATCTACTGGGCTACGGGTAACGGCACTGTTTACCCCTTCCTAGATTACGACAACAACCCCGGCCTGGCCGCGGGAGCGATTGTCGGCATCTTCGTTGCCGTCTGGGCCATGCAGGGATTCATGTGGGCCATTTACAAACTCAGGATGTGGTTTTGGATAAAGTGTGAGGGGCAGGACTCCATATTACAGCCTGATCAAGAACAGGACAGACATGAAGAAGGTCTTTAAATCAGAACTTAGTACGGCTATACGACTACCAATTTCGAGTTGAAATAGTGATTTTTTTTTACGACTGCGGGGGCCAACCATTTTTTAAGGGTGCGTCACCATACCCCCCCCCCCAGATACTCCGCTGGGTGGGTATATGCTATAGCATCGATCTTAACATTCGTATTCTCTCCTTTTGTTGAATAATAAACAGAATAGACCATTGGGGAGGGGTGCTCTAAGCTCCACCTGTGATATCAGGCATTTGGGGGGGGGGGGGCAGGGGGGCTAAGTGTTGAGGCTGTGATACCCTGTTTACCCTGTGAACCAAAGTCCATTTTTAGCCTCTCAAAACTATTAATTAATAACAGGAGTTCCACCGTTATTCTTTTGGGAACATTAAAGAGGGTGTTTAATGCTTTTGAATGTCACAATCCAGCAACGAAAACCTTTTCAATTTAAAATTAAATTCAATATCTAATTTTCTATCAGCTTCCAGTGGGAATTTGCGTTCCCAGTGCTCTTCATCAAATTCATTTTTTTTTCTGTTAATGAATTTTTAACTTGTATATTTATTCCAAAACAAAAACGAAAGTACGTGTACATACATTTAACACTCCGAAAAGGGTTTTATTTTGGGGCACAAACAGATCCTTTTTGCGAGCAGACTGGCTCCCGGCCCGTACATTATCGATACTGATTTTGGGGCAGGAACCAGCCTAGAACGGAATTATTGCCTGGCAGCCAATAATTCAAAATTGTAAAGTAATAATTCAATAATTAAACATAGGCCTTATTTTTTTCTGTCGATGATGTCTCATTTAAAAGTGAAAAACTTTTGGTAGAAAATTAGCAATTTAGAAAAGAAATATATTTTTCAGGATTAATCTCGAAAACAGAGTTGTAACGAGTCACTGATATTTGTGACTCGAGTCGAGTCGAGTCATTTTAAAGAAGTGACTCAAGTCGAGTCGAGTCATTAGGTCTAGACGGTCGAGTCGAGAGTCACAGTTTGTAGTCGAGTCGACGGTCGAGTCAAGTATTTAGCTCGAGTCAATTCAAGTCACAAATATTTGAGCACTTATACAATAAATAAACACAAGAGAGAAAGTCATTTTTGTGTTTTTTTAAATTTCACATTCGGGCTACTACATGTGGCGACACCACATCTGACTGTTTAATGACAATAAAAAGGGGGCGCCAGCTGATCGTCATTCAACTAAATGGGGACACTGATCAAACCACGTACGTATATGAATACATTATTCGCGAACATTCTAATGTGACGTGAACAAAACCGGCATCGGCGTAAGTCATTGCAAATATTTTTCGCAAAGTTTTGCTTGTATTTTTGGGACTCGAGTCTCATTAGCCTTCCTCGAGTCGAGTCTTTCTGATGAGGGACTCGAGTCGAGTCGAGTCATTTGCTCGCAGTGACTCGAGTCGAGTCGAGTCATCAAAATTGTTACTCGAGTCGAACTCAACTCTGCTCGAAAATAGCAAGAGGAATATATGTTGAGACATAAAACATTCAATAAATTCAAACATTAAAAAAAAACAGTATTATTAGTGAAGTTCGATGTAGTACAGTACGGGGGAGTTATTTATTTCATTAGTTTATTTTATTTGTTCATCACCAAATGTCCCTCCACATCAGTGATGGGGAAAAATTAAGCAGTTGGCATATAAGCATTGTCGCGCGAAAAGGTTGTGCATCTTTTAAAGTTAGGCACAAAACAATATGGGTAAACCTATGTGAAATTTACGTGACAAAATCGTGCATTATTAATCACTCGTCACTTGTGTGCGTAAAACGCACGACCGTGTCATGCAACATTTTGAATTCGCGTATTGTGTAAATTGGCCGTAGTAATGTTTGTATATCATATCAGTTATTATGTATTTAAGAAATATAATATAAAATTGCAAATAGTGTTTCTTAATTTAGCAGCGATAAATGGTGCATCAAAAATCACATTAAAATATAATTACATCGCACCATTAAAGTCATATAGGCTGCATGACGAAATAAATTCCATTTGGTTTTTAAAACGGCCTATAGATCGTTAGCAATGCAACCATCTTGGAGGTCTAGGAGTGTGTTTTTGTGCATTTATCGTTTATGAATTTTATACAACTCTTGCGAAATGATATCCACTACCTTAACGAAGTCGGTATTGCTAAATCACAGACAGAGTAGCGACAATTTTGTGGACCATGCCAATCAATGTCCGATCCCACGCGCCCCTCAGCTCAGCTCAGCACACTGACATGCATGGAAACGCCATACGGCCTGTTTATTTTGTGCCGCTACTCCACATTTCACGTGCACGTTCCCCTCGAGCACAAAAGGTCCCCACAAGGCTGGTTAAGATTCCAACACGACAATACACACACGCCCGTTGGAAAATACACAGTGTGAGGAGTGTGTGTCGGGTACTGGAAACGAGTAAATGGTTAGTTTTGTACACGAAGCTGTTGCATGGCTCGTGCACGCTCCCCTCCAGTACAAAAGGTCCCCACAAGGCTGGTTAGGATTCCAACGTGTGGAAAACACACACGCCCGTTGGAAAATACACAGTTTGTGTGAGTGTGGTTGGGTATTGAGAAACGAGTAAATGGTTAGTTTTGTACACGAAGCTGTTGCATGGCTCGTGCACGTTCCCCTCGAGTACAAAAGGTCCCCCACAAGGCTGGTTAGGATTCCAACGCGACGATATACACACGCCCGTTGAAAAATACACAGTGCGAGGAGTGGGTGTCGGGTACTGGAAACGAGTAAATGGCTGATTTTTGTACACGAAGCTGTTGCATGGCTCGTGCACGTTCCCCTTCAGTACAAAAGGTCCTCACAAGGCTGGTTAGGATTCCAACGTGTGGAAAACACACACGCCCGTTGAAAATACACAGTTTGTGTGAGTGTGTGTTGGGTATTGGGAAACGAATAAATGGCTAGTTTTGTACACGAAGCTGTTGCATGGCTCAAAGGTGGATGTTTCATCTGTTAAAGGAACTCGGATTCTAAACTCCACAGCCACCCCTTGGTTTCAGCTATAACTACTAAGGGATATTTAAATGCAACTTTAATTTTACTTACATTGCCCCCCCCCCCCCTTGTAAACCTGATTTCAAAAAGATTTGGAGGAAGAAAATATTGATTTATTTTTTAAAATTTCAGTCATGGAATATAGACTTGTACATGTAGACCCAAAAGTTGAGAGGTGGTAGCCAGATATGGATTTTTATTTTTTCTGACTGGGATTTTGCTTTTTGAGGAATAATGGGGTACTTCAAATGAGCAGTCAGTCTTATCTCATGGCAACAGTGAGTGGTAACTGGTGAAAGTGTGTGAATTCATTGCTGGAAAATCAGATAGAAAAATGTACTCTTTCTCCAAAATACTATCCCAAATTAAAGAGAAGATTGAAATGTCACTTATTTGGAGCACCTCATTTATTTTAAAAATAAAAAAATACTTCAGTTAACGCCCACAGGGGTGTGTTTATACAATCCCCGAAAATGGTTGGCCCTTATTGCATAAATTGGTACCTACTTTGCTTTATGTGCGCGACTAAAATTTAGACATTTTGGCTGGTCTCGACTCGAGACCAGCCAAAATATCAAGACCAAAGGGGACCGAGACCGAGACCTCGAGAGACCACAGCTCCCGAGACCGAGACCGAGACCAGCAAAAAGTGGTCTCGAGACCGAGACCGAGACCGAGACCGAGACCCGAGACCGGTCTCGAGACGTACTGGGAAACGAGTAAATGGCTAGTTTTGTACACGTATTTGTTGCATGGCTCGTGTACGTTCCCCTCGAGTACAAAAGGTCCCCCACAAGGGTGGTTAAGATTCCAACGTGTCGAAAACACACACGCCCATTGGAAAATACACAGTTTGTGTGAGTGTGTGTTGGGTACTGGGAAACGCGGAAATGGCTGATTTTATGCACGAAGCTGTTGCATGGCTCGAGCACGCTCCCCTCCAGTACAAAAGGTCCTCATAAGGCTGGTTAGGAATCCAACAGGACAATACACACTCGCCCGTTGGAAAATACACAGTGTGAGGAGTGTGTGTCGGGTACTGGAAACGAGTAAATGTCTAGTTTTGTACACGAAGATGTTGCATGGCTCGTGCACGCTCCCCTCCAGTACAAAAGGTCCCCCACAAGGCTGGTTAGGATTCCAACACGACGACACACACACGCCCGTTGGAAAATACACAGTGTGAGGAGTGTGTGTCGGGTACTGGAAACGAGTAAATGGTTAGTTTTGTACACGTAGCTGTTGCATGGCTCGTGTACGTTCCCCTCCAGTACAAAAGGTCCCCACAAGGCTGGTTAGGATTCCAACACGACAAATACACACACGCCCGTTGGAAAATACACAGTTTGTGTGAGTGTGTGTTGGGTACTGGGAAACGCGGAAACGGCTGATTTTGTGCACAAAGCTGTTGCATGGCTCGTGCACGCTCCCCTCCAGTACAAAAGGTCCTCACAAGGCTGGTTAGGATTCCAACGCGACAATACACACTCGCCCGTTGGAAAATACACAGTGTGAGGAGTGTGTGTCGGGTACTGAAAAACGAGTAAATGTCTAGTTTTGTACACGAAGCTGTTGCATGGCTCGGGCACGTTCCCCTTCAGTACAAAAGGTCCTCAAGGCTGGTTAGGATTCCAACACGACGACACACACACGCCCGTTGGAAAATACACAGTGTGAGGAGTGTGTGTTGGGTACTGGGAAACACGGAAATGGCTGATTTTGTGCACAAAGCTGTTGCATGGCTCGTGCACGCTCCCCTCCAGTACAAAAGGTCCTCACAAGGCTGGTTAGGATTCCAACAGGACAATACACACTCGCCCGTTGGAAAATACACAGTGTGAGGAGTGTGTGTCGGGTACTGGAAACGAGTAAATGTCTAGTTTTGTACACGAAGATGTTGCATGGCTCGTGCACGCTCCCCTCCAGTACAAAAGGTCCCCACAAGGCTGGTTAGGATTCCAACACGACGACACACACACGCCCGTTGGAAAATACACAGTGTGAGGAGTGTGTGTCGGGTACTGGAAACGAGTAAATGGTTAGTTTTGTACACGTAGCTGTTGCATGGCTCGTGTACGTTCCCCTCCAGTACAAAAGGTCCCCACAAGGCTGGTTAGGATTCCAACACGACAAATACACACACGCCCGTTGGAAAATACACAGTTTGTGTGAGTGTGTGTTGGGTACTGGGAAACGCGGAAATGGCTGATTTTGTGCACAAAGCTGTTGCATGGCTCGTGCACGCTCCCCTCCGGTACAAAAGGTCCCCACAAGGCTGGTTAGGATTCCAACACGACAAATACACACACGCCCGTTGGAAAATACACAGTTTGTGTGAGTGTGTGTTGGGTACTGGGAAACGCGGAAATGGCTGATTTTGTGCACAAAGCTGTTGCATGGCTCGTGCACGCTCCCCTCCAGTACAAAAGGTCCCCACAAGGCTGGTTAGGATTCCAACACGACACTACACACACGCCCGTTGGAAAATACACAGTGTGAGGAGTGTGTGTCGGGTACTGGAAACGAGTAAATGGTTAGTTTTGTACACGAAGCTGATGCATGGCTCGTGCACGCTCTCCTCCAGTACAAAAGGTCCCCACAAGGCTGGTTAGGATTCCAACGTGTGGAAAACACACACGCCCGTTGAAAATACACAGTTTGTGTGAGTGTGTGTTGGGTACTGGGAAATGAGTAAATGGATAGTTTTGTGCTGTTGCTGGCTCGTGCATGCACAGTTAGTTAGTTACTCGCCCTACTTGCGCAATTCTGCACGGTTTTGTGTAATTTTGGTTGTTGGGCCCTAGACTATCAGTGTCTTGTGTATTTCATGTTTTTGTTTTGGCCTTCACATTTTTAAATGAAAAAAAAAAGTTTTTCTCTCATCAGATTTTAGAGTGTGAAAAGGGTCGATTTAGGAATTAGGATCAACTGCCGGGAGGCCTAGGATGTTTGTGACAATTAATTTGGAAGCTCTGCTTTTCAGGTAGCAGAAAAGCAGAAAAGTAGAAAAATTCATTGTACAAAAGCATACAATCTTCTTTTCTTCTTTTCCGACAGCAAAATACTGGCCTACTCCTTTTTTTTCGGGGGATTTTTTTTAGGGTGTTGGTGGTCTCCAACTTCTGAACTTCCATAGTTGCAGACATGCGTGTGATGTGTCGGGGTTTTTTTTGGGGGGGGGGGGGGGAGGGGAGGGGATTTAAGATGATTGGTAATTGATTCAGTAACTAAGTGGTCAGAGCAGGGTGGGGGGGGGGGGGTAAAGGGGATGCAGTGGGTTTTTCCCATAGAGCTATATAATAAAGAACAGCTCTATGGTTTTTCCTCGAAAAATCGTCCAGCCAATAAGTATGGCGCCCTCCACAGTTTTCTTTCTACCAGCCTGACGCTCAACATGGAAAGTGTAGTTTCGCGCGTGGCTGAGTGTGCCTAAAATCGTCCTTATTTTTCCACTTTCTGAGTTCCAAATCAGATTTCAAATCACATCAGTGACCATGAGCAAGCGATTTGAGTTGAAACCTGCTGCCTTTCAGGCCATCCAGAATGTGAATATCGAGCAGATTGCGAAAATGGATGAGGGTAGCATTCGGGCCCTGCTGCCGTGCTTGGTCCGTATGTCCCTGTGTGCTCCACTCGACGTGAGCCAGTCGTGGGTGGAGGGGCGCAAGCAGATTCTGCGGGTGCTGTCTGGGTTGGAAGTGGTCAACTCGATCGTCGCTCTGCTGTCTGTGGACTTTAATGCGCTGGAGCAAGATGCTAGGAAAGAACTTCAGATGAGGTAATGAATGACTTAGAAAAAATAGACCAGGCTACTGCTCTGAAGATTTAAAGTTGTAAAACAACAAACAAATATTGTCAGATTGTGTAGGCCTAGTACAATCATCATCTTTTTGATCAATTTGGTCATTGGTATTGTGTTTACACAATATTGCTTTTGACTCAAAGTGTTTTTTTTATTAACATTTTGTGCTTTTGGTATTCTTTTATTTTCCTGTTTGAAAGGACTTTTTTCCAATGTCAACAAGTGTAGAGAGCCACAAACATGACAAATCCCATAAATGAGGTGAAAATGAGAGGTGATAAAACAAAAAAATTGCTTTATAAACTGCCTTTAATTTGTTGAAAGTGTGTTTCATATACAACCAATATATTTCTTTGTTTGCATGCTGTTTAATGTGAATAAATTGTGAAATTAACAAAGTAATTAAAAGAAAGATTTTAGATTAAATGAATCCCTCTCTTCTAAGCAATGATTAATTTGGTTAATGGGGCTGTCATAAGTGAAATGTACTCTGTAGGCTCCGTGCACAAGTACCCCCTCAACGGTAAGAAGATGAGAGTTGGGGGAGACCACTGGGAGAGACATTTCAATGCGTTGCTAACGATGACTGACGCTCATGCAAAAATACTATGGGAGTATGGCTCTGTGCACATTCAAAATAAAATAAGTCATGCGCACTTTGTGCTATACGCATGAGAACCAGTATGCGCACGTGGTGTGTCCTGTCGATGTCCACAGGGGCCTCAAAAGTTATGAAAAGGCGCCCTCTCTTGTTTGTGCACCGAGCCTATATCCTATCAGTGTTTAACTTAATAATGCTCACTGATGAAAGTATTGAGCTGTATTTTCTCACCAGACATAAACTGGGCGAGTCAGAGAATCTTTTGACTGCTAACATCCAACATGGCCTGGCTCTGGAGTTTGAGCGAAGTGACCCGGCAAGAAGGCTACGTCTGCTCATCAGTGAACTTCTGTTTATTTCCAGTCAGGTGGGTACAACGAGCATCACATTTGTCAAGGTGTAATGGTTGGAATCACTGACAGTCAGATGTTTTTGCTGGTCCCAGAGGGCCAGCCTATAATCCTATGTGCCCCTGACCGACTGACTGTCAAATGTGACATAGCCTGGTCGTTGGCTTGTGATGGGAGCCTGGTAGTGCTATGTGTAAATTTAAACCAGATGCATAAAAAGACTTCCAGTGACTAGCCATATGAACTAATTGAAGAGTATTTTGTATGTTCTGTGACCAGTGTTACTGGAATGCATTGTCTTTTTTTTCAATTGTCAAAGTCCATAGCTGCCAACTGTTACTAATTTTTCGTAATTATTACGAATTGTTTGTTAAATTACGAAAATATGATTTGCCACTAAAACATTACGAATTTCCCATTTTTTACCTAAAAAAAAAAAAATAATACTTATAAAGTATCGTTTTTGACCGAAAACTTCCGGCGAAATGTCGCGATAATGGATGGACTGGTGACAAGTCTAATAAGAATGCAGTCAAGCACCTGATAGACATCAATGCAGTGTGCGCAGTGGAGTACTTGAGGACCAGACTAAAACTATTTTTCAATGGTGTGTCATTTGTGTGCATCTCGTGGATGTGTGGTTGTGTGTACTGTATAGTAGTACTTTTCAGTGACGATCGTGAGCGCATTTGGTCGCTTATTGCCGGGATGAGACCCATCAGTGCGAGATTTTAATCATGGAATTGAATAAGAGTATGGTTGGAATAATTGGTAATAGAGTTTGAGTTTTTTTTTGTTTTGTTTTTTTAATTATCTTTTGGCCTACAGTACATTATTATTCACAACAAGAAGGGTATACACATGTATGTGTACATGTAAACCATGTACCTGTACTCTATGTTGGTAAAGCTTTTGATAAAACGAGCAGTTGAAAATGACCGCGCGGGTTGATTACTAATTGGGATTTTGAAAAGTTGGCAGCTATGAAAGTCTGCAGAGTCAAGTAACTGACTAGATTGTTCCTAAATTGGTTAAATTTGTCATAAAAGTGACACACATTTGCAAGTGTAATTGAGTTACTGATAGTTAAACTGTATGTGACTCAAATTAAATTCTTGACTCGACCCATTTTGACTTACAAGTATTATCATCCTGAAAAGTGTGAACCTTCCCCAAGTAGTCTTAGAGTGATTCCAATATCAGACTTTTATTGTGCCATATATTTTTAAAACTTTGTTATTCAGATTAAAGACACGACAGATTTTGTGCGGAGACCCTGTGAATTGTTTGAGAGTGAAGTCTACTTGGAAGAAGTGTCTGATGTACTGTGTATCGCACAAGCAGGTACACTATCAATATTCGTTGCAATTATTCTGTTAAATATTTTTTACTTCCTGTATGGATGGTCCGTGCTCAAGTACCGGAAAGAATGTTACAACCTGATGCTACTTCAGCGCTTGTGTACAAAGTCTATGGAGAGTCCCTAACAAATTTAGAAATGTTTCTCAGTCCCAGATTCATGTCTTATTATCATTTTTGCAATGACTGACCTTCATTGAGATGATATATGAAGAAAAAAGCAGCGTCAGGTTGCAACATTTTTTTCCCAAGTACCCCCTCAATCGTTACAAAACGAGAGTTGGGGGAGATCCACGGGCGAGACATTCAAACGCGTTGCTGATGATACCTGATGCTCATGCAAAGGTGCGAAGGATTTGTGCACATTTTTGAATAAAATTCATCCTGCGAACTTTGCACCATACATATCTGAACCAGTGTGTTCACATAGTGTGGCCCTTCAACTAGATCTTACAATTTATCAGAAAGTGTCATCAACTGTTTTATCGTGGAGTCCATTGTCGCATCCCTCAATCTTTCATACCAATCTGAAACCCTCCTAGATCCTTTAAACATTTTGGAGGATTTTGTAGGATTTGAGAAGGTAGTACCCAGTCATCTCTTTGCATATGGCTGAATGCCCATGGAAAATACAAAGAATTTGCAGGGTTTTATGCACAGTGGTGGATTTTGGAGGATACAGGAAGGGTCCTAGTAAGAATACTTGGATCTTCCAGACAAGGCAGTAATGGGCACTTCCAGCATTATGTAATGTCTATGACAGAGCTTTCAAGAGCTCAGTGAATAAACCTGACAATGTATTTATCAAATGTTATAAATTTATCCATCATCTGATATTGGTCAAGGAAATTATAGCTTTAATAGGAGTTTTGCATCATTTCTTTGAATCATTAATTAGAAATCATGGTTAATTGACTGTGTCACGGACATTACACTTCGTTTCATGACGCTGGAATTTCCCTGATGTAAAACTTGTGAGTTTTCTGATACCTGACCCAAAACACTAAATTTTGGTGCCCTCTGAATGAAAGTGTACCTTCAAGTTTGTTTATCAGTGACGTGTGCCTATATTTCCAATTCTGGCCAACATCTTGTTTGAATGCACCTGTATTTTTCCTTTCTTTCAGAGCTTCCGTCCCTACTTTCAATTGACAAGATGGCAGAGGCGCTCCTACGTGTTCAGTTTGGTCCTATTCTACTCTGCAGGCTCGTTGCCAATGTGCCAGACAGCTTCTTCCAAGGTCAGTTAATCTGATATTTCAGTGAACACTTGCAATAGTATATGACCTGAACTTCAATAAGCATAAACAGAGACCAAACCAGATGGGTTTTTTTATCCAAAATATGTGGGGAGAATTTTTTTTTATAAAGGCTGCCAATTCATGATAACTTGATTTAAAAGTGTATGAGAGAAACATTCCAGAATGAAAAAGTTTGGAAAAGATTTTGCTTAAAGAAAATAATTTTCACTAAAGTAAAGTAACTTTTTTTCTGTGAGGTGAAAACTTTTTAGGTATGCTCTCCCCTCCCCAACTAACAAATGTTTTCAGTATTGGATTAATTCTGAGGACTTTGAATTTAACAACATAGTTTCCTGACCAAAGTTCTCAAGTCGGTTCAAAGAATTCCTCTGTATTGTTAAAAAAAAAAAAAAAAGACAAGCGTAGTAAAGCTGGTCCCAGAGTACAACGATTCAGAGTGGCTATTCACTGGGAGTCTTTTCATGCATCTGGTCGACACAATGGGCTGGATTTCGACCATTTGGCATTACGAGGTAATTCTGTACAATAGCACTGCCCGGCTTTCTTCACTAGTCAACCACCAGGCCAGGTCACATGTGACAGTGATTCGGGGAGTCAGTCAGTCAATAGATAGAACATTCATTCAGAAATGGAACACACATGCTCCGTGATGTTGCTTATAAAATAATTCCTCTTTATCTTGTCCTATTCCTGTTTGTGTTCAGTTTGCAAAAGCCTGATTGTGAATGGAGAGCGGCAGGACGAGGATAGCTACGGTGGCCGGCGAAGGACACAGACACTGAGAATGTTGGCAGCAATGAGTCCCAGCCAGGCTCTCACTATCAGAGCACTCGCTGTACGTATCAATCAAAAAAGATGACTAGGGTTAAGTTCTGTGAACCTTTTACCAACGTTTGCAAACAGGACTAACCATTTGATATTAACAGGGATGTAGGCGAGTGAGGAGTCCATCACAAGTCCTCCAGTCCCAAATCAAATCACAAGCTATTCAAATGATTTTTGACAAAGGCATTCCTTTGTTATTGTTAATCCACTGTTACTTGTGACTGGACTTAGGATGGTATTGACTACATCCCTGGCCAACAACATTGATGGACTTTTCCAATAATGGCCGATGGTCTTCAATTGCAGTGCTCTATGTTTTCAAAGATGGCTGACTCATCCACAATGAGCTGTCTGAACTAAAATTTGCCATTTTCTACATCATCTTTTATCACTGGCAGAATTTCCATTGTAGCAACAACAAATATTAGAAGCTTTGAAAAGCTGATATCTGCACACTGACATATCTAGCACAGGGTGCCAAAACAATTTTTTCAACGGCATTTTTGGTGCACTTGTAGTTGGCATGTTCGCATTAATTCTAAGTTCTTGTGAGTGAAACACACCCCTGTTCCCCAGGAATTATATTTATTAATTTTGCATAATCAATGAATATAATTCTTCACTTGCTCTAACAGCGCCCTCTATATTCATGCACAGAGCCAATAAGCATTTATCACATTGTTATTTATACATGGAATAGGTTTTCAATTTTTGAATATTTTTAATGTGATAGCATGAACTCCATGTTTCTCACACAGGTCGACCAGTGCAAGCTGCCCGGCCTGGCCATTGCCTTGTCGTTAGACCACGACACAACTGACCAATCAGAGAACAGAATGAGTGACATGGTCGGGTTCATCAGCGGCTTGCTGCTTGGCAGTAACTCGGGCGTTCGCAACTGGTTTGCCCAATTTGTACGCAATGGGCAAAAGGTAAGTAAAGTTTTTAAATGCTTTAACCAAAGCAGCGCCCCATAAATACTAATAAATAACCAAATTTAGCGCAGTGCAAGAAATGTAAAAGTCTGTGGAGCCTTGTTGCGTTGGGCCACGGACACCAGTGTATAAACAACCAATTCTGAGACAATGAGAGCTAGTCTCATTGAACAATGCCACAGTTGTATCCTGCTGCAGTTGGTGACGACAGACTCTGAGGCAGTTTGGCCTTAAGATTTTTGACTTGATGTACCTTGCTACACTGAGCAGGCTTCTCATTTTGACAAGTGTTGCAAGTTTTGCGTTTAGCAAGATTTTAAGCAAAAATACCATAGAAGTTTTATGTACCATAAAACAATCTTTTTTTCTAATTTCTACACTAACTTTGTTCTCTTATCAAGCACAAGGCTGACGCTAGCCTTTCTATTCTCCAAGCTCTGCGGACGCACCTTCTGCAACAGCTTAAAGCAATCATCCCCTCCAAGGAGTTCCATGGGAACCTCCCCGAGCGGCAAGTGGTACAGGCCAGTGCTGTGATGAGACTGTACTGTGCACTCAAGGGGATAGCTGGACTCAAGTAAGTCATGAACCTTGCGGGTTTTTTTTAAATTTGTACCATTGAGCATAGTGTCCTTCTGATGTGCCATTGGTTTTTTAAGTGTCTTCCATTACATCTGACAAGCACAACACTCTGTTAGCAATCGTCATCATCCTTCGGCTGCGGAGCAGTCGACTACAAGCTTCTTCCTTTTACTGCAATCTTGGGCAAGTGTTGCGATTTGGTCTGGTCGCAGCATGCCATCACTATCTCCAAGCAAGCGTTGAATATAAGTTAGGTATGATGTGCGTTGTCTTCCTGGTCTCTTTCTCTGTTAGCAATATCTTATGGTATTATCCAATAGGTTCAGTGAGGAAGAAGCTAAGCAGCTGTTACGTCTACTGAGTAGCCACCCTCTGCCCACACCCTCTGGTATTCGCTTCATCTGTCTGGGTCTGTGCATGCTGTTTGCATGTCCCTCTCTCATCAGGTGAGTATCAGCTAGACTCCTCTGTTGTCATAGAAGCAGTGGAGACAAACTTCATTGGAGATGACTCTGTTGTTATGGAAACCACATCACATAACATGGATACCAGAAAATGCTAGGCAGGAACCAATTTTATGGTGCTGCTTAACAGTTAGCAGAAAAGTTGTGCTAACTACAGCAGAAAATTGTGCTGACCTTAAGCACTATTTCATGGCATAGATGTGCCAACGGTTGTGCACACATGGAGATTTCTACTACGTCACTGATTTAAACAATTCTGTCCTCTGAGGTAAGCATGCCTATTGCTGTGCTTATGCTTGCGGTCTCCATGAAATAGATGGAGGCTCTTTTAGCAGAAAACTGTGTGCTTAGCAGCGCTATGAAATTGGGCCCCCTTTGTGGTTGTATTATTTATCACCAAATCTGTGTCACTTTCCTTTTTTTCCCAATTGTTTAATCAGCCAAGAAGACGAGCACGTAGTGATAGACTGGATTAACTGGCTGGTCCGCGAGGGACCGATGTTTGAGCGGGAGAGTGGTGTTAGCGCCTCGTTCAGCGAGATGCTTCTATTGATGGCCAGTCATTTCCATGCCAACCAGGTCCATGCTATCATCGACTTGGTCTGCTCAACGCTGGGTATGAAGGTAAGAAACTGCTTTATATCACAATTTTTTGCTCTTTAAGTGATCACCGTTTGCCATTCCCCAGGTTTGCAGCATTGCTAATGTTGCTGGCATCGTAACTTTGGGCGTGATCCCTGGCTACCTGGCATAGATGTGTTTATAGGAAAACTGCCAACATAGGGCTGGATAGCTCATTTTATAGTAAAACACCCTGGGTTCTTTTCAGAACCATTTTTCTTTTAATACAATAATGTATATTTATACAGCACATGTATCCACCAGTATTGGTGTTCAAGGCGCTACATCATTATTACCCTGCTTATTGGCCAATGAAACATTCCAAATACCATCTCAGCTCCCTGGGGAGTACACAGCTCGATGCTGCCATTTTGGCGCAAAGCAGCTAAAATCAACCACAATAACCATTTCTGCCCTCACAGGTACCGATTTACTCCTGGGTGGGGAGAAGCAATGAGTGACAAAGTGCCTTGCCAAAGGGCACACACACCATAACCGCAGGCTGGACTGGAACCCACAACCTGCAGAATTACCCACAAAACACAAGTTCAGTGCTCCAGACCATGACGCCACGGCACTCCACATAGAGATAATTACTTCGTAAAAGTTGTAATTTGTATCATACAAAGCCTCAAAATTGTGTTTAATGAAATTCTAATATGTAACAAAAAAATTAATGTTCGTTTACTTTATAATTACAGATTCCAATCAGACCCAACTCACTGGCCAGACTCAGACTGATGTTCATGCAGGAGGTCTTCACTGAGCAGGTAAAAAGGCATCCATCTTGGTACTGTACCCAAGGTACACGTGAACTATCACTACATTACAAACTGGTCATATTACCAGCACCTGACTATTTGTAATTCATTTGTGTTATGTTTCATTCAGGTTGTTACTGCTCATGCCGTTACCGTTGCTGTGACCCCTGACCTGAGCGGCTCGATATCAGGCTATTTACCCATCCACTGTGTCTACAATCTACTGCAGAGCCGCGCCTTTGCCAAACACAAAGTCCCAATAAAGGTAAAACTGTAAATTTGTGATACCATCACATTTGCAATGAACTTTTTTTATCAAACTTTTGGGGCATGTTGTCGACAACCAAATTAAGCTTTCTCCAGATAGTCAGTTAATCGTGAAATTGTCCATTTTTGTTTGCTAACAATATAAGCAATGCCAACTGTATGGGGGTGTTTTATAATTTAAGTACTTGAGAAATGCAAAATTTAAAAATTTCATCTTTCTTTCTGTAATCAAAGAAATTTGATATAACCTTTTAAATTAGTATAATTTTTAGAACGGTTGCTTATAAAATTTAGTGAATTTGTTCTTTAATTGTTCCAACTTGTGATCAAATTTTTACATTATATCACATTCAAACTGGACAGCCAAACGTGTCAAGCTTGGTGGTTGTGCGGTCAGGCATCTGTACTAGTAAGCTAGAGGTCATGGGTTCATATCCAAACTGAGAACTCTTGGGAATTTTTCACAAGCTTCAGAAAAAAATGAGCATACAGTGCCAAGGGGACAAAGGAGATATTATAGGTACAGTGAAATCTTGATAAGTCAAAGCTCAAGGGAACAGGTTCAAAATTTGACTTGAGCAGAGTTATGAGCTAAGCAGGGTTGTATATCATTGTTATACTACTGAAGGCAATGGATTCTTTGTTAGACTAAACAGTTGTTTTGAGTTAGCAGAGTTTGACGTATCGAGATTTCACTGTATTTTACTTTAACAAGTCAACTTTACTGTTAACGTTTATCTTCCCTCAGGACTGGATTTTCAAGCAGATTTGCCACAGTGCCCCTCCCCTCCACCCCCTTTTCCCACCCCTCCTAGAAGCCTATGTGACCTCAGTGGTAGTGTCCACCCAGTCTGGCACCAAGCAGTACCGGAATGCACCACTCACCGAGAGGGAGATTCTGTCCGTGTACAAGACTTCCAATGTGTCGTTGCTTAGGGCGTCAGTTGCTGAGGATCCGGGCGTGGCTCGGGCGGGGCAGTGTGGTCTGACGGTTCAGCTGCTAATGCTGTATTATCTACTGCTGTATGAGGACTGCGTGCTTAGTAACATGAAGACATTGGGTATGTCTCCATATATGGATTATGCTTGTTTTATTTTCATTGTCTTTGGTTTCTTCGAAGGATGGAAAAACATTATGTGCTTATGGTACTTAAACCTGACCTACCTGCATTTTTTTTGGCCAAAATGCCCACTTTAAACTTTTAATTGCCACATTTGGCCCCCAAAAATAAAAGTCCTCCTTATGTAACGTTTTGGTGTGTTATTGGTCAATTGAACAATTGCACAGATTAATTAAACACAACCATTCAAGGTATCCTGAAGAAAACACAGTAAATATGAAAGACTGACGGACAAACAAAAATAAAGTTACAAAAGAAAATAATTTTCCTAGCTACGGACCTACCTGGATAATTTTAAGGGTGTTACCGTCAACCTCCCATTTTTTTTTCGGCCTCAGCAAATCTTGACAAAGAGGTTTGTGAGATTGTGTTTATGATTTGTGACTCATGATCAGAGGGTCAGGGGCTCATATCCAGCCTCTTGCCATATGTTGTGTCCTTGGGCAAGCCACTTTGCTCTAACTTGTCACTGCCTACCCAGAATTATAAATGGATACCAACGTTGTTAGGGAAGTAACCTGTGATGGACTGGCATCCCATCCAAAGTGGAATAGACCCTTTGCATAGCAGCCCCCTTTGAGGTACAAATGTTAGTTTCCATTATGTAAGATTCTGTTCAAAGGCCAATACTCAAAATAGCTGATTTGTGACTCATTTTGTTAAGTAAGGTCACATATTGACTCGAAACAGACTGTAATTATTATTCTTTGTTTATTTCAGTCATGAACAACGAGCGTCCCCAGTCCTACTCATCAAAGCTCACGTCCCAGATACCCATCAAGTATCTCCTCCACGAAGCCCAGCGGCATCAGCCTGACTACGCCGGTCTCTACCCCTCCCTCCTGCGTCTCCTAGCAACCCACTACCCTCACTTGTGTCTGGTGGAAGATTGGTTGGGGGAGGAGCTAATGGAGGAAGAAATGGGAGGTGGGGTCAGAAAGAAGAGGAGGGTGAAGGGTGGGGGAGAAGGACAGAGAACGGTTGCAAAATGCTCCCCAGCGAGACTTCAGAATGGTAAGCCACTGGCAGTGTTGGTTTGTTATGGATATATTAAATAACCATGGAAATGTACTTTGTTGCGGAATGCGCACAATGATTTGTCAATTTTGATGTAGTGTTTACGCATTAAACACACAAGTAACTTTTTAAGTGCAAACAACTAATTTTGTGCTGTATGTTCACAAACTCATAGCATCGTCGCGGGAGCATTAGGTGCCATCAGCAATGTATTTGAATGTCCCTCCCAATGGTTTCCCCATCTCCCCTTTGTGAACGTGTTCACAGAGTATTCTAAGAGTTATTTTGAATGGACAGCCAATTTAAAAAAAAAAAATATTCAGAACACTGTTTCCAATGTTATGTGGTTTAGGGAAAACCTTAACCGTGGCCCTCAATCCTCCAAAATCAACCAGGAGGATGTTTGAGGATTAAGGCTTAATGGCAAAAAAGTCAGTTGATTGTGGAGGATGCATTGTATTGAGGTCGTAGGCTGTACCCAGCGTTGTGTGTGTTCAACCATGGATTATACTGGATACTATCCGCAGTGTGTCTGGATATCATCGGCACTGCCTCAACGTATTAACATTAATTGTTGGAGGATTTTGAAGGATTGATGCAGTGGTCACCCCTCCACCGAACAAATTCAAGAAATAACGGATGATTTTGCAGGATTGAGGATGGTTCCTTGCCAAAAGTGCCTAGGCAGTTAAGGTTATTCTCGTGTAGTAGCAACACTTGGCTTACCAGAAATTATTCAAATATGACCCGCTATTAGCCCTCATACCCAACATTCGGGCATATTTTCACCCCCAGCCCTGCAGCATGCCTGTCAAGATCCCTCCGAGTCTCTCCTACTCTTGAGACATCTGTGTGAGCTGGAGCCTCATCATCTCATGGACTTTGCTGAGGTCTTGGTGGGCAGTCTACCAGGCCTGCTAGGGGAACAGGTACCTCGTCAAGTCGTGACTTTGGCCATCAAGCTGTGGAGGATGCTGAACACTGTCATGCTCAGGAGGTATCTGATAGACTTTTCTTTCAATTGAGCATTGAAACATTGAGTCCCATTTTGTATGGTATACCACAAGGGTATAAATTGAAGCCGTTGTTGGCAACAGATTTTGCCCACACAATTATGCTTCTTAACCAGTTCGCGCCGGGTGACGTGTATACACGCAAAGGTTTTGTGGTATTCAGAACGGATCATGGATAAGCACGCAACAAGAAATATCTGTCTGCGACCCGCTTGCAGTGAGCAAGACTGGAAATGTCAGGGTGTGCTACCAGCAGATGATGGCCTGAACCAGTCTGGCATCGAACTTTGTAAAAAACAATCCCGCCCCTGGGTCCAGTCAATGTAAAATTAAGCCTGGTGTGAAGTAGTTACGTAACACCCTCATTATGTGAGGTAGTAATTTGTATGGCATTTCTTGATTATTTTGTACTTTCAATAATCCAATGATACATTGGAAACATTAATTCCTGTTAACTTTTTTCATCATAAGTTATACCTTAGGAAGACACCGGACATTAAGGAGACATCTAGAGGCAACATTTTACCGTCGCAAGTAGGCTAGATCGATTGCTCGTTGTCCAAAACGTAAATATATCAAAATTTGTGGGGCTGCGATGAAGGAAAAAAAGGGGTTAGAGGTCATTAAAGTTGGAAAAAGTTGCACAACCCGATAGGAATGTCTCCCTTAGGTACGATTACCAGTAATAATAATAAACATTGTTTATTTTTGCTGTGTTTAGCCATGGTTGGCAAAATGTGGTTGACAAAGAAAGATCTATAAAACTCCTTTCAATTTTTGTATCTTTTTCTCAAAATGACCCCTGGAGTGCCATTCAACACTTCTCTCTCTTCAATGTGCATGTTTCAGGGTTTCTCAGTGTACTTGTATTCTATTGTAATGTGCATTATTTTTTCATCTAGGTTGCGAGTGATGACAGTGAATGCGCTTGTATGCACGAAGCCTGTGGTAGCTTTTACAGAGGAGGATATCACATTGGACCCGCTGATTGTGCTCAGATGCGATCTCAGAGTTTTCAGGTAACTATTGTTTTAATGCATTCTCAGTTTTCCTCCGTTCCGTTGCAAAAATGCAAGTTTGAATTTTGAACATAATTGGAAATTAAGGGAAGAATGAAAATTGAATAAGCTGTAACTCATGGTAAGATCAGAAGGGACCCTGTAAACCTCAAGTTCCTATTGTTTGATTTTGCAATTTTCTAAAAAAAGATGGACCCTGGCAAATACACTCAATTCAGAGCATGCATAAACTACTTGAACAAAATCTCACCAAATGCACAAGTGCCTATTGGAACAGTTGTAATGAAATTTTGTTTGGCAAGCATTATTTAAATCATGTATTTAAACATTTTTTTTAGCTGCAGTGACGTGCCTGAAAATTGGTTTTCTTTTAAAATCTTTTTTCTTTAAATTTATTGTGACTTGTACCTCTCATGTACTTGAAAAGTGAACCATTTTTGTTTTTCCTTGTTTAGATGTCCACCGATTCTAGACATAGTCATGCAGATGTTGACCGCTTACTTGGCCGCGTCCAGAGCCTTTCTGACCACACATCTCCAGTCCAGTCCAAGCATCATCAGACGGCCGGAGCAAGGACTGACCCCCCAGCCTACCGAGCCAGAGAGGGAGGAGCTAAAGAGCGCCCTCATTGCTGCGCAGGAGAGCACCGCTGTGCAGCTGCTGCTGGAGATATGTCTGCCGTTTGAAAACGAGGAGGTAAGTTTTTCTAAAAACTGTATCCACATCCTGAAATGTTTTGCATTGTTTTTGTATCATGAAGATTGCCTAGACTGGAGACGTGACCTCATTACACACGTGTATATGAGGACAGGCAACGGCCTCGTGCATCTGATATCTGATTGGTTGCTATGCGTCTTGGCTCTGCCGCCTCCCCTGTAGTTTGATTGGCCTACTTCTCCTACTTGGCACACTCAAATTTAACGCAACACCCTTTAGGTACACGCGTAGATATTTCAATTGGTTTGACCCTATGCCATAGGTTATTCTGACAGTCTACATGCTGGCCAGTATCACACTCTAAATGGCCCACCATAGCCCGCCATTTTGAGATTGAGTTCAGAGTAAAGACTGCCTTTCTTGCCAATCTGGAACATATTGCTTTGATCATGTGACCATATGGCTGTCTACTTCAACCATTAATGATTGTAGCTTCAAGTTCATTTTTCATTTAAACCCCCATAAAATAACCTTTTAAAACTAACTTAATAAAGTTCTGCATGTAGCACTTTCAAAATCTAGGATATAAAAGCCCAATTAATAAGCTTTCTTTTGGTGCAAGAATCATTCAAATCACTCAAGTACTTTTCAAGTTACGGAATTTTAAACAAAAGCACCGTTTTCTGTCCACGGATCACCAAAACAGGTGTGTGTTCTCTCAGCAAAACGAAAACAATTTGCACCCATCCCAATGTGAATTGTTTTTGTTGCTGAAAGAACACTTTCGTAACATCTGGGTTTCCTTTTTAGTTTTTTACTCACCCTCTATTCATGTACACAAAAAGGTTGATTGCAATTTCATGTTTAATTAACTACAGGCCAGTATGAGGGTAACTGATGGAAAATGAGTGTTGCTAACCATAAAAGACTGATTCTGTTAATATTTTACAAATTTTGTGTGCCAATTGAGGAACCTGTTGTTGTTGCACTATTCATAAGCATGTTGTACATGTAAATTCTGCTTACAAAGTCCATATTCTCTACAGTTTATAACCGAAGAATTGAATGATATAGAAAACATTTGTATAAATTACAAAGACCCAAGACCTCTTGAAGGCAAATTTATTCACTTCACACAAAAAAATTGCAAAAAAACTACTACTACAAGCAGGAAAGCAAAAACAATACAAGTGAAGATCAAACCAAACCAAGTTCCTTCAGAGAAAAAGTCCTTAGAAAAGTTAAGGAGCTACCATGGTCAAATACAGTGGAAAGCCGCTATAATGAACATCGCAGGATCCACAGAAATTGTTCGTAACAGCGATCGTTCGGTGTAGCAATTTTAAGCTGCTGGTGCCTCGGTACTCATTTTTCAATAAATAGCGCCCTTCAGAACTTCACTCTGCACGTCCTGGTAGTTACTGAAAGATGACTTTGAACACGTGCCGTCTATTGCATTATGTAATTACACAGTTTTTGAGCGAACTATCTACAGCAATGGGTGACTTTCCCTTTCTATTCCGTGGGGAAATAATAGCCTCTTGTCACTCCTCTGTTGGCTTTTTCAACAACAATGTTCGGTACATTTTGTACACAAAAAGGCCAAGCATGATGTTTGGTATAGCCAAATGTTCGGTATAGCGGTGTTCGGTAAAGCGACGTTCCACTGTAAAATACAAACAAGTTAAATAAAGATGTGATGCATCGTGATACCATTTTTGTGCTAGCAATGGCTGAATGTGGTAGCTACCCGGTGTATGTGAAAGGAAACAATCATCGTAGACAATTACGCCGGTCCCATTAGAAATCTTTCCACCAATAGCTTTTGCAGCTTTTGAAAATCAAATATAAAATAACCAATCATAGAGTAAGAAACACATTGTGACTCAGGAATATTCAAATATAATTAGTAATCCGAAGCCTAGTTGCAAAGTTCAGTAATATAAACTGGAACTTTAATTTTTAAGTGCCAAACAGCTTAGAAAAGCTTGGCCAGTGTAATTGTTTTGTAAGTTTGTGGAGTTACGTATTTAATTCTGTGATGTACGTTAGGTTGAGAAGAAATGCAAAAGTTCTGACTTCAACTTTAAAACCAAAGTCTTTAACAGAAATGAATCAGTGAATGTAAAAAAACACCCAATTTCATTGAGCTGTTGAAATGTTAAAATAGTGACAAGTACCGGTACATGTATGATAAAGTGTACAAAATATAATACATATATTGCAAGCAAACATCAGCGAATTTAACAAATTTCTGGGCTCATCAGTTTTGTAAAATGTGCCTCTGGATTTAGCCAATAATTAGGTCAGTCATTAATATGATGATTAATTAAAATGATCATCCCCACTAACCAGGGTTGTTTTACTGTACTCCCGTACGTGGTGAGACGGCATCCGGGAAAACTGAGTCTATATCTTGCCTATTTTGACCTTTTGAGAATTATTATTCATGAACGCTTCCAAATACGGACCGATATACATGTAACTTTGACCAATCAGATCGCTCTTTACAGAAGTGGATCCAGAATTTATCTCCTTCCAAGTAAAATGGCACTGATGTGCCCTCCTGAAAACACTCTTCTTATTGGCTATCAAACTTGACTGTAATTCAAGAACTGATTATTTGGTGCGTTGGAAAATCTCACAAAGTCTACGCAGGGAATCTGATTGGCTGAGAGTGATTGTCAAAATTGTAAAGATTTGGACTCAGTTTGTCAGGGTGTAATACGAAAGAATGCCCTTTATAGCGAGGGTGAAAATTATATAAGATGAACATACCAAATCTATCAGAATACCGCGCTACCAATACAATTAGTATAACATAAGAATACTGTATGCCACAAACGGATAACACTCATGTAGATGAATGAGATCATTTAATATTAATGAATGAAATTACTTATGTACAAACTTGATTCAAAAAACAAAGTTCTTTTCGTCTTTATGCCATATAATATTAGGATATCCCATAAATGGATAACATTTATTGTTATACCTCTGTCTTGAGTACTGTATTTTCATTGGCCTAGAACGATCACGTGTTAAGTTATACAAATTAAAAGCAGGTAGTTTGCGTGAAACGCTTGTATCGTTAGTACCCACGCTATTTTCACCATTTCTCATTTATAAGTGAAGCAACGAACTAGCAGATGATCAGCTGTTTCGAGCGTGCGACATGCATGTGGGTTACCGTTCGATTGTCATGATTGTTGTGTTTACTGCTGTTAGTTTTCTTGATTTTTACATCAAAATCCAAAGAATCCAAGACAGAGGTATAACAAAACAGTATGCACCCCTCTGGTGTTCAAAACGTCATATCCCACATCACAGCAGTCAACAATTGTTAAATATATACATGTAGCTGAATGAGATCATTTAATAGAAATGATTGAATTAATTTCAAAAACCAAACCTCTTCTCGTCATTGAAGTATCGTAAGGACGCAACATTTGGCCAGCAGTGAAACAATTGACCATCTGATCGTTTTTTTCTAACAACCAAGCCAAACTGTCTCTATGGGGCAGTAGCTTCTTTGAAGTATGACTGTTCATTCTCGTTGGTAGATTTGCAGTGAGCCCCATCCACCTAAGACGAGATCACCGGCAGGTGTGAATGCCATGCCAAGTGGATAGGTACATTGCTTGATCAGACAGTCCATGTGTTTGCCATTGGGACTGTAGACGTGGATGTTAGCCGCACTGGGCAAGGAATGCAAGTCTTCACCAACGTAAATGTCACCTTGTTTATCACAGCACAGACTCATCGGGCTGTCTGTGTCTATCTTGAAAATGACGTCACCGTTGTAGTCCATGGACACCATTTTCCCTTTCAAGCAGGCAGTGTAGATTAAATGCTTGTTGCTGATGACCAGTTGATCCGCGATCCCAGGTGCTGATATTTTTTTAGTGAGGCATCCGTCCGGCTTGTGGAGGCTGATCTCTCCCTCGGCTTCATAACCCACAGCTATGACGCTGTTGTCGTCTACCGCCAGACACGTTGGTTTGCTGTCGGAGTCGAGTCCCGGCTGGAACTGATGGAGAAGCTGATATTCTCTGCTGAAGGTCTTGACAATGAGACCATCAAGTACGATGAGCTGGTCCCATCGGTTGACAGCAACTTGGTCTGGGTCTCTCAGATCGGGTATCTCTGGCATTTGTGAGGTGAAGGGAGAATGGGGGTCGCTTGGTGGTGAGTAGGTTATCAGCTGTTTGTGTGCACTGTCCACTGCGACTATTTCGTTGTTGGAGAAAACAGCCACGGAGTTAATTCTGGAAACGTCGTATAACTCATCCAGTTTCGTTTCTCTCGCCAGTTTCCACTCGTTTTTCAGAAGTAACCTCCCGAGTGAATCCTCGTCACATTCTTGAAAGTCAATAAAGCATATGTTGCCGGGGACTACTGCTGGATGTTTTTCAGTCATTTCTTTGAGGTGGCGCACGAATTTTCGCTTGAGGTGTAAAATCTCCGTCTTGATTTGTTGAGCGAGGAGTTGGTTCATCTTATCCAGCGTCTGCTCTGCTATGGCCAGTTCTGCATCATAGTTGTCTTCTGTTGTCTCAAATGTCTTGATTTTGTCTTGGTAGATCTCCTTTGCTTCATGCTTGAGTTTCTGCTCTGTCTCCCTGATCTTAGCAACCTCCTTGTCAGCCTTTTGGGAGATCTTCTTGTTGGTGGCTTCAAACATGGAATCCAGTTGTGTCCGTGAATTGGCCATGTTTTTCTTGGCATTGCTCAGCGCAGTTTTCTTGTCTTCGGCCTTTGCTTTTAGCTCTGCAATCTCTTGCTTGCATTTATCAAAAGCGTCCGTCAGGTCATCAAAAGAATGCTTTTGATGTTTCAGAACCGAGCAAGTTGTGCATAACAACTGCTCGCAGGTGTTGCAGTAAATGTTGAGATTCATGTCTGGGTGTTTGCCGCACTTCGGTTCTTCTCTTAGCCTGCTCTTGTAGCTGATCTCTCCGGTTTGAAACTGCGCCATTGTGTAGGTTTTGTGGGATTTTGTTATTCCCAGACGCTCGTGTGCATTATGGCAATCTTGACATAAAAACTGAGAGCAGTTCACACAAAATGTAGTGGCTTGGTTTTGCTCATCACAGCTTTGACATTTGATCTCCGAACCTTGACCCTCTAAAAACTGTTCATGAACTGCAAACTCCTCCACTAAGGCACTCAGTGAGAAGTTAGTAGGCAAATCTTCAACACCACTACTCTCCAGTGTGGTTTCACGTCTGCACATTGGACATTTTATTATTACAACATCTGGATCTTTGCTGTTCATGATGTGTTTGAGACATTTTAAGCAAAACGTGTGTAAGCAGTCAAGAAATTTGGGCTCCGTGAAACGGTTGAAGCAGATGGAGCATTCTAGATGACGCTCGCCAATCTTCCCTAGAACCTCGGCTGTACCACCGGCCGCCATTCTTTTTACCGAGTAGGTGAAAAGTTGCTGAAATTCTCACAGAACTGTACATTTAACCAAGGAAAAAAAAAAAAAATATTTTGTAAGTATTAAAGGATTTTAAGATATATGTACACATTGGTTTAGATAAAATTCGTACTCAAATTCAGTCATAGTGTGTTCAAATGATTGACATTTTCCTCAGTATTGGTACACATGTACACATGTGTACACATGATGACATTAGCCTGTTTTTATGTAACTTTTTTTTTTAATAAACTGAGTTGTTTATTTTTTATTTATTTGATTGTTTGATTGATTTATGTATATATTTATTTATTTTTGATGTGGGTGGGGGAGGGTGGGAAAGGCACGTGGTTGGTTGGTGTTTTTTTAAGCTGTTGCATATTGTACTTCTCTCAGCCAATGTACATTTTCCTAACCTTACTTTGCTCTTAGTCTTTGGAAGAATTACGGTACGTTAAAATAAGACCTTTCGTTTTCTTAATTGTATAAATTCTAAACAACATACATGTAACTCCAACCTGACATTTACACCTCATATTTGATGTGAGACTGAAGGTTTATTTTACAAAGTGAAAAACACTTCCGCAATTTTTGCACTACTAGTACTTATATGGAATATTTTACAAACACAATAAGGAACCTTGAACGCTCAAAATTTAAAATCGAAACTAAGTCAAATGCTCAAATCAGTTGTTTCTAGTAGTTTCATTTTTTTTAAACCATTAAGTTTTGAAAGCCTTTGAGTTATGAAATCTTGTTGCCATGGGCATTGTTGCAGGGCGGGATTTCACGTATTGTTCTGTCCCAAAAATGCATCCTCATGTGAAATACATGTACATGTGTATGTATTGCATTAACCTCGATTTCATGGTAATTTGTCATTTTCTGTTATGATGAATATTGTTTTGTCCTCCATTACCCTTTTTTCATGTGCTTTTTTACTGTTGGAGTATTGTTTGGCCTACTGGGGCACCTTTTGTGTTACAAGAAATAACAAATCAACTTCTCAACTTCAGCTGTTGCAGGAAATTATGAAGACAAAAATAACTCACAATACTAGCTTTGGGAAGACACAATTTCTGACTAAAACTCACCAGTAATGCAGTCCAATTCAGCATGCAGATGATCCTGCATACAGAGTATGCTATCTCCAGATGAAATCTACTGGTACAGCTTCAGATACAATGTAAAGATACTTCATCCAAATGCTGTGACGTTTTAGCTCCAACTTCTGTGCTACCATGTCAGCACTAAAATGGCGCCTGGGTTTATTTCCGCAAGCTACCAAAGGGTCACATGACCCTACATGTATATGCTTCACTAAACCTGAATTGCCTCTCTGATCAATTTTTCCATACGTGTGGACCTTGCACCTTTTGTTGTGGATCGAGTCAAAGGGCAAGTTGGGACGGTGCCGTATTTTTCTGTACATGTATTTTTGTTTGTCAGTCAGAGCTGTAGGCTCTCACAATTCACACACTTTTTTATGGTCAAACTAAGCAGGCAGTTCTGATTAAATTTTTAAACCAAGCTGTTTTTAAATCTAGCATCAGGCTTTCAAAGTGTGCCTACTTTTCTTACTTTTTCCTAGTGTTTTACCTTGCTCCTACTTTTCCTACTTTTTCCCCTTGAAATTCCTACTTTTTTGAAAAATGAAATCTCATTGAATATGTTTCACAATACTGTTACACACTGTCATATGTAAATCACACAATGAAGGGGTTGGGCGCAGGATTACTGCAACTGTACTTCCACGAGCTTAGTTGAGGATGGAACACAAGTGTTGTGAGCACAGAACATGCTAAACAAGGCTTGTGATGAATGAAAAGTACACATGTACTACTGAAAGCCTGCAAATAATACCTTACTTTTATCCTGACTTTTCCTCCAAATTCCTTTTGTCCTTTTTTTTGTTAAGGAGGGGGGGACATTTTGATCCTCCTGTTCCATTTTTTCCACCTACTTTTTTTTGTAGGTCTGCTGGAAAGCCTGAGCACAGTATACATGTATGATGCATTCTGGGAAAATGAGACAGAAAAATGCAAAATACCGAATGGGGGTGTGATGTCTCTTCTAATTTTAAGATAATTTATTGAAATGTTTAATCTTTTGATGCATATTTTTAAGAAATTGTTCAAAAATTACGGAACTTGTTTTTAAGGGGAAACAATCGGTACCCGGTATCTTTCATTACTCCCGACTACACAACAGTCAAAAACTTTTTTCAGCATTTTACAATTGTACTTTCTTTGACATGTTCATAAATGTGAAACTTGCACAGCTATAACTTGTCAAAACTTGTCAACAGAATGTCCGATTGAAAAGCAATAAACAGAATTGTAAGGAGAATTTATTCGCTTTCATAATACTCGCAAACCCCCATTTCGTTCTCTGCCCAGTTCTGTCTCATTTTGCCAGAACACCTCGCATAGAGTTCAATCTCTCATGGTGAGATTCTTGTAAGGAAAAAAATAAGGAATGAAAATTGCCGGAGGATGTTAACGATCCTGCATTATACTTTTAGTCCATTTGAGCCCAAATTTGCACTCAAATGAGTGAAATAAAATGAGGGTAAGAAAATGTGCAAACAAACAAACAATTCTGTAGTCTAAAGATGGCACTGATGATACTCAATTGACCAGTTGATGCTAGGATGTTCATTTTTATTTTATACCTGAAAAAATTAAGAATCTTGAGACTGAAGTAAATCACAAAAGAATCAGATGACACTCCATTTGTTTTTTAATTCCAGACGTATATTTCAGATATAAATTGAATCCCACCCATACTCAAATTTGTATCCTTGTTTTAGAGACATCGCTTTATTATTTTTGTGTACAAAATTGTGAGAGGGTTGAAAGCTATTTTCAAAATGCTCATTTTTTAACCAGAATTACTTTCCTGGGTTGAAATTCCAACCAAATATCCCTTACATAAAATACTTTAATTTGCGACAATACCTTTGAAATTCCTATCTTTTGAGTAAATTCCATACAGTGAAATCCTTGTGGAAACATACTCATCTTTAGAAATTGCCTTGTGGAGATCTTTACAATCTTTTGTTCCATATTATACCCAGGTCTCCACAAGGCATCATTTTTAGAAATACCAGCTTTGTTCAATTCACTCAATAATGATACGAAATACAGAAAACAAACGCAAAACACAGCATCCATATTGAATAAAAAAACAAACAAAAACCCAAAATCAATGGCTGTAGATCGACTGGCATCTTAGAAGCACCACAGTACTTGTTGACATTAGGGGGAAAAGTGGTTACGCTTTTACTCTTTCAAGGACTGCCCGCTATTTATCATGTCAATCACACCAATCTGCAGATAATGGGCAGGCTTTGTGCGACGGCTAACTAAAGGTTTTAATGTTTAAATACCCGGTATTTGCTGAACGTTTACAAACTAAAAAAACAAAGTCACATCCTTATTTTGATCCACATTTGATAGTCATGCATGTACAAGCATACTTATAATAAGATAAAACAATCTGTTAGTAACAACACACATTTATAACGTTATAAAAGATCATCATGAAAACTGATATGATATTTATTTGAGATCCATCAGTGTTATTCAGTTTCCATGATTTCTTAAGATCAAACCCTAAACTACATACCACTATACCGAACACCATAATACTGAACATTCAGCTTCACCAAACATCATCCTTGACTCCCGTTTTTGTGTACAAAACGTAATAAACATCATTGTTAAAAAAAAGTCAACTGGTCAACAAACATTTGCCGGCTATATTAAACACTTTTTGGGCCACTTTTAATTCATTAATACCCGAACGTCAAACGGACTTGAATGTTGAAGAGTAACAGGTGGTATTATTTCCCCAAGGAATAGAAGGAAAAGCCACCCGTTGCTGAAGTTTTGTGATGATTCTACGTGCGGCCACGACATGTGAGAAATGTCAGTTTGCTAACAATGCACAAAAGAGGGCGCTGCTCAAAGTCGCTATACCATACAATCACTATTATGAACATTTTCTGTGGATCCCGCAATGTTCATTATAGCAGCATTCCACTGTACCTTCAACGGTATAAAATCAACAAACCCAAGACCTGTTTTGTGAGTTATTTATTCAGTTGTTTTTAACACCTAAAATGAGTTGATCATTTTGAAAATGAACATTTACAAAAAGTAAAGCCTTTATGTATTTTATTTTTTATATTTGCAGTAATGACGTCCATCATTTTCAGGTTTAGCATCCCCAAATTAGGTGAAACAGCTATGTCACTTACTTCTTCATAAAAATGAAGCGTTTGCTCGTAATAGCAGTCTGGCGTTTTTACCTAATTTGGGGGTGCTAATCTGAAAGTAGTGGATACCAAGCTTAGCTTGAAGTGGAATTACTGCAAATTTATAAAAAGGTTTTACTTTTTTTAACAGTACATTTTCAAAACTTTTTTTGCCGATGGGGGTGGGGGAACCAGTTGTTCACCAGGGAGGCCGGCCCCCCTGCCCCCCCCCCCTTAGTGACAGGCCCGGTTGGTGTATTTCTATACATCTTAAAGTGCACTTTCAGATTTTATCTGACAGTGCACATACATTTTTTTGTGAGGCAGTAGCAAACAAAAGTTACAGAAAAAGGGTTTTCCTGTTATCGTTCCCAAATATCACTCATCTTGTGATCGTGATCACTTAGTGCTACATATTGGTTGAACTATTACTTCCAACATATGTATTACAATGTACTTCCAACTAATCTTGGCCCAAGTGTTGTTCAGATGCAACCATCACTGACTTTTTGTGCCAAAACTACCTCCAACACGTCACATTTGCAAAATTCACCCATGTGCCCACGTACCGGTCGGTACAGAGTGCAATATTTAGAAAATATTCAAAAGTTGGTCCACTAAAACATGGAGGCACGCATCCATGTCATCACATGCATGTACAGCAAGTGAGCTCTATAGTTTTTTTTTAAAGGTACCGGTAACTCTATGAAAGCAACTTGGTCACAGCTGGTACCCTCATTTTCATCTGGGATAAAATGGAAAACCTGTGCTTGTTGACATGTAAACTCTGCAATCAGCTGGTGTTTTAATCTGACGTACACATGTAAGCTGTTCATTTAAAACCTGAAAGCAACAATTTTCAATGTATTGTGGCATTTGGTTATGATTTCTACGAATCCTAAACTTGTCAACTTTGGGTTCATGTACTCATTTAACTGCAAAAGGAAAAAAAATGGCAAATTCATTTCAGACTTGGACTTGACCTTTGTGACTCAAACTCAGACTCCACCTAAATTACCGGTACTCGAGACTCACACCAGGTGACATACTCTCGAATTGACACTCGACATCACATGAGTATGAGTGTTCCAACCTGGGATTGTTAAAAGGAGACTCAGACTCGGACTCATCTTTCCCTAAAAGTAATTGTCCCAGGGACATCTCATCATGTTCTTCAAAGTCAATGAAGTGCAACTTGTCAGACACATTCTCTGGCTGTTTCTTCATCAGCTCTTTGAAATTGTGAAGGAGTTTTGGTTTGAGATCCAAAATCTCAGTCTGGATTTCTTGTGCCATAAGCTGATTCACCTCATCTAGTGTCTGCTTTGCTTCTTTGAGCTCTTCATTGTTATTGTTTTTAGCAGTCTCGAATGTCTTGACTCTGTCTTCATAGATGTTCTTAGCTTCCTTCTTGATTTTCTGCTCCAAAGCCCTGATCCTAGCAACCTCCTTGTCAGCCTTTTGGGAGATATTCTCATTGGTGGACTCAAACATGATGTCCAGCTTGAGGCGGGACTCGGCTATGCATTCATTCGCATTGCTCAGTATTGCTTTCTTCTCTTCACCCTCTATCATCAGTTCTGCAATTTCTTGTTTGCATGCTTCAAAAGCTTCTGAAATGTCAGCACGATAATGATTTTCATGTTTCAGAACAGAGCAGGTTGTGCATACCAACTGCTCACATGTGTTGCAGTATATGTTTAGATTCTGATTGGCATGTTTGTCACATTTTGGTTTTTCTCTTAGTTTACTCTTGTAGGCAACTTCTCCTGATTGGAGTTGAGCCATCGTGAAGGTTTTGTGAGATTTTGTAATTCCCAGGCGAGCGTGTGCCTTGTGGCAGTCTTGACATATAAAATGAGTACATTCCGTGCAAAATGAAATTGCTGGATTGTTCTCATCACAGCTTTGACATTTAATCTCTGACCCTTGACCTTCTAGAAGCTGTTCCTGTATTGTAAACTCCTCCACTAAGGCACTCAGAGTGAGATTAGTAGGCAAATCTTTGACTCTTTTTCTTCCAAGGATTGTTTCACGTCTACACAGGGGACATTTCAGTTTGACACTTTGGGAATCTTCACCCTGTCTAAGGTTTTGGAGACAGTTGAAGCAAAAAGTATGCAAACAGTCAAGAAATTTGGGTTCAGCGAAATGGGTCAAGCAAATGGAGCATTCTAGATGACGCTCGCCAATCTTCCCTAGAACCTCAGCTGCACCACCAGTCGCCATTCTCTTTTTGTCGAGTGTCCGAAAAAGTCGCAGAAATTCTCACAGATCTGTACATTCACCCGAAACAAAAAATCAAACAAAATTTGTTGACATTTTTGTTAGGAAACGATGAACTTTGATCACAATGCACATAATTTGTCAGGTGCTTGTTGATTATATTTTTGGTAACTTTATCAATTGTTGAAATTGACTCTGTATGAATAAAAGAACTCACAGATTGGAAAAGAAAATCAATTTCAACATCTGTGGAAACAAGCCTTTGCAGACTTCACCCAATAATTTATGCATGGACATGTACTTGGTGTGTTTGGGAAACAAATTTGTTATGAACTCAGCCATTATGTTTACAATCACCCTAACTCCCTAGGGGGTGTGCAAAATTGTGTTAGAATTGGAGGATTCAGGACTGTTAGGGTTTTAAAGTTGTGTTCTCCCTGGTAATTATCAAAGTTTATTTATTTTAATAAATTAAGTAAGTTAAAAACTTAATAACTTTTATTCCAACACAAAATCTTAAGAAAATCTTGAACTGTTGCGTTGACAACATATTGCCGTGGAAATTAGTGGCTGAATTTTACCTCTTGGTTTTTACAAGCATTTTGTATTGAGGATTTTTGGTTCCTTTTCTGCTTTTGCTGAACAATTTTGCATTACTTGAATTGTGTGATAAAACAAATTTAAAGTATATTTTATGGTACCATTCCCAAAGATTGTAAGGTGATAATCATTCAGGATCTTTTGATATCATGGTATGTGATTGTTCTTCATTATCTGATGTTTTAAGACTTTCTAGTATGTAGTAATTTTTGTAGGAACCCAGATAGAACCTGCTTAAAATGTTAGGGTGTGCCCTGGGTAAAGAAATGACAAAACTCAAGTTAAACATACTGGTCCACAGACGTTGGATTTTCTGACTAAAAACTCACCAGTAGTGCAGTGAAATGCAGCCTCCAAATGATCCTGCACACAAGTTTAACTCCAAATGAAATCTCACTGCTTCAGTAAAAGTATCTTCGCTTATCACGGTAAAGTTTAGCTCTAACCTCTTCAGTACAACAGCATTAGTAAATATGGCACCCGGGTTTATTTCCGCCAACTGCCAAAGGGTCACATGACCCTATGCTTCACTAAACATGAATTGCCTCGCTGATCAACTGTTCAGTACCTGTGGGCCTTGCACCTTACATTGTCAACTGAAAGGGCAAGTTGTGACCGTGCAGTATTTTCAAATGGTTGTTTGTCAGTCAGAGCAGTAGGCTTTAACAAAAAGCGTGCAATTCTGATTAAATTTTGAAACCAATCTGTTTTATAATCTGGCATCAGGCTTTCAAGTATTCCTACTTTTCTTCTTTTTTGGGGGGGGATAATTTAAGATAATTTTTTGAATTTGTAATATTTTGATATGCATAATATGCATATTTTAAAGGAAATAGTTTTTAAAAAAATACGGAATAAAAATGTTTTAAATGGGAAACAATTGGTATCTTTCATTATTCACGACTTCACAACAGTAAAAATGTAAAGGCCCAGGCGTGCAACTTTTCCTTGGATCAGCTGATTTCCTCTTTATTTTTTGCCTCCCATGTGTGCCATTGAAAATAGACAAACACTGTACAAAGCCTTGGAAAGATTTGAATTTCCTCTTTTTTTGTGACTTCCCAGTTGCATGCCTGAAGGCCTTTTGCTCAGCATTTTACATGTTCTTTTTTGACTTGTTGATAAATGTGAACCTTGTACAGCTATAACTTGTCAATGGAATGTCTAATTGAAGAGCAATAAACAGAATTACAAGGAGAAACTATTCGCTTTCATAATACCTGCAAACCCCCATTTTGTCCTCTGCCCAGTTCTGTCTCATTTTGCAAGAACGCCTGTCATAGAGTTTAATCTCTCATGGTGAAATTCTTGTAACGAAAAAATAAGTAATGAAAACTTTCTGAAGGATAGTAACATTAACAATCCTGCATTATGCTTGTAATCCGTTTGAGCCCAAATTTGTACTCAAAGGAATGAAATAAAATGAGGGTAAACCGGTAAGAAATTGTGCAAACAATAAAACAATTCTGTGGTCTAAAGATGGCACAGATGGTACTCAATTGACCAGTTGATGCATTTCTATTTTATACCTGAAAAATTAAGAATCTTGAGATTGAAGTAAATCACAAAAGAATCAGATGACACTCCATTTGTTATTTTAGTTCTGGATGTATATTTCAGATATGAATTGAACCCCACCCATACTCAAATTTGTATCTTTGTGGAGACATCGCTTTGTTCTCTTGTCCAAAATCTTGAGAGGGTCGAAAGACACATTTTCAAAATGCTCCTTTTTAACATGTTTAACCAGAATTACTTTACAGGGAGTAAATTCTGACCAAATGTCCCTTAAATAAAATACTTTAATTAGCCACAATACTTTTAAAATTCCTATTTTTTTGAGTAAAATCCATATATAGTGAATTAGTGAAATCCTTGTGGAAACGTATTCATCTTTAGAAATTGCCTTGTGGAGATCTTTACAATCTTTTGTTCTGTATTATACCTAGGTCTCCACAAGGCATCATTTTTTAGAAATACCACCTTTGTTCCATTCACACAATAATGATATTTATAAGAAGTACAGAAAAAACACAAAACACAGAATCCATATTGAATTAAAAAAACAGACAAAAAACCCAGAATTGATGGCTGTAGACTGGTTTCTGGTCCTTCCATTGGTCTGTCTGACTTCTTTTGGAGGCAGGAACCAATCTTCCACTACTGGGATTTTTTTGTGTGTTACCTTTAACTCTTTAATTTGGAAAAATGAAAAACATGAACATTTTGTAATGACACATTATTTTTCACAAATTATCAAAAGTAGATTTTTTTTAGAGAAGCCTTAAAGCTGAGATATGTTAATTATTGTTTCCATTGAATCACTGTTTATCAGCATATAATGGCAAGCCAAATACATGTGGTTAATAATTGGCTGATTTTAAAAATTGACTTGTGGCTTGAACGATCTTTTGATGGCATTTCTTTTTTCTTTTTTTGGCAGAATGTGTAAAAATACAAATATGGATCAATAAACATTTTATAAAAAAATAATAAACAACTTAAAGGGAGTGTACATCTTTGGTTTTTGCTTTAATTTTTTAGAAATGAACTATATGAGGGGTTAGTATAATAGATCAAATTATTGTTTCACTGACATGTTTGAAGTTTTGTTTTCGAAAATGTTTGAAAAACCAAGAAAAACAAATATTTTCAAGTAGTTTGGTTCCCTGACTCCACTGAAGATGAAATGGATCAATTTATACATGCTGGAAAATTATACGGTAAGGGAACCAGTCTAGATGGCCTGCACCCATTTATGAACATGTAACCAATAGCAAACAAAATTTCGACTGAAAAAAGGGTAAATTTGGAGCAGAAGTTGAAAAATAGTCAGTTTTTTTTCAACGGTGGTGGGCCGACCACCGTTATCATTTTCTTGATAATGACTTCACACCAGGTGCCATAGTTTTACAGGCTGCTTTAGAATGAAATTTACCAACATCCTGCAAGGTATTTCGTAAAAACTTGGTAGTTTGTTTTTTGATTTTTGCAAATGTTGTATTTCCCTTTAAGTCCTAGTGAAAATCTGACACATTTAAAAATTATTCCATATTTGTCATGATGTAGTTTTTTTTGTGTTAAATTGATATCATTGATTATGACCAGTAGAATCAACTACATTGTTGAAGGAATTTTGTGTGATTTCACTGGCTGCAAAAATTCGACACTGAAAAATGAATCGCTGTGTTTAAATAAAAAGAAACTTACATGTACTGTCAAAGTAGTATAGTTTTGCATACATTTATTGTTAAAGGAAAACATTCCAATTTTTCTTAAGTTTACACAAATATTTTTTAATCCGTTTATACATTTTTCAAAACATTTAGACGTAAATCACTTTTTTTCCTCTTCAATGACTGCCCGCTATTTATGATGTCAAACAGATTTATCATGTCAGTCACGCTGGTCTGCAGAAATAATGGGCAGGCGATGCGTCAGCCTTTGTGAATGTGGTTCTGAAAATGTTTGCTGAACGTTTACAAAATTAAACGCAATGTAACATTCTTATTTTTTCTTATTCATATTTGAAAGCCATGTACAAGCATACTTAACTTTAAGACAAAACGATCTGTTACTAATAACACGCATAAAATTATAAAGAGCATCATGAAAATCGATATTTGATCGACAACTATCAGCGTTATTCAGTTTTCATTTTTCTTAAGTTCAAGCTCTAGACTACTTGCAAAATATTTTATGTTCAAGATTAATTTTCATACTGTTTAAAGAGCTGCATACAGTTATTCACACTACCCATCACATATTGTTACCAAAGTGGCACTTACAGCACATTTTCAGGACAATTTGGCAAAGTACACAAGCTTTAAAAAAAGAATTCCCAAAGACTATTCAAGCTTTTAAGCTGTTACCCTACTCCCAGTTTTGCTTAGATCTGTAAACATTTGCTGAGCTCGGCGTTGTAATTAAACTGGCTCTTTAATTTGTAAACTACATACATGTACCTATGTACACCATACCTTTTCCATGTTATTAGTACATTAAATGCATATTATTAATGTAAAATCAGAAGCAGATCCAGGGGGGAATGGGGTGCAGTTTGCACCCCTCCCCCTTTTTAAACTTTTATTAATTTACATTTTTTAGGAAGTACGTTTTGTTTTTTCTCCCTTTCTTCTTCTGTCAACTAACTATTTAATCGCATTAAAGACAGACATCTTTACCCACGAGCAAATACATGCCCAACAGTTTGCCTCCATTTTCAGCACCCTCCCCACCCTTCCCATAAATGCGGGATCCGTCACTGATATTGCTCTTACAATAAGGGAATAACAGTGTGAGGAGCCGGTCTTCACTGCGTGATAATGACCGGGTGTGGGGGTGACCGCTGTTAATGGACCGAGACGAAGTCGAGGTCCATTAACAGCGGTCACCCCCACACCCGGTCATTATCACGCAGTGAAGACCGGATCCTCACACTGTTATTCCCATTAATAAATACCTTTTTAACGAAATAAACAGTTAAAATGCTCCAATTTTGTGACTTTCTTTCGGCGATATTTCCAGACTTTTTTGTGTTCATGTTCATGGGCCATATTTTAGCTTAACAGCTAGCTATAACGACGTAAACTCAACAGAAACTGCTGCCGTAGCGAAACAAATTACAACAATGTTTTCATATCTTTACCTGACGGAGGAAGCTGAAATCTCGTTTACACATTCCTTGTGTCCGGAATTACAAAGATGCTTGGTTTAGGAAAGGTGAATATGTCGGTGGGTGAAGTGTTCAAAGAAAATAAATCGTAGATCTACGCTTTCGTGGTAAACATCCTCAGTATATACTGCACTGTACTGCCGTACGATGTCGTTTCAAAACTTCCTTACGCGCGCGCACGCATGCATCCCTAGCAACTGTGTTGCGTACGCGCGCGTCAGTCTCACGCGATGGGGGTTGAGCGCATGTGCAGTGCTCAATTGTTAAAAGCTACCGCAGGACTGTTACTATATTTTGACCAATCATTGGCTTGCATGGGGCTGAACGGGGCTGGTTCAGGGGCCATTTATTCGCTTGATCTTTGAAGCCGGTCCATTATCACCGTTAATGACCGGCCACGTGATCGAGTCTCGACCAATCAGATACCATCAACTCTCCAAGGTATTTATTAATACAGTATAAAAATACAGGCGTGCAATTTTTCCTCAGATCAGGTGATTTCCTTGTGTTTCACTTCACACTTGCCCAATTACCCACATACATTGTACATGTACATGTATGCCATTAAAAATTGAGAAAACGCTGTGTAATTCTTGTAAGGTTTGGAATATTCTCTTTTTTGTTTCTTCCATATCCTGTTAGCGAGTTTTTTTTGCAATGTGTTACAAACTCTGCAGTTTCTCGCTAAAGCTCTACATGTCATAATTTCTCTCAGTTTATTTCCTCTACCTCTCTGGCCTTATTACAGAATAATCAATTGAAATGTGTCAATAAAGAATTCCTTGATCCGTGTACATACATGTACATGCAATGCATGTATATAAATGTGTCCATACTTAAGTCCTACATGTAGGCTCTTAAATTACAAAATGATTCAGAAGTTCTTGGTCCATGTGCTTCTTGAATATTGCTTTCAACTCTCCCCTAATCTGGCAAGGAAATCACATCCTTTGCACTTGGTTAAGATGATAATTATCAACCTTTATGCTCCCCTACAATAAGATCCGATCGTATGACGTCAAAGAACCACATGACCATCCGGTTTCCCCATGATTGGCCTCCATGCGGTGACAAGTGTATAGTTAGCAACGACGTCATGCATTGTAAACTTGACAGTGCTTATTTTCATGTAAAGTAAATTCACATTTTTTAGCCTATCAAATGGCATAATGATCACTATTGGTGCCATGTACCATTATGGTTGTCATAATCCAGCCGACCCAACACTTTATGTAGTTGTTGGCTCTGCATTTGTCTCATAGTTTTTGCCATCCATCGCAGTTCAAATGCTTGCCGGCTACATTGTACTGCATGCGGCGCTTTACAATTTTTGCCTACTACAATGGCCATGTTGACGTTCCGATATCCAGATGTAGGCCAGGTCATGTGGTCAGTGAGAGAGCCATATACAGTCGACTCTCGTTAATACAAACTCTGTTAATACAAAATTCTGGTTATAACAAACATAAAGCCTTGGTCCCAACTGTGCATTTATATGCACGACCGATGTTCCTCTTAATACAAAATTCTGATATAACAAACAATTTGGCTAGGTCCGAACGAGTTTAGTTTTTGGCTAGTTCCGAACGAGACTCGATTGTAGTCAAGTCATTTTCTGGAAATAATAGTACAATGTGAATACATTGCTAGTACCACATACATCATTATTATCAAGGTCATACGGACTCAGGAAGTACGTCGAATTTAAGCCTCAAAGTACGTAAACTAACATTAACCACAACATTCTGTTGAGGTAATCACAGATTCATTGTTCATGCTTAGGGGCGAGATAATATACCGGTACCATTAGATAGTTGACTATTCTATTATCCACCAAATGTCTGATTTAGCTTTTTTCCATTCAAATATGAGAAAACTGTGAGTGGTCTCAAGTAAATGATGAAGTTGCATGGTTTTATTGTTGTTACAAAATGACACCCTTGTCTATCAAAGCCACTTCAAAATCATGGTTTGAGAGCTGTGAGGGCTGGTAGCTCAAATTTGTTCTTTTATCTGTCAAATATCAATCATTCCGCTACCTCAAAATATCTATTCATACATACATGTATATGATGTTCTTTGTATTATTTTTATAAGCCTGCACTGTTTGATGATTGCAAGTGCCCACAAATCCTGATTGATTTTAATATTTGATTATTTGATCAACTCCAAATTACATGTAGAATAATCGTATCAATGCAAAAAAGCGCAACACTACAACTGTGAATGGATTGAATCAATTAAATCTCACAAGTCAAGTTCCAATTGTAATTCTTAATTCCCCATTCACCTTAATCCATTACCCAGTATTTGGATCATTGCAGCTCCTACTGGATCATAAACCACAAGAGTTTTTCGTTATCCAAATACTGCTTCTCATCCCGTTATTTAAAGATCATGTATGTATCTTTTTTATTTATGTAGTCTTTCTGCCATTTTGTTTTAGGTTGAAAGAATTTTTTCTGGTTACAAATTTACAAGTGAGAATTGTTTGCAAAACTATCATGTTTGAATGATGAGGGCAGCTTTACTTTGATACTTGCACTAAGACTTGCTCAAGTCTCACCTTGGCCCGAATATTTGAACTAGAATTACCCTATAATGCCAGTGAATGGGCTCAATCCAGCCCATTGTGTAGGCCACGTGAATGAAAAGGCTTCCAGTGAATAGCCATTCTGAATCAATTGAATGGAATTGTGTGTACTCTGGGACCAGCTTTCCTAGACTTGCCTTGAATTTTTTTGAAAGGGGGGGGGAATTGATGCTAAGTTCATGAAGTTTGGAAGTCTTTAAACTCGTTGAAAGATTCGTAACATATCATATGTACCTATCACTAGATCACCTGAAGGTGTGAAGGCCATGCAAAGTGCATAACGTGGAAGGTCATCAGTGTTGGATACCGGTAGGTATCCCATTTTTTGTCCATCAGGACTGAAGATTTTAATGTGTTGTTGATGTGATACCAGTACCGGTGGTAAATATACAGACAGCACCCTTTCCATAAGATTCTGTTGGTCAATGTGCGGTGTGGATACTAGTATGTAAATGTTGCCTTGACTGTCACAACAAACACTCTTGGGGCCCTTTACATCTACCTCAAATGCTTTGTTACCATTGTAATCTAGTGCAACCATTTTACCCTCATAGAGTTTGATGTAGATGAGATGCTGGTTGCTGATGGCCAGTTGATCACTGATCCCTGGCGCTGGTAGTTTCTTGAGGAGGGTTCCGTATGACCTGTGTAGGCTGATCTCTTGCATGACCTGGTGATGGTAGTAACAATAGGAATCCATACTTAAGTTTTACAATCATTTGGAACATTTTTCTTTTAGCCAACCCTTTACAAAGAATGGTAATTACCAAAGTACACTGCATGCCTATACACTGCAAAGGAGACAGAGGCACTGAATTTAGGCACTGGCTGCATACAATAATGTTGAAAACATACTGTAAGATTGACACAAGAGATTGTTTTCTTCAAAATCCTAAACTTGTTTACATCACATGTACATGTATACCTGGTAGCCCACTGCTATCTGATTGTTGTCATCCACCGCCAGGCAGGTCGGTCTGTGGTTAAACCCGCTTTCTAGCTGGAACTGATGGAGAAGCTGATATTCTCTGTTGAAGGTCTTGACTACACGACCATTAATTATGATGAGCTGGTCCAATCGGTTGACCGCCACTTGCTGTGGCCTCCTTAGATCGGGTATCTCTAGCTTTCGGAATAAAAAGGGGGATTGGGGGTTGCTTGTTGGTACATGACTCACCAGTTTCCCTTGATACCTTTCAACTGTGACTACTTCATTGGAGAAACCTGCAACAGAATTGGTTTCGTAAGCCATTTGTTTCTCCAGTCTCCATTCATCTTTGAGAAATAATCTTCCAAGTGTCTTCTCATCACGTTCTTGAAAGTCAATGAAGTGCAACTTTTCAGGCACAGTCTTCGACTGTTTTTTTATCAGTTCCTTGAGGTTTTGAAAGAGTTTTGCTTGGAGATCTAAAATCTGAGTCTGAATTTCTTCTTTCATGATTTTGTAGACCTCATCCAGTGTCTGCTCTACTTCTTTAATCTGTTCTTTATTGCTGTTTATAGTAGTCTCGAACCTCTGTACCCTGTCTTCATAGATTTCTTCAGCTTCTTTCTTGAGTTTCTGCTCTGTTTCTCTGGTCCCCTGCTCCATTTTCCTGATCCTTGCAACCTCCTTGTCAGCCTTTTGAGAGATCTTCTCGATGGTGGCTTCAAACATGCTGTCCAGTTTCTGGCGAGACTTGACTATGCAAACATGTGCATTGCTCAGTGTGGCTTTCTTCTCTTCACCCTCTGTCATCAGTTTTGCAATTTTTTGTTTGCATTCTTCAAAAGTTTTAGATATTTCAGTACGAGAGTGCTTTTCATGCTTCAGAACAGAGCAAGTTGTGCATATTAACGTCTCACATGTTTTGCAGTAAACATTGAGATTCTGATCTACATGTTTGTCACATTTTGGTTCTTTTCTTAGTTTACTCTTGTAAGCAACTTCTCCTGATTGAAGTTGAGCCATCGTGTAAGTTTTATGAGATTTTGTTATTGCAAGACGTTCATGTGCCCGATAGCAATCTTGACATAAGAAATGACAACATTCCACACAAAATGAAGAGGCATGTTTTTGCTCATCACAGCTTTGACATTTGATCTCTGACCCTTGACCTTTTAGAAGCTGTTCCTGTACTGTAAACTCCTCCACTAAGGCACTCAGAGTGAGATTAGTGGGTAAATCTTCAACTCCGTTTTTTCCCAGGATTGTTTCACGTCTACACAGGGGACATTTCAGTTTGACACCTTGGGGATCTTCACCCTGTCTAAGGTTTTGGAGACAGTTGAAGCAAAAAGTATGCAAACAGTCAAGAAATTTGGGTGCATTGAAACGGGTCGAGCAAATGGAGCATTCTAGATGACGCTCGCCAATCTTCCCTAGAACCTCAGCTGTACCACCAGTCGCCATTCTGTTTTTGTCGAGTGTCCGAAAAAGTTGTAGAAATTCTCACAGATCTGTACATTCAACCAAAGCAAAAATAAAACAACATTTGTTAACATTTTTGTGATGAAACGATGAACTTAATCACAATGCATATAACTGGTCTGATTTATCAGGTGCTTGTTGATTATATTTTTGGTAACTTCTTTGTGTATATCAATTTTTGATGTTGACACAGCATGAATAAATTAACTCACAGTTGGAAAAGAAAATCAATCGCAGCATCTGTGGTAAGAAGCCTTTGCAGATCGCACCCAATAATTAATTCATGTACAAGGATGTGTTTAGAAAAAAAGTTGTTGGTCATGTGGATTATGGATGATTCTGAACTCAGCCATTATGTCTACGCATCTTAAAGTTGTGTTCTTCCTGCACTTTGTCAAAGTTAAGTTCTTTTAATAAATTAAATTAACAACTTATCAGTTTTATTCCAACAAAAATCCTCTTTTTCCTTTTTTGGACTCTTTTGCAACTATCTGAAATAAAGATTTTTGTTTTGGGCACAAACAGATCTGCTTTATGAGCAGGCTGGCTCCCATCCATACATTATTGATGCTGAGTGTGGGGCTGGAACCAGCCTACCCCACGATAACAGAATTATTGTCTGGCAGCCAATAATTCGAAATTTGCAAAATAATAATTCTATAAGTAACTAAACATGGGCTGATTTCTTTCGGCAATTAAGTCTCATTGAAAAAGTAAATAAGTTATGTATTGCAAAAAAATAGCAAGTGATAAGGACTCCATTTTTTGGTAAAATACTGTAATTGTCTTGATGTCTGTAAAAGAATTAGGCAAATGTATATTAAGTGTTTTAAATTTTAATTGAACTTTGTTCAAATATTCCAAAATAAGTCTAACGTAACAAATTCACACCACAGATTTGTTGATACTCCTTTGAAGTGTATAAATTTTTGACTATGAGGTTCCTTTTGCAAAAAGAGGGATCTCTGTCCCACAGGTTTTGCTTGCTGGTACAATTAAATGAAAATGTTGCATGCATAATCAGGAACCTTGAATGACATTTATTCAGATCAGAAATGGGTTAACTGTTCAATCAATTTTGTTCTCTTTGACTTATTAAACCTTTCCCAATAAAAATCAGTCAGTCTTTAGAAAATCTTGAACTGTTACGTTGACATAATATATTGTCATGGAAATTGGTGGATGAGAATTTTATGAATTTTGAGTTTTTTGGTTTGGTCCTTTTAGGCTCTTGCTGAATTATCTTTCATGAGTTAAATTATAGTTTATTTTATGTAACCTTTTTCAAAGATAGCAAGGTGATTTATACATTCAGGATCTTTTGATGTCATGGTATATGATTGTTCTTCATTATCTGACCTTTTTTTGCTTTCTTTTATATGTAGTAATTTGTGTAGGATCCCAAATACAATCTGCTTAAAATGTTGGAGTGTGCCCTGGGTAAGAGATGGCAAAACTAAAGTTAAACATACTGGTCCACAGACGTTGGATTTCTGACTAAAAACTCACCAGTAGTGCATTGAAATGCAGCCTCCAGATGATCCTGCACACAAGTTTAACTCCATAGAAAATCTGACTGCTTCAGTAAAAGTATCTTCGCTTATCACGGTAAAGTTTAGCTCTAACCTCTTCAGTACAACAGCATGAGTAAATATGGCGTATAGCTTATTTCCGCAAACTACCAAAGTGTCACATGACCCCATGCTTCACTTAACGTGAATTACGTCTCTTATAAACTTTTCAGTACCTGTGGGCGTCACACATTACATTGCCGAATGAAAGGGCAAGTTGTGACGGTGCGGTATTGTCCTTTGTTCTTGTTTGTCAGTCAGAGCTATAGGCTTTCACAATTCACACATTTCATTTTATGTTCAAACAGGCACGCAATTCTGATAATTTTTTTTCAACCAGTCTGTTTTTAAACCTAGCATACTAACACAGTTAAATCTCTCACGGCCAAATTCCGGTAAGAAAAATGGAAAAGGAAAAATTGCCTGAGGATACTAATGCACCTGCGTTGTGCTCCATTTGAGCTCAAATTTGCACTCAAATGAGGGGAAGAAAATGTGCAAATGTTTTTAAAAAAATTCAGTGATCTAAAGATGGCACAAGTGACACTCAATTGACTGGTTTATGCACGTACATTTTTATTTTATAGCCGTAAAAAAAGATTAGCTTGAGACTGAAGTAAATCACAATAGAATCAGGTGACGTTCCATTAGAAAAAAAAATCACATGTTAGATATAAATGAAAACAAATTTATAGGGAAAAAAGTTATTTGCCCATTTTACCCCACAACCTTTACAATTAATGTAATAATTATATACGAAATACAGGGGGAAGAAATACAGAAACCAGTTTGAATAAGAAACACACAAACAAAAATCCAGTGCTGTAGACTGGTTTCTGGTCCTTGTATGGCTGACAGTTTTCGGAGTCAGGAACCAGTCTTTTTTTGGTTAACTCTGCAATTTGGAAAAATGAATTAATGATGCATCATTCACAAATTTTAACAGCAAAAATAAGTATAGCGCCATAATATTAAAGAGCATTTTTAAAGTTTATTTTTAAGACGCCAATTAGGTTAGCCTGGATTTTGTTGTATTTTTTGTTTCCATTGAATTAGGCCTACTGCTCAGCAGATATGGCAAGCCAAGTACATGTACATTTGTATTTAGTTAAAAATTGGCTGAAATTCGAAAAAAAAACATGTCTGCACAAATTTTGGCGCCATGGCTTGCTGCCCCAAAAATGTAGCTCTAATCATATTTTGATGACAATTCGTATATATTTGCAAAGTGTTAAACCATACACATAATGTTATCTAACAACATTGGACTAAACTAAATAGAAAAAGTAATAACAAACTTAAATCCTAGTGAAAAAATCTGATCCATGTTAGCAGAAATTTCATTTTTGTCACGATGTAATTTTCTATGCTAAAACTGATATCATTAATGATTGCCAGGAGCATCAGATATTTGTTGAAGGAATCACTTATTGTTTGTACATTTCACTGGCTGCAACAATTCCACACTGAACAACAGCCGTGTTAAAGGGAATGTACATCATTGGCTTTTGCTGCAATTTTCAGAAATGAACTAGGGGTTAGTATAATAGATCAAATATTGTTACACTGACATGTTTGAAGTTTTGTGTTATGAAAATGCTGGAAAAACCAAGAAAAACAAAAAAGTTTAAGTAGTCTGGTTCCCTGACTCCACTAAAGATAAAATGGATCAATTTATAGATGTCAGAAAATTGTAAGGTAAGGGAACCAGTCTAGCTGGCTTGCACCCGTTCATGTACATGTAACCAATGTAGCAAACAAAATTTGGACTGAAAAAAAATTGTAAATTTGGAGCAGTAGTTGAAAAATAGTTAGGTTTTTCCAACGGTGGCCGGCCGACCACCGTTGGAAATGTATACAAAAATACAATTTTCTTGAAAATGACTTGACACCAGGTGCCATAATTTTAAAGGATGCTTTAGGCTGGCATTTACCAACATCCTAGTAAGGTATTTCGTTAAAACTTGGTAGTTTTATGTTGTATCTTCCCTTTAATTGAGAAACAAATCACAATAATTACAGTGTATGTACTCTACGATTAATATACACATACATTATAAAAGATCATCCTGAAAACTGATATTTGATTGAGATATACCATATCAGAATTATTCATTTTCCATGATTTCTTAAGATCAAGCCCCAAACTACTTGTAAGATTTTTGTTGTTCAAGATTAATTATCCTACCTTTTAATACATCATGTACACGTGAGTAGTCACATACAAGCATACTGTACTACAGCACCATCACATATTATTGCTAAAGTGGCTGCTAAAGCACATTTTCAAGACAATTTGGGAACATTTACAACTTGTAAAAACATTCCCTCAATGATTATTTAAGCTTTTAAGCTATTACTTTACTGCCAACTTTGCTTGGATTTGAAAACCATTTCTGAGCTTTGTAATCTATAATTAAAATGGCTCTAAAAATTCACACACATTATACGGATGTTATTGATTGCAGCTGATCAAGAGGGGGGCATAGCCGGCGTGCCCCCCCCCCCCCCTCCATTTAATTCCTCGACCCTTCTGGTCTCCTGGTTCCTATTCTGTTTTTTAGGACAAAATATAGCAATTTTACAGAATAATCCATTACAATGAGTAAATAAAGAATTCGTTTGATCCATACGCACGCAATGCAGCCTTATATACATGCACACTAAAGACATTTCAAACTTTTACCTACATGTACAAAAGAATTCAGAAGTTCCTTGTTCATGTGCTTTTTAGATATTTCTCCGAACTCAATTTTAATTTGGCTAGGTAATCTGATCCTTTACACATGGTTCGGATGATGATTATTATTGTATGCTTCCTGACAATACGGTAGGTTCCGATCGTATGATCTCAAAGTACCACATGACCAGATCCGGGTTCCCTGTGATCAGTCAGCCGCCATTGTGGTAGGCAAGCGTTTGGTTACCAACCATGTTGTGCATTGTATGCTATACAGGGCTTATTTTCATGTAAAAGAACATGTTATTCTTTATTTAATTGCACAACGGTCACTACCAGTACCTGCGCCGTGTACAGTTGTCATAATCATGCGGACCCAGCACTGGATGTGGGTTTCGTGTTTTTCTCACAGTTTTTGCCATCATCACAGCTTTGAAGGCTTGCCTACTGTCTTTACCTACTGCATGGTGCGCTATACGATCTTTTCCTACTACAATGGCCATGCTGACTGTCCTGTAGCTGGATGTAACGGTAGGCTGGGTCACATGGTCAGTGAGAAAGCCCTATGGGCTCAGTGCACCAACAAAAGAGGGTGCGTTTTTACCACTTTTGAGAACCCCTTGGATGGCACACCATGTGTGCATGCTGTACTGGTTCGCGTGCGAAGTACGCACGACTTGCCCGGTAATTATCCTGAATGTGCACAGAGCTAAGCCATAGTGACTTTGCGAGCATCAGGCGTCGTCAGCG